TGTGTTGAAGATCGTGTAATTCACGTATGACTTCATATATGTTGTCTGCACTCTCGATACTAATATACCTGAACTTATAATAATATATCTTCCAGTACAGAGATTAGTATGTGTGGTATATCTGCAGATAGAGCGTGTATATGTGTATTTACTATTTGTCTGCAGGATCGAACTATTAACTCTTGGACTCCGCCTTTCTAACCGTTGGTTGTTTAATATACTGACTCCACACCTATTTTTCTTGTCATATCTACTACACATTGTTCTCTCAAATACACATCCCCAGGATGCAGCCCACAGTAGATAACTTCCAGACACCTATTTACTGCTAGGTGAACAGGGGCATTAGGTAAAAGAAATTTTACCTATTGGTTTCTGCTTCAACGGGGAATCGGAACTGGGCCTTTAGGGCTACCACTTCCCAAGTGCTGTCCGCTCGCCGCGAGCGCGTGAAAGAGAGAGAAAAAAAAAAAGAGTGCATTCTGTGTAACTGTCTCTCACTCTTGCTCAGTACATATAAAAGAGAGAAAGAGGGAGGAGATGCTATCATTGAGATAGATCACATGCCTCTTAATCAAACTGATGCCAGGGCGGCTACAGGATTGGATGGAATGATTACGTAGCCACTTGAGAATTTAGCTTAAAGCCAATATACATACAGTACCATCAATAGAAAGCCGTGATATAGCAATGGGTAGGTGTTATGCGGGTTATACTATATATACAGGTGCGTCAGAGGGGTGGAATGCCGGACACATCACATCAACCAGTATGGGAGACCGTCAGGGCGTTTCCGCCTGGCTGTGATCACTTCCTGTTGCTGGCTCTCCCGTGTTCTTGTTATTGAACCCACAAATCGGAACTAATATGCAAGTCTGACGAAAAGTGCGCCTGTTCGGTTTGGTTAAAAAAAGAGGTGGAAGTTTTTATTTACAGTAGTAACAGATTCTGATGGCTGACAGCGCTGCACGATGTCTAAGTATCCTTTTCGTATCATTTATGTGTTTACGTTTTTTTCGTGCCCAATGCACGGGTTACTTTATCACGTTTCGTTACTTTATAATGAAATAGGTCAACTAAACTGAAATAACTAAACTAAATAGCTAAACTTAAATACTGTAGCTATAAACTATCTATCAAAGGGCGATAAGCTGACCACTCGAGGCTGGTCGAGTGATCCATCACGCACCAGAAGATAACGCTACACGGGCACCCGCCAGGTCGGGTGTCCCCTGCTACTTCCCCACTCGACGCTGCCACGGAACAGGCTGACCATCTTGTGTCCAAGGGAAGCGAGATGTAGCTCTTGAGCCCCGTCTCATAGTTATTTTACTTGGTTTAATTTACTTCCCGAATTTTCGGTATTGTCGTGTTTACTCTTGAAACTGAATAGTGCTTGGTTGTTTCCCCCACCGTCTCGTTCACACTAGTGTTACTTGCTTACCACTTTCACTGCACATGAGTATTTCCTTATGTTTCTGTGGTTCACCTGTGTTTCCAGTTCCCCCCTCCCCCCCATACCCCCAACATGTCCATGTATTTTCTTGTCCCTCACCTGGAAATGCCTGGCTCTATCCACTTTATTCCATTCACTATCTACTGTTGCTATCACATTACCTCTTATCATTTTCTCTTCTAATGCCGTTAGTTTTAACTCACTTAGCCTATCTTCATTATTCATTTATCTTATCTCTAATATCTATCTTGCAGGAAATCTTTAGACCTTCTAACCTTTCTTATCATGCTTTACCAGGTATGGGCTCCACGCTAAACCTGCTTACTCTAAGACTTGTTTGACATGTGTCACGTACAATATTCTGAAGAATTACTTGGCCAGGATCTTGAAAGCTATACTTATCTCTGCTAATTTTTCATAAACAACCCATGTTATTCTGTCACTATATATCTCTAGTGCAACACTCACTCCCGGACCCTGTTTACCATTTGACTCTTAAAATTGTCTCCCACGTAACTCGTCTCTAGGTATCTTATCCACTCTCCTGAACCTCATTACTTGACACTTCTGAACCTCATTATTTTATACTCAATTGCCATTTGGCCACGCATCCCTGCAGCCTGTCCAGGCCCTCCTTTAGTATTGTACAACAGCAATTGATTGATTGATAAAGATTAAGCCACCCAAGAGGTGGCACGGGCATGAATAGCCCGTAAGAACAACGTAGTCGTCTCTGGTTTTATATATAGAGCCAGGTCTCTTCATCTCTGAGCGAGAGTATACCTGACGCAGGAGCTGGGTAACCTCGTTAATTCCCTACACACCAAGTGTCATAACTTGCCTCACATAAATAGTAATCAGGGTATATATTATTTATCTGCACTGAAACATTTCTTTACAGAAGGCTGTACAGTGTTGCTTCACGTGGTGGGGTAAACATGGTGCTGAATAACCTAACCTGTTCCAGTAACTACTCGGCCGATTACCCAAAACCTTAGCCAAGTATCCCAAGTGTGCTTACTGCAAATTGGTTTCCCAGACGGACCGAAACGTCGTCGTCCCTTCAATTTCTAGTGTCTGGTCTAGTCAACATACTTTAGCCACGTTATTGTTACTCATCGCCTGCAATTCATCAGTGTTCTTACCCCACACATCATAGATTAGGGATCAGTTCCCGAGCCCATTATGTGTCTTAACTTCTCCACAGCTGCTCACGAGACGCATGGGCTGAATAATGAATGGTAACTAAACTGGTTAATCAAACTTCCAGTACCAAGGCAAAAATTTCACAAGAGCAGCTCTAATCAATCGAGAACTTGGCCACAGTATACAAGACAACAGCTGCTAGGATGCTATACATTTTTCACTCACGAGAATATTACTGTGAATTGTCTTAAAAAAAGGGAATCCTGTTTTGAAATCTTTCCATAATATATGTAACAGAGTCCCTGAGCAGAAATATATATAAATATTTCCCCCGAGCAGAAATAAATATATTATTTCCACACCAGAAATAAATATATCTTCGATATTCCCAGAGTCCGACTAAATCTATAGAACCCAATATATGGAACTCACTCCCCAGTGAATTAAAAATTTGTCCAACCTATACTTCATTCAAAAGTAGAACAATGAAGCACCTAATTTCATCTTCATAGTATCCCACCTTGTGCTACTCTCACAGTATCTTGTGGTACCCACTCACGCAGTATATTACAACATAGAAATGCAACTTCGTCAGTATAGTTTATTTTATATTATGGAGAGGCATTTATTACGAGAATTCAAATTCCGTTGCAATGTACCTATCATTACATTTATTGATTAGCTTAAGGCCGTATCCAAAACGTTATGCGTGCTAGCGGCTTTGCAGGAATGTTCCACTCAATCACCAATATATGTTGTTTTACAACACATTATACCTTTTTGTATATAAATAAATAAATAAATAAATAAATAAATAAAACAACTGCTTTCTTTTAGCAAGTTTAGTGCGTGTAAAGCCTTTGAGGAACGTTTTATAAGTGCAATAATGGGCAGTGGTCTGTGTTTACAAGACGCCACGCACTCTCTCTCCAACTTCCGCATTCTTAACAATTTGTACACTCAAATTACCAAGTCTCAGTGCAATTTGTCCACGTCCAACTACGATACACTTTCAAGAGTAAGAAGCGCAGACACACACACATACACGAACGCACGCATAACCCCCCCCCCTCCAACACACAAAGTGCATATAGGTGCGAAAATTTATGTAAATAGACGAACACCTTGGGAGGGTTGATATGTAACCTGTCCTCCCACTTAATGCAAAGCAATTTTTTGACGCTATCGATCGATTATCGTCTAAATTCCACTAATTTAGTGAATTAAAAGCACAGGAATATCGACTCTTTCTCTGACTTATGGTTAAATGATGTACTTATGTGGGCGCAACCCGTTCACGACACTGGAACACAGAAGTGTTAGGTGAGACATGATCACCACCTATAAAATGATCAGAGGAATTGACTGGGTAGATAAAGACAAACTAATTAGCACGGGTGGTATACGAACGTGGGGACACGGGTGGAAACTTAGTACCCAAATGAGCCACAGGGGACGTCAGAAAGAACTTTTAAAGAAAGAAAGATCAGGGTAGTTAACAGATGGAACGCATTAGGAAATGATGTGGTGAAGGCTGACTCCATACAGTTTCAAATGTAGAGAACCTGTACACCTGAGAACGTGGCTCAGGAACCTGTACACCAGTTGACTGACAGTTAAGAGGTGGAGCCAAAGAGCCAAAGCTCAACCCCCTCAAGCAGAACTAGGTGGGTACACACAAACATGCAAATAGACGGGGCCTCGCGGCTGAGTGGACAGTACTCGGACAGCGCACGTAGTCCTCAGGGCTCGGGTTCGATTCCCGACCGAGGAAGAAACAAATGGGCACGTACATTCACACCGATGCCCCTGTTCACCTAGCAGTGAATAGGTACCTGGGAGTTATACCACTGTTACCGGTTGTTGTTGTTGTTACAGATTCAGCTACTCGGAACAAGTTCCAAGTAGCACGGGCTATGGTGAGCCCGTAATGGATTTACCTGGCACAGAAGCGGTGCTCCTTTACCGGTTGTTTCTTGGAGATGTTTATGTACTCTCCTAGAACCCCTGCAAGCACAACTCGTTTAGTTGTGCTTGCAGGGGTTGAGCTCTGGCTCTTTGGTCCCGCCTCTCAAATGTCAATCAAGTGGTGTACAGATTCCTGAGCCTATTGGACGCACACACCTCGTTCGCGTGTGTGTATTAAACAGAAATATATGTAGTAGACATAATACAATAAAAATAAATTGGTTAGAAAGCAGGGTCCAAGAGCTAATAGCTCGATTCTGCAGGAATAAATAGTAAATACATTTCACACACACACATATATATAAATATATATATATATATATATATATATATATATATATATATATATATATATATATATATATATATATATATATATATATATATATAATATAATAAACCCATTATAAAAGATAAGTAGTGAACTCACCAGCCGAAGTACCAGTGTGGTGTGCCTGGGAGCCGGGCGGCGCGGGCGGGGTGCATGGCCAGGGCCGCCCGCAGGTCCACGAATTCTGTGCGGAAGGGAAGGAACTGACAGTCGTCGGCCACGGCATCGTAGGAGCCCTCAATACTATCATAGACGCTACGGAAGAAGGCCACCGAGAACTTATCTAAGGCCAGCCAGTGTGCGGCGCCGCGACGGACGAGCAGTGGGCGGGAGAGGTACGCCCACTCCTCAAACTCCGCCCGCGAGATGTTGGCACTCAGGTCCGCGGGGCCACTCACGCCCCTACACACTCGCTCACACCTCGTTCGCGGGCGCGTCGCCTCCATCACGAAGTAGTTGTTGCGCACGATGCATTTCGAGGTGATAAAATCGTTCTTTAATCTAATCAAAATGTCGGAGTATGAATTGAAGACGAAGCTGAGGGCCAGCACGACCATGGCACCTGCTACCCATCTCCGCCAGCGGCAAGGTTTGTTGGCACTGTTGGCACACGCGGCCAGCTCCCTGTACTCTTCTCCACCCCTGACATCCAATTTGCCGTAGGCGGTGGTGAGGTAGATGTCCATGAGATGGTCGAGGGGGATGCCAGCTCGCGTGGCTTGCCCGAGGAGGGCGTGACAGAGGAGACGAAGCTTGGTGAGGCTATGGGCGGCGCAGTCCTCGGCCACATTGTTGTTCTCTGCCATCCCAGGCTCATCTGGCCGTAAACATCCAGCTGGCAGCCGCACTCACGCATCTCCCACACCAATAGTCACGCCGCTCATTTATTTAATTTATTTATTTATATATATACAAGAAGGTACATTGGTATTGTGAGGATACATAGTATAGTAATTACTATCTTGTAAAGCCACTAATACGCGTAGCGTTTCGGGCAGAAACGCATCACTCATCGCACACATCTCGTGTAAAAGTATTCATACACAATTAAATTATTATAAATTTTGCTATATTTCTTGTAACAACACTAACATCAATTAAATCTCATCAATTATAAGGCCGTTACAATGATCAATCGTCTAAACCAATATCTAATGATTACGGTGTGACTATTATTCTGGCAATTCATGGCGCGTGAATTTGAGCCAGCAGAGGACACGGTCCGGCTTCCTTCCGGACGTTTGACTTGGGAATATGACACCGTGCGCCATACTAATCAATCATGATGGCTTATTGGCATGTATCCGAACCCGATAAAATTCAAATACGCTGCCAACTCCTCTATGGTTAATTTATTTATTTATTCAGCCTCGTCGAGGCCACTATTATGTTAGTGGCCCTCAAAATTGCGCTGCACTGCACAATTTACACCAAGTCTTGCGCATTCTCCTGAGTCATTTACCAAGATCTGAATGTGTACATGTAATTAGGACGAGACTAACATCTCAACGTCTAATCCAGACATTGACGTTGTAGACGCTGAGATGTAAGTTTTGTCCTAACCACACACTCAGACCTTGATAAAGCACCCAGGCGAGAGTGAAAGACTTGTTGTCACTTCCTTATATAAATTTTACAAGTTTGGGTTTTTATCCTAAATTCATTCATTCAGCGCTTATCAAAGGTCGTAGTCCTAAGAGCCCAGGTTCGATTCCTGGCTGAGGCAAAATAACATATATTCATTCATTCATTCATTCAGCACTGATCAAGGGTCGTAGTTCAAATCCTGGCCGATGCAGAAACAAATGGGCAAGGTTTCCTTACCTGATGCCCCTGTTCACCTAGCAGTAAAAACGTACCCAGGAGTTATCTGTTATATGGGCTGCATCCTGGAGATGTGTGTGAAAGAAATACAGTATATGAACTTGTTCACATATTTGTGAGCGACCTTTTTGTAACTTCACTCGCTCATAAATAAGCGAGCGAAGTTCAGCAATGACCTTATTTTGAAATTTTCCCACGATGCTTCCATGCCTGTTAACTGCCTCCAGAAAGTATTTTGTAATTCATCTCTCATCCAAGTTTAAGTTCAAGTATGTTTATTGAGACAAGAAAAAGAATACATCTCAAAGGGATAGAGTAGCTTAGGCTATTTCTACCCCCACCATTCCTTGTTATTGATGTATTAAATATGACAGAAAATGTTAGATCACTGAATCTAGCACGAATCATCTCTGTGTTCCTTATGTTCTTCACTTGCAAAGAAAGTTGAAAAATTAACTCTCTAAAATTCATCTCCACAGGGATAAAAAAAATTCCCTGTGAAATCCTTGTAAATGTTTTTTATATTATTTACTCAGCCTAGTTACCTGTTCAAGTAGTGCTTATAGTAACGATGAGGACCATTGTACATATATTGACATAAAGACAATTAGAAAGTAGAAATCATTACTACTGAATTTGGCCAAACTGGAAAAGCTTTTGATATAACGTGAATTGTACCAAATTCTACTAATTGCCCATTACGTCTACAGTATATATGTACGATGGTCCACATACCGGGTAGTTACAAAAAGTATTCTCTAAACAGGAGGATGGGTTGTATTTAATATACATTTTCTGTACCTATTAATTAACCACTGTATTATGTTTATGTATGTTTTTAAATAAAATTATTATTATTAATATTCACATAAAATTATTATATCATATTATGATTACAGTATTATGAGCCAGTGAGAAGTGCGAGTAAGTGAGCAAGACCAGTGAGGGATCGAGAGATTCAATGTGTAAGCCAGTGATATATTTTTAATTTGTTTTAAGACAGAAAGGTGTATATTAGGGACTAATGTGGGATGGAGATATGCTGATAAGGAATACTTGTCTGAATATAGTATTAAAAGCATCTTTCTTAATGGAAAAGCATCATACACAATAAGGTATGACCTGCAAGGTCATACTACTTGTGAGAGAGTAAATTGCAGTAAGTTGACATGTAGCTGCCACAGCCCAACATTATGTGCCAGGGCCGGGGTAAACAAGGTGGCATTCCAAGCCCCAAATGTCTCATTCCTAAGAAAAACCTGAAAAATTGACCAAACTTCATGCCAGTCCACCAATTGCGAATTGGCAGAAAGTAATCGAATCACAACCAAGATGGAGAAGCGGATCCAACATCAAAAGTATTCTGATCCATCTCCAAAGTATGGTCCCAGTCCTGGAGGATGAACCGAAGGAGAACCTTGCACCAAAGCTAGCATAAGATGAGACCATGGAAATCTGTGAAGAGCAGGCAAAATCGACACACTGAATGATATGCCAAAATGCATTTGAGGAAAAGAATCAAATTCAAACTGTGACTGAGGATAAGATAGTACAGAGGACAAAATCTCCAGGGTCAAGAACCAAAAGCCAAGAAGTCAAAAAGAAACTTTTCCTCCCAAGAGACAAATAACAGAAGATGGCCATGGGAGAGCACCACACTCTTAAAAGAGAATGCAACCGCACTTCAGGAAGATCCAAAGGCTCAAAAACAATAGCCAAACACAAGAGTCGCCACAGAAATTTCTGTCATAATTATCTCTGCCACAAGCTCAAATGGGGCAATCCCAGAGGACTGAAACTCCCAAATCCAACAGAAGATGAGACTCCAAAGGCCAAGAACACTTCCAAGCCCTAGGCACCAGTACTTGGCATATGTATACCTGAGCATTCTCTCCATCTTCCTGTGAAACAGTGGGGGTTCAAACTTTGTTTCAGGCCCAAGCCTGAAACAGAGCTATATAGTCCTTATTCATTAGTTTTTCTTTAATAGATTTTATACTTTTTTATTTGTGGGTTTGCCAAACTTAAAATTACTTACATCCGTGGTACAATGAGCTCCTAGACTAGTATTTTCCCAATTTGTACATGGCATGATATTTGAAATGTTGCCTCAGCACTGTATACAAAAATGGGATGGCCAATGTATTTACAAGTATTACACCCAAAAGGAAATATATTGTGATACTAATTGCTAAGAGAAAGGGAGCTTATTATGACAGTAAATAGAGGCATCTTTAAAAATGTGATTGTAGCGAGTTCAAGGTGACAAAGATAGTGATGTAGTGAAAAATAAAGAAAAGCTTTTTAAATTCTTTGCCAAAACCGAGGCAAAGGAATAGTAAGAAAGGTGTGTCTTGAAGGTAAGGAAGACATTGAGTACAGCAAGCCTCAAGTGATGTTTTGATGAAGCAATGTGGCAGTGATACAGGCAGAAGTGAAACCAATAGAAAATACCAGTGATACAGTAGTTGCTCATGAAAGATTAAAAAATTTCAAGCCAAAATGAACATTATTGACAGGTGCATGTAAGTACAGCACCATATTCAGAGGGGTGGCTTAGGAGCTTTAAAATTGATCATACTAAACAGGAAAAGATAATTTCCAAGCATGTCTCGCAGCACAATTATTACTGACACTAATATAGTACATTGTACTCTTGCTTGAAATGTCACATGCCACCATGCTCCGCCCATTGCAACTGGAGTTCTGTTACATATGGAGTTTACTGGAAGCACAGTACAGTACTGTACTGTATTGTGGGAAATGTACCCCCTTTAAATTATTTCCATGTTTACATGCATATTATTACCCCACAAAGTGATCTGCCAAACATTATGAAATTGCTTATCATGCTTAACTTATTTACATATTTTTTCATTGAGTTTCTAGTTATTGTTGCTCATATTTAGTTCTGATTCATTCTTCCTTGTACCATCATTATACAGAGGGAAGTAATATGACAAAATATGAGGACAGAAAAAAAGGAACAGTACCCAACCTTTTGAACCAAAGAGGATAGAATGCTGACCTTACAAGAAGCTATACTTATCAGTCCAACAGGATGGACTATCACATCAATATGTAGAGATTAGAAATTTGGTGAAACTAGATTTTTTATCCTAAATTTATTTTTATTTCTAATAGTACAAGAATGTGTATGCAATACGGTATAGCTCTTCCTATACTGGGCCAACTCTGAAGAAATGTTTGGCACAGAGATAAATTGTGACAGTCATTTGCTACTAAGGAAAATCCAGGAGTCTATACTTTAACTTTGCAATGGGAAAATGACACAAAAGTAAAATGATCCATAATATATTGCTTGCAAAATTTTAAATAACACATTGGTTGTAAAATCTAAGATGCTTTTATTAGTTTAACTTAGCTAGCAAGCTCCTACATGACAGGAAGTGATATGTTAAATACGCAGTACAATACTAACATTTTATCACTCTCACTCAACTCCTAATAAAAAAAAAGTGTTCCAAAAACACATCACGTGAAAAACATAAACTAACAGTATAAATTTTCTCACTGAGAATACAAAGGCAATATAAATATCTAGAACATAATATTTTTACAACTAGTTGGTTGTGTTTTCCCTGGAACTGGATGGGTTGTCCATCATAAATAATTTTAGCTTTTTAAATAATCTGCTAACCTCCTCCTTGGGATATGGCTTTGTCACTAGACATGTTGGGGTATCTTCAGGCTGCTCAATCCATAGCTTGTGATCAATGGCGGCTTCATTCAATTTCTCTGATAGGTTACGTAGTTTTGTTTCATTATCAATTCCCAGTACAACCTGTCATAAGCAAACAAGTGTAATAATACCATATTTCAGAAGATATATAATCTAACAGACTTTGTCAAGGAAAAAAAAGTGTTCAAAAGGGTGACACTGAGTAAAATGAGACTTATGTCCCAAGACTACTGCTTAATACTTATATTAAACTACATCACTCTCAAGACCACAACATCATCCTGAATTGCCTGGACAGGACAGCACAATGATCACACGCACCAGCGATTATAGGTGGTTCCGTATACTTGAGAATGTGTTCACTCAGAAGCTGACACCAGTAATTAACATACAAGTGAATTCGACTTCAAACATACAGTTGTTTGATGCCCCTCTAATGATCGACAGAGAAGATAACAGACCCAGTAGACGACTAATTGATGGAGTTAGGCAACAATCACCTCACCCCATTCTTTGGCACTCTCTATGATTTAGGTAGTTAGATGAATCATAAGGTGAGGTGAATCCACACGTATAATTGTCTGTGCTTCTGCATGTAAGCTTTGTGCAAAAGTAATTCACTATTCTTGAAGATGTCACATCGCTGACAAAACGTTCAACAATAAAATGGAAAAATTAAGTGATCTAGTGATTAAAAGGAATCTATTTAACATCTGGGACTATATTAATTTAAGTGAACTGGAATTTTTTATTGCATATGACTTGCTTAACTTATGCATTACTTTACAAACTTCTTAGTTGAAAAATGATAAAAATTCATAATTTAATTTGATTAGGAAATATTATACTGTTTAAGTTACTGTACATAAATGTAATTCACTTTTATCTAAATGTACTGTTTAAAAAACTAGTTGAACATGGAAATTAAATTTAAGATCATACATTAATATTTATTTACATACTATAACTATAAACATGCTGCTACTGAATTTGCTACTAAAAATTTAAGGTGAGAAGGTGCACACGTTAAAGAATAGGATAAAGAATAGGAAATACTGGTATGAGCGGATGAAAATAGATTCTGAAGAGTAATCCAAAATATGCTAAAATATGAAAAAATAAAAATACTGTACAGTAGCAGTAATATCTATAAAGATATAGAATCAGTAGACATATAAAGTGATGTGTATATAGTACCATCAATGAGCATAGATGGAATGGCATGTTTAAAGAAACATTAGTGGGAATAGATGGAATAGTGTGTATACCATAACATTAGTGGACATACATGGTATGGGTGTAGATGGAGTAGTATAAAAAAAATAAGGAATGTGTATATGTATGAAAAGGTAGGAGTTTATGAGATGATGTAGTAGTTACATAGTTTCAATACCACTTCAGAAGGCAAAAGAAGGTATGTACAGTATCCAAAAATTACAAAAAGTATGTTTTTGAGATTACTGGTAAGATGCACAAATGCATAAATAAACTACATAAAAATATATATATAAAATCCCCCATTAACGAGGAAAAAGAATTAACAAAAGTACAAAACTAAATTAAATTGTTAATGTTACAAAAAAGTCTAATAACAATTAAACCCCTCAAATGAACCTCATTAAAGACACTGTCAGTTCAAACCTTATGCATGTTGTCTAAGTCAGCCAGGTATCTTTGCATATTTTTATCTTCGTGGTAAAGATGGGCAACTGCAGTAGAGGCATGACAGGCCTGAGCAATGACAGCACCTACAGGCCATGCTAGCGAGGTCATAAGGTCTGTGCGTACCACAACATACTGAACAAGTCCAAGTGTGGCTCCTGACATGGCCTCTTGCACCTGTACATATCATCAAATATATATTAGTTAAATTAAAAACAATAATTATTCCTATTATTACTTAAGTCTCAGACATTAGAAAGTAAGCAATTATCAAAAGAAGGCACCAAGCTGGGAATTCTTCGTTGCAGTGCTTGACATTAAGGTATTTTAGTAAGACAAATTAAAGCTGCTCTAGCTAAAAATCTTGCCGTCTAAAAAATATCCAAATATGGTTGCCTCCAGTGAGAAAATGTCAGATGAAACTGTCGTCTCTGATCAGAATTGATATATAATAATGCTTGGCTATTAGAGAATAGATCAGTTAAGGATAAGCAATAAATAGATTAACAATAGTCAGTCTTAACAAATATTATCTGATAGCTGATGGCTCAGATGAATGCCAAAGATAAACATTAAATATTACAAACTCAGTACAAGTTATTATACAAAATAAAAATCTTCTCAAACTCAGGAAATACTGCCAGAATATTAACTGAAGATTTAGATGGAAAACTCTCAAGATTTAATTAACAAAGAAATTAAATTAATTTGTTTGTAAGCATTATATTTTCAGTAAAGATACACTCTTGGGAAATACAATTATTTTTTCCAAGATGTGCTTTACAACAACAACAGATGTGCATTGCTTTTCAATAATGCAAACTGTATTTTGTGCCTATCAATTAGCAGGCCTATGTACTATCCTTACAGGCTACTCATGCCCGTGCCACCTCTTGGGTGGCTTAATCTTCATCAATTTTATGTACTATCAATGTTGCTGGCTTGCTTTATGCGTTATGCGTCCATAACGCATAAGCCAACAACATAATTTTCATGTTATATCATTCACATCACCGGTAAATGACAATGTATTTTCGGCCACAGACCTGCTTCAAAACGTCAACACAAGAGGTCGGTTACACACCTGAACCTGTGCGGTGGCGGCACCCAGCTGGCCAGGGGAGTACTATACACTACAGTATTGCATTTTATATTTATTTATATATACATATATGCCAGAGTTCTTACATTCATGCAAAGCCACTAGCACGCATAGCGTTTCTGGCATGTCCTTAATCCTACTGTATTTTTTCTCCCCAAATGCGACCCGCCAAATCGTTTAGGTATCCATTCACTACTGGGTGAACAGAGGCTACAGTTAAGGATTGGTGCCCAGTCAATCCTCCCCGGCCAGGATACGAACCCGGGCCAAAGTGCCGGGGGAGTACGTTACCACTGCGCCACGGGGACATTACACAAGGACACTTTCATTATAGAATATTGTACATTATCTTAATGTTAAATTTAACAGTGTAGATCAAAAGTTAGCTATAAGTTCATTTAATAGTCCCATCTCACAGGATGGTTAGTTATACACGGAATCAGGGGAGAAAATACCAGCCTCAATACAAAAACAAATAAACTCTGACTGAGAACATGAAATGTAAGGCTGATCTATTGGCCCCACTAGAAAAATCTGGGTATAGCACAAGAAAAATTCTTCCAATATTCCTGAGTGTATGAAATAATTACTGAGCTCAAAGTACCTCATAGTCTTATACCACATGGTCTGAAGTCACTTATAACAGGGCAATCACAGATATAGTGTTGGATCAGTTCTTGTTCACATAGTTTACAATTGGAATGTTCACCATTGGGGGATTCATTATCTGCAGCCACCTGCCATGATGATGATGATTTGATTTATAAATTATACATAAGAACTTGTTGCAGTAGTTAATTATAGTAGATACATAAATTATATATTATTTAAAACCACTGTAATACAGCAACAATTTAGAGCATAACAAAATAATTTAATTAACTTATTTTAGCAGTCCAAATAGGGGTGCACCACAAATTTGTCACCAATATTGGAAGATATTCTTGAACTGTACCAAGATTTTGTACACGCATAGCACGCATAGCGTTTCGGTCAAGTCCTTAATTCTAATTTTCACACACACCCACATATCCCTAGGAAGCAGCCCGTAGCAGCTGTCTAACTCCCAGGTACCTATTTACTGCTAGGTGAACAGGAGCATCAGGGTACAAGAAACTGCCCATTTGTTTGCGCTTCTACCGGGGATCGAACCTCGACCCTTAGGACTACGAATGCCGAGCACTGTCCACTCAGCCGTCAGGCCCTCTGGAGGACAATAAAGTGTCATGGGCTTTGCAGGTATGTACAAATAGCAATCTTATGTAATCTCTCATACCCATTGTACCTTCTTGCAAATAAATAATTATTACAATATATCAGCATCGTATTTCATGTTCTCTCATGGCTCCATATATGACTAACCATCTTGTGAGATAGGGATATTAGATGAACTTATAGCTAGTTTTTGATCTACACTTTGTAATCTTTCATGTAGAGTAGGGTAGTAGCACATTATTGTGCATACCTAAGCTTGTTAATAACAAAAAATCCATGAAGTCAAAGACTAGCTTAATTTTTCCTAGAGTTGGGTTGGCTTTTTTTTTCACTGTAGCTCCCACTTGTTGAGTAGCTTTCAATGACTGGTGGATTCTGATTCCTAAGCCCTTTCTTTATCAATCTGCTACATGGTACTGTTGGTGATTTGATAATTGTGGAAGGTTTGTGGAGAGGGTTGTCCTCGTGGTTGTGGGGGGGCGGGGGTTTGGAGAGGAAGGTGGAAGAAAGGGGAGGATACTGAGGTTGGGGGAAGGGAGTGAGTGGGTGGGTGGAAGCGAGATGTTATGGAGTGGGAGATAGGGAAATTGAATTGAAATTGAAATAAGTTTATTGAGGTAAAATACACACAAAGGGATGAGGTAGCTCAAGCTATTCTCACCCCGTTCAGTACATCGTGTAAGGAGACAGGGAAGGGAAGTGTGTGTGTGGAGACAGGGAAGGGTGGTGTGCAGAAACGGGGAAGCTTTTTACCAAAATAGTACTTCGATTATTTCAAAAGACAGATGTAAAAAACTTCTCAAGAATAATAATGGGGTGCTTTTGACAAGTCACCGGCTTTCTAACCCAGTCGGGACGACTATTATAGAGTGGTCCTCGGGTATATATAAATTCAATTCATACGTAGATCCTGAATTTACCTGATGACACCGTCTCATATATACAGTAGACAGAAAGTAATATATGACATGTAGGCGACCAGTTTATCCCAAACACACAAAACCGAAGCTTACGAAAACCTATTTTCGTGCTAATTGGGACTTTTTTTTCCCCCTGAGACGAGCTGTCAAATTACCCGCGGTCGCTTATTTCTTTAGAGAGAACCTTTGTATTTTATTTAATAAAAACGCATTAAGAAAAATATTAGTTGAAAACTTGGATTATAAAAAGTAGAAAACTTCTTATAAATTATAAACTTATAGATTTAAACCCTCCCAAATAATTATAGTTAGGTAGAGATCAATCAGTGTGAGGAATGCTCACCTGACCCTAGAGTACAGTTTGTGTACATCATCACCAGTGTCGCTGGGGAAGTACGCTGCTCTCCACCTCATGTCCTTCTGTTAAATAACCGGGCGCTCACCTAGGCCCTTTCTCAGGTGTAGGCGCAACAGGGAAGAGACTTGTGGAGGGCGTAGTGGCCAGATACCCTTGTAGTAGTGCCTAGGAGGGCGCGAGATGGATAGAGGAGGCGGTGAGTGACCCAGATCTGCTGTGCCCACACGGAACCCACTACTCCAGATGGGATCCTGGAAGCCTCTTGGTACGTCAGTTTCTTCACCTGTTCTGAGATCAGTTAATTTTATTTTATTTTTTGGGGGGATTGTGTGCTTGGATCTTGTATTGAGTAAAGACAAAGATAGTATGGATCAACAGCTGCTGAGAATGTTGACCCTTAACATTATGTTGAGGAAATTTCATGTCTTTATCCACACTGGAGGCTAGTCAAAGATGGCACGAACCCTATAAGTTTGATATAATCTGTGCCATCACAACTATTAGCAATCCTGCTTTTGCATTGTGCTTCGGGAACAAATATTTATCTGAAGTAATGTTGCATTGCCTAACATTATATTGTATACAAACTGTACAGCAGCTTTTAGACCTTTGTCAATATAGCACATTGGCCCATTGACCTGTCTTCACAGTTTATAGCACCCCATTGATCTGCGTATGATGTGTAATGATTTTCTTGGTTACCATGTATATTGTATTGCAAAGACAGCTTGTACAATAATGCAAATTTATGATATCTATGTTTGTATATATCATGTGTGATGTGAAATGAGTTTGGCTTGCACCAGGTTCCCCCTCCCCGCTCAGCTCGTTGTCGCCGTCTGGGGGCTTAGTGGGCGGCTGCCGGAGTGTGATGCTCCTTGGGACAGTCCTCTGTCCTTTTCTAGCCTTGTGCTCCTGCTGCCGTCCTCTCCAATTCTGCTGGGCATCTTTTCCTTTTCCTTCTGTTTCGTTTTTCTCCCCCCTCTTCTCCTATCTGCTTGCCGTTTCCTGCCGACCTTTTGCTCGTTCTGGTTCTTCCCTTGGACTTCTTCTACTTTGACGCCCGGGTGCTTGAGGAGGCATACTCTTGCACCCGTAGAACTGCAGTACCCGACGTCGAGAGCGAGGGGAACCTTTTATTGTCAATCCCCACTTCGTCACTGAACCCGATCTCGACGGACTGTCGGTTTCTTAAGGTGGCGTTTGTGGGGCGTATACTCACGACGCACCCCTAGGAGGCCCCGACAAGATCGGCGATAGCTTCTTGTTGGGTGTCCTGCCTCTAATTGTGGCTCCATGGTGGGTGTGGGGGCACATTCGTGAGTGAATTCGTAATTTCGTCAAGATGATAACCCCTGTTTCGGCTGCTTCTGGCTTACCTTTTCAGGCTCGTGGGGTGGGCGACCAAGCCCCCGAGTCGGTCCGTATTGGAAGACCGGGCTCTGTAGCCTCCGCTGCATTGGGCCCCGACCTTGCTCCTCCTTTGGCCTCTCTGACTCCTTCCCCTGGCTCCCCTCCCTCCTCTGTGGTTGGGTCGAGCCCCAAGCCCCCAGTGGTGACTACCTCGTCCCCTGGCGCGGCTCCTTCTCTAGTTGTTACTACTGCGCCTTTTAACCCCTCTCTGGGGGTTCTCACCGCCGTTCTCGTCACGGCCGCCCTCGCTCGATTCCTTCCAGTTCTGCTACCTATCAAGCCTTGTTTGGTCCCGCTTCGTGGGCCAAATATTTTGATCTCCTCCCTCTTGATTCTGCGCCTCCTGACGATTTCTCCCTTCATCGACATCTCATTGATTCCGTGGATGCCTCCATTACTTTTAACCCCACTCGTCTCGGTACGCGTGTCGTTGCTGCTCCTTCTCAGGATGCTGCTTCCCGCTTGGCTGCCTTATCCTGCCTTGGCGAGACCCCCGTTCGGGTCTCGAAGAACGTCCAGTTGAATGCCAGTGTTGGCACTATTTTGCTCCCGCCCCATGTTGCGACCGGTGTTCGGGACCTACGCGACTGCCACGACGATATTCGACATATCCTCGCTGCCCAGGGCCATTCTATTCTCCAGGTGGACACGTTTACTCGTCCCCCTCGTGGTAGTCGCCGTCAACCCCTCCGGGTTGTGAAGATTACCTTTGATGGTAGGACCCTTCCACCCTCTGTCATTCTTGCTGGTGCCAGGTGCTCTGTCCAGGAGTACATTCCTTCTCCTCGGCTCTGCAACAAGTGCTGGAGGTTTGGGCATGGTGCCCTCCGCTGCTCCGGGACTGTCTCTCTCTGTCCTTTGTGTGGTGGCGAAGGTCACTCTAAGTCGGAGTGCGCTTCTCCCCAGGCTCGTTGCCTCAACTGCGGTGAGGCCCATCCTACCTTCTCCCGTGCGTGTGTCCATTACAAGCTTGAGGCAGCCGTCCTCAACTTGAAGCACCGGGAGCGTTTATCTTTTCCTGAGGCGAGGCGCCAGGTTCGCCGGCTCCCGCCTTATGCTAATATCTCTTATGCTCGCGTGTTGCGCTCTTCCTCTCCTCGTCCTTCCCGCCTTCCTCAGACTCACAACCGTTTCCAGGCCTTGGACCCTGATGCGCCCACTGCCCCCTCCTCTGTCCCTTTGGGTTCTCTCCCGAAGGATCCTCCTCCTGGTCCTCTGTCTGGGGTTCCCCTTCCTTCTACCCGGTCTGTCGTGTCTTCTGTGTCTCCTTCCTCGTCCCCCTCCGATCCTCCTTCCCATCCTCTTCCTCCATCTATCGGCTCTCCCCGCCGCCTGTCGGTGCGGGCGGATGTCCATCGCTCTCCTAATGGCCGTCGTGTGTGCTCTCGTTCGGCTTCTCCTGTTGAGACACTGGAATCCGTTGCCCGGTACGTAGTTGCTGGGACACCGGTCTCTTTAAGTCAGAAGCGTAAGCCTGGCTCCTCTCCTTCCTCTTCCCCGGCGGGTAAGAAGGCTTCGCTTTCTTCCTCAGCTCCTCCTTCTGGCTCTGTTGCTCCTTCCCCTCCCGTTTCAGTGCTTGCGCCCCCTGTTCCTGCTATGGAGGTTTCTTTGGCCCCTGCTTCCCTTTCGGTTGCTGCTCTTGCTGGGGTGCGCTCCTCTCTTTCTACTCCCCCTCTTCCTGCTGCTGTCCTTGACTGCTCCTCTCCGTTGTCTCCTCCTCCTCCTCCTCCTCCTCCTCCTCCTCCTCCTCCTCCTCCTCCTCCTCCTCCTCCTCCGGACCCTGCCCGCCCACCTCTGATCTGTTCTCCCGTTTCCTTCCCTCCGTCTTTGCTCAGTTTACCCATGCCCCCTAACCCTGACTTTGCTGACCCTGATCCCGACCCTGATATTCTTTAACGTGCTCTGTTGGTCTTTCGCCTTTGTTTCTTCCTTGTTCTCTGTTTTTGTCCTTTCTCTTCTCGTCGTTGTCCATTCTTCAATGGAACGTTCGAGGTTATTACGCCAATTTCCTCGAACTCCAACTTCTGGTTTCGCGGTTTTCGCCCCTTTGTGTCTGTCTCCAGGAGCCGATGCTTGGTGCTCGTCCTGGTCGTTTTCGTGGCTATTCCTTTCTCTCCCCCCCCCCAGCCATTGCTGGGGCTTCTAATTCTTCTGCTCTCTTGATTCGGGCTGATGTTCCCTTTGTTCCTTTACTTTTTCCTTCGCCTCTCCATTGTTCTGCTGCTCGTATCTTTGTGGGGAAATGGTACACAGTTTGTTCCATTTATCTCCCCCCGAGTGTCCCGCTCTCTCTTCCTGATTTGAAACACCTCCTAGACTCCTTGCCGGAGCCTGTGCTCCTGCTGGGTGACTTCAATTGTCGTCATTCTCTTTGGGGTGACGTTCTGACGAATACCCGGGGTCGCCTCCTTGAGCCGTTTCTCCTCTCTTCTTCCCTGTCTCTTCTGAATTCTGGTGAGCCCACTCATTTGGACTCTCGAACCCGCACCCTTTCTTGTCTTGATCTTTCTCTCTGCTCTTCTTCTCTTTACTTAGATTTCACATGGCAGGTTCTTGATGACCTCCATGGAAGTGATCATTTCCCCATCCTTGTTTCCTTTTTCTCTTTTCGCCCTTCCCTCTCTTTCCCTAGGTGGCAGTTTGCTAAGGCGGACTGGACCCTGTTTTCCCTCAGTGCTACTCTCTCTGACCTCTCCCTTCTGCCCCTCTCTCGCGCTCTCCTCCTTTTTCATGACACTGTCTTCGACGCTGCCCTCCGCTCTATTCCTCGCTCTTCCTCTCGGGGTCCACGGAAGTGCGTTCCCTGGTGGAATGCGGACTGTGCTCGGGCTGTCCGCTGTAAGCGTGCAGCCTGGAAGAAGCACCGCCGTAGGCAGACGGCCGATTCTTTTCTTTTCTTTCGGAGAGCGAGTGCGGTGGCCCGTAGGGCCATCCGTACGGCTAAACGTGAATGTTGGGCATCTTATGTCTCGACAATTACGTCCGAAACCCCTCTGGCCCAGATCTGGAAGCGTATCCGCAAGATAGCGGGTAAGTTCGTTCCCGATGTTTCACCGGTCCTTCACCTCCATGATACTCTTGTGGCGGACCCGTTGCAGGTCGCTTCCGAACTGGGTTCCCACTTTTCTTCTGTTAGCTCTGGTCTTCATCTTCCCCAATCTTTCCTTCTTCGTAAACCTGTCCTTGAGTCTCGTCCTTTAGATTTCTGCACTCATCTTCAGCTTTCCTATAATGATCCCTTCTCTCTCTCTGAACTTCGTTCTGCCCTGGCCCTCTGCGGTTCTACGGCGGCGGGCTCCGATGGTATTCATTATGAGATGCTTCGCCATCTCCCTCCGAGCACGTCTCAGTATTTACTGAGTCTGTATAATCGGATCTGGGAGTCGTCGTCAGTCCCTGAGGACTGGCTCGATGCCGTTGTCCTCCCTGTTCGCAAACCAGGGTCTCTGGGTACTTCCCCTAAGGACTTTCGCCCTATTGCTCTCACAAGTTGTGTCTGCAAACTCTTTGAACGTATGGTTAACGTTCGTCTGATGTGGTTCCTGGAACACCATCACCTCCTCTCCCCTTCTCAATTTGGTTTCCGCAAGTGCCGCAGCACGACAGATGTCCTGGTGAACTTGGAGGTCTATATACGTACTGCTTTTGCTGCGAAGACCTCCGTTGTTGCCGTCCTTTTTGACCTAGAAAAGGCTTACGACACCACTTGGCGTTATCATATCCTATCTCAACTTCATTCTTTTGGCCTTCGTGGTCATCTCCCTCTCTTTCTCCGCAGCTTCCTCTCTCGTCGTTCCTTTCGGGTGCGCCTTGGTACCGCTCTCTCTCCCCCTTTTCAGCAATACGAAGGTGTGCCCCAGGGTAGTGTTCTGAGCACTACTCTTTTTCTGGTTGCCCTCAATGGTCTTCTTTCCTCTCTTCCTTCTGGTGTCTTCTCCGCTCTCTATGTCGATGATCTTACCCTTTGTTGTCAGGGTGATGATTCGCCTCTCCTTCAACGCCGGCTTCAACTTGCGATTGATGCCGTGTCGTCTTGGGCCACAGGTCATGGCTTCAAGTTCTCTACTTCTAAGACTTGTGCCATGACTTTTACGCGGAAACGGGTTGTTCTTCGTCCCTCTTTGTCACTTTATGGTCATCCCCTTGAATACAAAGATTCCGCGAAGCTTTTGGGGTTATTCCTTGACACTCGTTTGTCTTGGTCTCCCCATATCTCTTACCTCCGTGTTGAGTGCTCTAAGTCCCTTACCCTCCTTCGGGTCTTGTCCCATACTTCTTGGGGGGCTGATAGGCGCACTCTCCTTGCTTTACATTCCTCTCTCGTCCTGTCTAAGCTCGATTATGGTTGCCCTGCTTACTCGTCTGCTTCTCCTTCTACTCTTCGCCGTCTTGATGCTTTGCACCATACTGGGTTGCGCCTCAGTTCTGGTGCCTTTCGTTCGACTCCCGTCCTTAGCTTGTATGTTGACACTGGCTTCCTGTCTCTCCAGGACCGCCGTGATCGCTACTGTCTTCGCTATCTTGCGCGGTCCTTGCAACATCCTTCCTCTCGCCTCTGTCGTGCTTTGACTTTTACCCCTCCTGCGGTTCCTGTTCCTCTTCACCACCTCCCTCTTTCTGTCCGGTTATCTCGCCTCCAGGATTCTCTTTCCATTCGTATTTCTGATGTTTCTCCTCGTGTTGTTCCTTCTTTGCCCCCGTGGAGGGTCCCTCTTCCGCGGTTTTGTACATCCTTGACTCGTATCACTAAAGCTTTTACCCCTCCTACAGTTCTAAAACGCCTTTTCCTCGAGCACTTTTCTTCTCACTCCCGCTCCGTTTCTGTCTTCACCGATGGGTCTAAGTCAGCGGACGGTGTTGGCTACTCTGTTGTTTTTCCTGATCGCACTTATATGTGTCGCTTGCCTCCGGAGACTAGCATCTTTACAGCAGAACTTTATGCTATTCTCTATGCTCTTCGTCTCCTGCTTTCTCGTTGTCAGTCTTCCTTTGTGGTTGTTGTTGACTCTCGTAGTGCCCTCATGGCTCTCGGGTGCTTTAATCCAGTTCATCCGGTAGTTGTCGAGATCCAGCATTGGCTGTTTCTCGTTCACAGTAAATTTAAGTCGGTTGAGTTTTGTTGGGTTCCCAGCCATATTGGCGTGTCTTTAAATGAGCGTGCGGATGCTGCCGCTAAGGAAGCTGTCCGCTCTTGTCCCATCTCTCGTAAAGGCATTCCGTATTCCGACTTTTACCCGGTTATCCATTCCTCAGTCCTTACCCGTTGGCAGGCTTCTTGGTTGTCTGTTACTGGTAACAAGCTACGTACTCTTAAATGTTGTGTTTCCTCGTGGCCGTCCTCCTTCCACCGTAACCGGCGGTGGGAAACAGCTCTGGCGAGGTTGCGTATTGGCCATACTCGCTCCTGACTTCCAGGACGAGCGTGTGTCTTGCTTTCCGACCGCCCCTCGCGGTCACCTGTCCCTCGATAGAATTCTTGGTGACTCGGATACTTTTGATATCGTTCGCCTTATGCGTTTTTGTTCTCGTATTGGCATCCTTGGTGATATTTAGCGCCCTCTGATTATTTTGCGTTTTTGATGGTGCTACATAGCCTTCCCGGTTTGGTGCCTTCTTTTGATAATTACTTACTTACTTGCACCAGGTTTTACACCTCGCTTGTGACTATCAGTAAAAATGTGCTCTCTTTTTAACGTACATTTGAGTATTTTACTGTACTATCTTATAAAAACAAGACCATAAGAAGTAAGTCACCATAGTGGGCCTGTTGATCCATTCTGGGTAGTGCTCATCTAGATTCAACTGATCTTACTTTTATCAAGCCTATTATTATACCATAAAACTGGGCTCATTTTATAAACTGGACGGTAGAGCGACAGTCTCGCTTCATGCAGGTCGGCATTCAATCCCTGACCGTCTAAGTAGTTGGGCACAATTCCCTCCCCCCCCCCTACCCATCCTATTCCACATCCTTATCCTGATCCCTTCCAAGTGATATGTAGTCATAATGGCTTGGCACTTTTTCCTTATAGTTCCCTTCCTTTCTGCATATGCAGTAACTACTGTGTATAGCTCATTTTATAAGCCTTAAGACTTCAAGTACACATATTGAGGGGTTATTATTTGGGTCATACAGTACAGCATACAGTAAGCTCGTCACACTCAGTCATCACACACTAACTTGTCCTTCATTATATGATAACTGTGCATATACCAAAGAATAAAGATAAGATCTGAATAACCAAGTCCAAGCATCCTAATGATCTGGAGGATGTATATAACTTTCTAATGTTTTTCCTTTCTAATTACATTAAATATTCTGTGACACTGTTTTGACTTATATGCAGCATATGAATAACATTTGAACACAATGTGTTACAAAATTTACTAGAAAGCATGACTGGTTTACACAACCTTGATATAATGGATAAATTAGGACCAAATCTGTTCTAAACTTATGAAGTTATATTATTTTTTAGCTAATTACAGGGCTGTGTTGCCAAATATTTTTCTTACCCTAAACGATTAACTACTTTACAGCTTTGAAAATATTTACATCGTTAAATAATATGCTGTATAAGCACTGTATTTGAAATATAATGTACACAAGATAAATGTAAGAAAATATGATTTTTATTAAAAGATCTTTCAAAAGAGCAGCCTTATAAATGGAATGCAAGTAGGTTTATACAATATAGTATATATATATTACAGTGCTGTATGCAATACTTACGGGTTTTCATAACGTTCTGTATGTGTAATTTTCACTTGAAATATTTTAAAGAAAAATCTTTTAATTTAATTTTTAAATGATACTACAAATTTACAATACAAATTTAGCAATGTAATCAAATTAAAACAAAACATTTGTGCTACTGTACTTTATATTATGAATGTTATTTTTGACCAACAGAGGATCAAGAACTGTCACTTGTACTAATTGAGGGACCTTCATTTGATAGATATTCATAAGTGGAATGTCCTGCCTTCAGTGCTTGATTTTGGAGTTCTTACAACAAATCTCTCTTTCATCTGTATTGTTCTTCTAACCACCTTCAGGTAATATTCTTTGGCTAGCCATAAGTGTGGATAATAAAAATATGCAATTTACTTAATGTCTTATACGAAGCATCTAAAAGAAAATCTACTTGTGTAACACACTTCTTAAAGTCTATCTTCTGTGTACTAATCGTCATTGTGAACACAAACACTGCAATTTCATCTTTAGTTAGCAACCCCTGGGTCATATATCCTATAACTGTTCCATAATATTATCCAGAGTCAAGTTACCATCAGCCCCTTTAGGCTTTCAATTTGTCATTTTCAAATCTATTAGTCATATTAATCAACCTCATATACAGTATTCATCTTTTAAAGGTACAGGATTTATTATTTTATTCCTTGATCTCGGCATAGTAATTTTCTGTTCAAGCCATATCCCAGTTGTAAATTGTATCGCATATTTATTTGCATTTGAGAAGGTCCCAGTAGTACAGTCAAGTTCATTCTTGACTCGCCATTGGGAATTCTGGGTTTGAATCCCGGGCAGAACTGAAATGGTTGGGCACTTTTCCTATCATGTAATGCTCTGTTCACCTAGCAGTAAATAGGCACCGAGGAGTTAGTTAGCTTGTTGTGGGGTTACATCCTTGAGAGAGTCAGTAATTTGACCTTGAGGGGTACCTCAATATAAATCTAACATGTATATATACACTGAGTACATGTCCCCTGAAATGCAGCCATAGGCACACAACCATAAACCATGCAACCATAAGCACATGTTTATTTGAAAACATCTAATTGCGATGTTACAAAGGATGAGGTGTTTTAGGAAGACCATGAGGAGGCCCTTGGTACTTGTTGTGAGGATATCTAATGCATTCTCCACATTGAAGGAGTAGTTTTCAAAGGAAGTAGCTGCTCACTTGATAGTGGAGACAGCACTGTGGAGAAATGCCCGACAGACCGCTGGAACATTATCTAACACAGTGCACAGTTACAAATCCATTAAGATTTCAACTTAGATTCAACAGAGCAGAAGAAGTTGATAAACACATGGGGCAAAATCTTACTGAAGCGACCATACAAGTCATAAATATTCATACTCTGCCTACGTAAAACTGAAACAGGTAACACTTAGTGGGCTAGCCAGAGGCGTAGAGCTTCCGCAAGAATACCTCTGCCAAAAAAAAAAAAAAAAAAAGTGCAGATAGTGGGGTAAATTGCCAACTTGAAAGAATTCTTTGTGGTTCAGTCCCATTTATCAATAACGCAGACGCATTCGTTAGCAAGAACTAACTTGCTTTTTCTTTTCGTTGAACTCCCAAACCTGCAATTTTTTTTTTTTTTTTTTTGTCAAAACTAACCGAGTACCAGTATGAAATGATAAAATATGGAATGTGGGTATACTTACATTGAATTGTTGCAGTGTATTTAGGCACCTTTGTATAATGGATGCCATGCCATGTTCTGTGTTGGGCATTTACAAAAAATCATGTATTGATATGACAAGAGTTTCCAATTTAAAGGAGGAGATTTGGTTCATTAATATGTGACCAGTTTTGAATATATCCAAAACAAGCATACTCTGTTTGGTCAAACAAATGTGGCCACAGAGCTGTTTTTATTAGTACAGTACTATATTCTGTATTTAAATTAGAAAGTGATTATCAAAAGAAGGCACCAAGCCAGGGAGACTGTAGCTTTTTACTTAAGAATGCAGTTCTGTATATCTAACTGAGGAATAGGTTTCTGACAGACTTTTCATATTCAATGAGGCTGTGGTCTTTTGAGTACAGTATGTTGCTTTTTCTTTTTGTTAGTACAATACGTGTATGAAGATTTTTTGTCATTATCTAACAGCCATCTTGTTTGTTATATACTAGTTGCACACTTCAGTTTTTGGTGAATTGTAATACCAGCCAACACTATCTTATATTCCTACTTCTGTTTCAGGGTGTTAGTTCTTGCAGTGTGAAGGACAATGGATAGTTGGTAAGATTTCTGTACAGTACTTCTCTAGGCAAGGAACGTCTTGCTGCTGGAAAGATATAAGAACCATCAAGAAACAGTTACTTGAAAAATGCCCTAAAACTATGTTACATGTAGTCCAGTACCTGAAATGTGCCATCATGAGAATATATTTATTATTGTGACTGTTTTAAGCTATATATTGTAGTGGTGACTAAAATTTGTCATAAGTGTTCTAGTGAAAAAGTGGAAGAGGTCACAAAACATTAATATTGAACAGTACTATACTTTAATTAATAGTGTTAATCTTGAATCCAGAAACTACATTAGTGTGACCACCCAAAACTGGCAAAATGTTGCCCATTACTATTGATGTGGAGGACACTAAGCTAACTCCTCAAGTTAGCAAGACTAAAATCAAGGATTTACTCGGGAGTGTGGTCAGACTGATCCTTTCAGACTCTGACTCTCGCAATCTATTCTTGTTCCTTTTGCTAAATTTAACTTTTGGCTTTGTGGAGCTCTTTTATGGAATAATGACAAACAGCCTGGGTCTTATATCTGATGCCTTCCATATGTTTTTTGACTGCTCGGGATTGATGGTTGGTCTGGCAGCCAAGGTTATAACCAAGTGGAGAGCTAATGATAAATTTACCTATGGGTATGTCAGGGCTGAGATCCTTGGGGGATTTATCAATGGACTCCTCCTATTATTTGTGTCATTTTTTATATTTGCAGAATCTGTTGAACGTTTAATAGAACCTCCCGAAGTGAAACATGAGCGATTATTTGTTGTATCTGTACTTGGCTTCTTTGTTAATATTATTGGTATATTTGCATTCCAACATGGTGGACATGGACACAGTCATGGTGGCGGATCTCATGGACACAGTCATGATGGAGGATCTCATGGACATTCACATGAAGACCATGGACATGGCCACTCACATAATGGACATGCACAACATGGTCACTCGCATGGGGGAGGTGGAGGCTCTCATATCATGCAAGGGGTGTACCTTCATATTTTAGCGGACACGCTGGGATCAGTCGGTGTTATAGTGTCATCTGTCCTTATGTATTTATTTGGCTGGTTGATAGCAGACCCAATTTGCTCCTTGTTTATTGCTGTTCTCATTCTAGTCAGTGTTCTCGACCTTCTGAAAAATTCAGTAGACATTCTGATGCAGCGACAGCCCAAGGAGTTGGATAATGTGCTGTCTGGGTGTTACTATAAAATTAGTGCTCTGCCAGGAGTGTTCAGTGTTCAGGAGCCACACTTTTGGACACTTTGCACTGGGCAGTATGTTGGGAACTTAAAGCTAGAAGTTTCACCTGCTGCTGATCCACGATATGTTATTCAGCAGACTCGTGCAATTTTTTATTCCGTGGGTGTGACACAAATGTATGTCCAATTAGATTATTCAACTATGTAGTGAATATAAAAAAATATAATATATTATTGTGTAGTATTAAGAATGTGTCTGGGAGAATTATGGTTGTTTTATATGAAGTTATTGCTGATCCAAATGGTATTTAGGTCTCAAAGTGTTGTAATGAGAAAAGCTTTTTGTACAAATACCGGTAATTAAAGTAATTAGGCCACTGATTTAATAGTTCAGAAGAGTACTTGTATAATTTCATTTAGCCACATATATATATATATATATATATATATATATATATATATATATATATATATATATATATATATATATATATATATATATATATATATATATATATATATATATATATATATATATATATATATATATATATATATATATATATATATATATATATATATATATATATATATAATATATATATATATATATATATATATATATATATATATATATTTTTTTTTTTTTTTTTTTTTTTACTAAGATACTGTAATGCATTTCAAAAAGTTGTTCTTTAATCAATACCTAATTCCCACTTTCTTGGGGGTGTGGAATAACTAAAATTTAAGGAGCCGGAGTTCGTTGTTGCTGGGCATTAGACTTGCAAGTTTTCTTGTCTATTCTATCTTGTATTTATAAATGAAAACCTCCTGTTGAGAACGGGATCGTCCAGAATCTCTTGTATTCTTTTTTTATTTGTTGTTGTTTGCATCTTAGATGGCTTTACTCTCATTACAATAGTTTTCCTGACCAAGTCCTCCTTAAGTTTGGTCAGTCCCAGGGTTAGGCTGTGCATCCTCCCTGAAGATGATTCTCAGTGGCGATTCTGCTAAGATCTTACACTTTTCAAAAGTTCTTTATTAATTAACACCTTGTTTTATATTATAATTCATCTCTTACTCAACTTCACATATTTTTTGTATTTTTTATAAATTTTCTTTGTGTAATATATTCCTGTAAAGAAAAAATATTTAATCATTTAAATATAGTATATAAAAAATTAGCTCTGTTTATTATTGACAAATTGTGACAAATAAAATGAGTAATACAAATTTCATTTAAACATCAAGAATTTCACCATGAAAGGTTTCGGTAGAATTGTTCGTGTACTGAAAACCTGAACTTTGATTTCATGCAGCCTACCATACCTACTACATTCTTATTGCAACAATTCCATAATACTGTACAGTACGGCATTGAATAACTGCATCTGTGTTTGTTTGTTTAACCCTGTACTGTACTTCCATATTATATGCTTGGTTGGAAAGGTAAAAACTAATTTGTTATCAACTTTATAATTTATCTTGCAAAAGTTAACAAGTGTGTCTGATGCCCTGCATGTGCCTTTTGATAAATAGAGCTTGAAACTTCCAAATCCAGTATATTACTGATGGCCATTAAGGATATACTACTGTATTTGTCTCATCAAAAAGTAGAAGAGAAGCTCAGTAAATTTATCACATGAAGCTATGGAACATGAGTGCAGAGTAAAAAATAAAAGAAGAAAAACCCAAAGTGATAATTGGGGGGGATACTGGGTTTGAATGATTGATTTGACATTTTTAGAATTTAAATAAACTGTACTTGCAAAATATTTAAATTGAATATGTCCTTATGAATGACTGTAATATATACAGACAGATAAGCTTAGTCCTTGCAAATAAAATGTGCATTATTGCAGTTACTATGTAATCTTATGGATAATTAAATTACATTTGTCTGCTTACGAAGCATGCACAAACTTTTCTTCCTTAGTACTGTGGAAATAAATGAATGCCAGTGAAATGATAAAGTAATGTCACACAACTGAAAACTGAAATACAGCATTATGAACTTTGGTGTATTGAATATATATTTTTGTACTAGGTTAGATTTGAGTTACTGTGCATCCTAACAGACATCAGATAAATATTTGTGTGAGAAACATGGATCTTTATTACATATACATGTATGTGTTGCATTATGTATGCAAATGTGTTCCTTCTAAGGCTCTCTGTAACCAAACAGTTATGTATTTTTGTATTAAAGTAACATTTTAGTGGTAGTTTTTCTTACACTGCACTGTCCACAGATGCTCACAAGAATGATAGGTTTGAAACCATGTAAATGTTGTGCTACAGCAAGGTATGAAGCAGTTACACAGTTGATTTGCTCATTCCACGGTGATAGCCGTTATAAATCGTGGCCAAAGTCCTCACCTTATAGAAGAGGTTGATTCGGCCAAGGGACCAGCATCACAAATGGTTGGTCAGTGTGTTCATTATTGTGTTTGGTTAATGTTTCTATTCTTTTATATGTACTGTATACATGTTTACAAGATCAGTAATAAGGTAATTCAATAAAACAAAAGAAAAGTAAATAATTTTGCTTGCATGGCAAACACTTAAGGTGCAAGCTAACGTTTCAAGTAAGTGTTAATTAAAAAGCTTAAAATTCTTCATATTTGAATGTACAGTAAAGTTGAAACATCAACAGATCTGCGAGTTTATTCAACACGACATATATTTAATCTTGATTATCTTCATTAGTAGCTTTAGCATGAATTTATTAAGGTGAAGATCACACACGTGACAAAATTAAAATGGGATAGAACATTGATATGCAACTACATACTAACGCATACTTCCCCAGTCTCGTACAGGTCCCTCACCCCAAGTCTTTCATTTGTGTCTCGTAATGTTTAAAACTAGTGATTAATTTTTTCCGGTACTCTGAGTAATCTTGGTTTGAGGCAATATTAGTCTATGAAGCATACACTAGATATCCATTTATGGTTACAATTCACTGTATAATTAAAAAATGAAGGACCAACATATATATTGTACTGTAAAAGTATTTGAATTTTGTTAATGCCTTTAACAACAGAGTAAATTTATATTAATGCTTTTAAACATTAATATAAATGTTTAAAATATGTAAACATAATGGGTACAATAATAATAATATATTTATTTGAATGGGACTAACAGACTTGGATAGTCAAAAGAATATGTTGATGAGAAAGGGTGTTGTGTCCTGCTTCATTAAACTCTACAACCTCTTGGGGAAATATTAATACAATTTGCTTGCTTTTAACAATATTTTCTTGTGTATGTAAAGTAGACAATTCAGATATTCCTTGAAAAATCATTTATCACTTTCAGTAACAGTAATCAGTTTATTTGCCTGTCTATCAAAGTAGGGATACACAATGAGTTTCATGAAATATATTTTAAATTGGATAGAACTACATATATAATGTACAACAAATACACAGCAATGTTTTCACATGCTTTGTTTTGTCATTTTTAATTAAAATGTACATTCAGTGATTTCAAAATATTATTGTATGTTAATATTCCTTCAAGGGGGAGGGGCAAATCATTGATAGTGGGCTGATTGCACTTAAAGAGTTAGTCCACTTTTGTATTTTATAGGTACTGGTGGACTTTTTTTTATTTATTTAATTTTTTGCTAAGATATGCCTGCAGATTTCTGGGTTTGTTGCAGTAGTGTGCAAGTTTAGTCTTTTAAAGAGTTCAGAATACTGGTGCTGTAAATTGATTTCACTGGCATATAAGTAAAATGAGGTCACAAGTACTATATCTTAAGTAATGGTTCATTTTGCAAAAATTAGGTAAATTTTAAATGCAATTGTTTGGCTAGTTTAAAAAAAATACCTGATTCAAGTTTCTCTGATCTTGGTCAGTATTCATAAATGTCTTTGTAATGTATGTTAAATTTGTTCATATTGCATAATTTTGCTGTATATACAGTAATTTTATTAATACATACTGTATTTTGTATTTTTTCCAGTGAATATTAAATTAAACGATACATTTGTTATGACTAAGGGAAACAAACTGCCATCTAAAACACTCATGTGCCGTGATAGGCACTTCTAACATCTGTAGTAGTTGCTCATATTACGCTAGATTTGAATTTTGTTTGGATATCAATTACATCTTGAGAGGTGGATACTCTCACGAATATATTGGTCATGCAGGTACCAGAATGACCTGCAAGAATTCATGATCTGTTACTGGTGGTGGTCTCTCACCCGCCACAATGCTGGTCCACTAAAATGGCCTTCATTAATCATTTACATGTATCTAAAGAAATTAATGTCAATATCAATTACTGATTTATCTTGCCCTCTGGTGTTAATCTTAAGATATGTCTTCCAGTGCATATGAAGTGTACTGCAATTTAGCAACAAATTTATTTATTTAAAATCAATACTGTACTGTAATAAGCAGGATAAATATTTTATATAATTCTTGAAAAAATATATCAAAATGATCTACCTTAGGGAAGGGATAAATTTAATATTAATATGCTATAGATGAAGAATTTATTGATACATTCCTTTTGTATAGGTGATGGTCCAAAGACTTTTATTAAAGTGTGTTATTTTCATTGTAGTTTTCCTACCCAACAACTGATCTCAACCAGTGTGTAACCAAGTACAATACTCACTCTCACATCATGCTTCATAATGATAACCTGCAGAAAAGGTTGCTAAACAGCCAAACATCAAAAGATTTTAGAATTTGCATTCATAAATATTCTGTAAAAAGTGGCCAATTATCTAACTACTGTATATAAATGTCAGAAAATTCTTAGCAGATTGACTGGGAGAGATCTTCAATAACAAGTTGTAAGAGCATCTTTAATGGAAACATTGTTATTTGTATTATAGCACATTCAATAAAGCCATACAACATAGTAATGGTTTGTACAATTTTGATACATTTTAAAATGATCAATTAATAAAACAATCATGGGAAAATGATTAGGTATATAGCTGTATAGCTATCCGACTTGGGATGTTGCTTCCAGGAACTCGCATGTATTATGTCATTCATTCCACAATTTCCTCTTGTTCTTATGTTCATTAACTAATAGTTTTTTCATCTTACATGTATCTTTCCTTTTTACTGCCTATATATCTCCCTCTACTGAATTGTACTGTTCATACTTATGAAGATGTGATTTGTGTACAATATTAGGCCTAAGTGTGCATTAGGTCTAGGATAGTTAGGAGAGATTAGGTCTTATATTTGTTTTATTAGTTTTCCCAGTTTGTCCAATTTCAATAATAAATTATAACAGCTGGTCCATCATGCCATATTTCTATTTTAGACCAAATAGTTATTATAAATACAATACTTTCATTTTAGGAGGATGGGCTGATATTATTTATTTCATGATAACTTCTACTGAACTTCAAATTCATTGGAGTCCTCTGGCTTGTGGTCCAGTAATTCACCTTCAATGCTTCTCGTCAAATACACAATGAAATCACATTTATGTGATGTATCAATGAGAGAATCTGTAGGAGCCCAGAGGATGATAATGTGATTTCATTGTGATTTATTGATGTTGCATTATTCATTGTAGGTTAGATACCATGAGGTAGATCATACAGTTACAGAGTTCCATACCACACTTTTATGCACTGTACTTTTGTCCTCATTGAACTTAAGCCAGCACAGCTCCTCACACTAAGCTTATTGTTTACACTTAATTTAATGTCACCCAAATGAGATGGTATTATGGGACATACATATTATCTTCAATTACTTTGGACAATATACCATGGTCCTGGATGTTATAACCCAGGATGCAGCAGGTTTAAGAATTTTACTGGTTACTTAATGTCAAACTTTCATAAATTGTTTCATATATTCTCTCATTTACTCATGAGTAAATACAGCCAGTTGATTGATCCATAACTTTATTTACAAGATACATAGGTCAGTGCAAGGTCACTCGGGATACATGGTCTGGTAGGAACAAAATTACCCATGGCCATTTTAAGCTTTAGTACCTTTAGAAGGTGCAAACCCTATAAAAACAGCTATTTACATACTCATGACCTAATAGTGTAAATATATACATAGCATTCCCAACAGTTTACATGGATACATTCCACACTACTCTAGAATGATTTATAAATTTTGTTTAAAAAAAAATAATTTATAGAGCATGGACATGTTACACACTCAATTTTTAAATATTTATAAATATATCAAAAAATGTTAAGTATAATAAAAATCTGTTCATGTTATTTTTTCAGGAAAGCTAAAAATATTTCAGTCAATTCAAAACAAAAGTTCAGAACCTATAATAATACTAACACCAAACCTCTTCTCTGTTTATATTCTCAACTTCTTTCTCTAATAAAGAATGATTGATTATTTACATTCAAATGGTAAATAACCCAACAAGTTCTTTCCTACTACTAACAAAAACTGAGAATCATGAAGCTAAAAACTTGCAAGGCACATATTATTAGCAAAGGATAAATTTTACAGTATTAGAAAATTCACAAAATGCTTCATGTGTTGCATAACTGTTATCTGCATTAAAAATAGAATCCCCTGAATATTAGTCAATAACATGCCCAGGAAATACTTCATTTAAACCCTGCTACACGAGAAGAAAGCATTCCACACACAATGACGGTAGTCCTGAATATCACTGGGATCAGTATCACATGACATATGTAGAGAACAGCATCCACAACAGACTGATATGAAATACTATACAGACGGAAATTTACGGAAATTTACCTCTCAGGAGGAAACTCCACTAAATTTCCAGTCATTATGGTCAGTGTTCACCCTTAGATCAAAGCTTTTCAGTCTGAAATTTTAATTAGTAGTCAAATTCAGCGATTGCTTAGCTTCACAAAATGGCCCCTACTTTTACTGACAGTTAATACTATAAAAATAAAAAATTATACACAGTATTTATGAACAAACATCTCTTATACTTGTATTTGATACTTGCAATGCTTCTAAGGAACACCAGATAATATCACCTGTATCTTTGTGCCTTCACATCTTGGCGTCTTCATTCTGAGTGCAAAGCTCAGTTCCATTATATTCTTGACAAATGGGCTCCTTCTTCCAGCCACCTGTTCCATCTAGGGTTATCAAGTAGTTGTGGTACTTTGTTAAGGAGTGTCTGTGTCCCACACTCACTAAAGTAATGTTGTGCTGCAAACAAGCCTTGTACAGCTGCTCCTCAACATCTAAGCTCAGAGCACTTGTTGCCTCATCTAAGAAGGCAAACTGTGGTCGATGGTAGAGAAGTCGCAAAAAACAAACTCGCTGCATTTCCCCTGGTGACAATGCATCACTCCTATAAAGAAATAAATGTTATTTGTTACTTGTAAACTACAGAGGATTACTGTACATGAAAAACAGTGCATTACATTACTGCAAACTTACAAACAATGATAGCTGGGGGCAATTATTTAACCAATGACTCAAATTTATGCTGAATGACCATAGTACCACTAATATTGTGCTCTTATATTTTCTCATTTGTTAGCTTGGGTCCTTCCTGCTCAAAATGCTACAAATACCATGGGTTACACAGCTGTCAAATGTTGTATACTATATACCTGTGCTATATCTAAATAATTGCATAAATATTATGGTAACCTGAAGAAACTAGATATGGCTTAACTGAAGGTGATCAAGAAAGATAACCTCAGTCTCTAATGTTGGCATACGTCATGATATGAATATTTATAATAATAAAACAGTGTGCTTATCCACAGTGTGTTCAGACACGGCTGAACATAATTCCATGAATATTTTCAAGGATTTCCCCATATGATTCAAGGAAGTTCACAGACAATATTGTTTTCCAGCTAGAACTAAGCCATAGAGCCCATTTCTTCACAATTCCAACCATTTACCACATGCTCTACAGTAAAGTCTATTTTACAAACTTTGTCAAACGTGCCACAAACTCTCCTTAGTATACCATTTACCACTTGTTAAAACTCACCAGTTCCACTCAGGATCATTGTTCAGTCCCCCTGAGCGGTTGACAAGGCCTCTCATATGTAACGAGTCTAGGAGGTTAAGGATGTCCTCGCAGGTGTCATTGCTAATAGGGTTATTTGGATCTTGTCTCAATGGGTAGATAATCTGTAAAATCAAAACAAATATTATATGGTACAGCTTTTAATTTGCAGTGTGAAAATTTTAAGTGTCTCCATTTTAATTAACTTTATTGATTACTTTAGTTTATTAAGCATCCTCACCTGTTCTAGCAAAGAACCATTAGTAAGGAGTGATTTCTGAGGCAGGAAGATGACAGATTTAGGTCCAGGAGGAAAGTCATGAGCAACTGTTCCTCGAGCAGCAGGCCACAGTCCTCCCAGTATTCGAAGAATGCTAGATTTCCCAGATGAACTTGGTCCCATTATCAGGAGATTTTCACCTTTATGGATATGCAGATCAAGATCTGCACACCAACATCACACAAATATTGTCATAAATTGTTATATTATATAGTTTAAGTTATTTAGTAATACACATATACATACTATTATTGAACATGATATTTATCACAATTAAAGCTTTATAGCATACAGTATATAGTTGTACATAAGCAACCATTTGTGTGTGCTTAGCTTCTACTTTATGTATTACAAATGGTAAACTGAAGATATCACAATTATTGTTTCATATTTCCAATGCTTGGAAGTAGTGTGCTAGCATATGTAAAACTGAAGGTGTACTGCCCTCGTCAGAGTAGAAAAGGCACCTGCCTGGCATATAAAGCTAAATTTGAATCTAGATTATAGAATATAATTAGAATGATAGTATGTTATTATTATAACTTATTATGTTAATAATAGAGTACCAAAATTTTATGTAGACTACCATAAATGTACAATACAACTATTTATGAACAAAGTTGATTTGACTTGAGCCCTCTGCCTGTCATGCCAGTTAAGTCAGCATAAAGTTCCCACACCAAAGTAGCAAGGGTACTTAGGTAAGAAGCAACTTTTTGGGTGCCAGGCAGATGTTTTATACACTCCAGTATTGTCAGTAGAACTTTCCATTTTGAAATTTTTACAAGAGCCCCATGGTCACAGGTTCAGTTCCTCAGTATTAATCATGAATTTTAAAGGAGCATGTAAGGGCTATGTTGCTAAGATAGTATTCATTATTATAAATTACACTACTTACTTGTAACTAGTGGCTTAGTTGATCCTGGAGCAATTATATCCACATCATTGAGAATAAATGCAATATTTATTGGTTTCTGATCTTCTTCACAAACTGTTGGTTCATTTTCTGTATTCTCATCCAACAGACATCTGGGGACACAAGGAGCAACTTTCAGCATTTACTCTTAAGCCAAACAGAAGTAGCTTTCTCTGTGTAATCAGAAACTTGGAACATGACCAGGAACATATTCAAAGAGAAGCGTTATGCTGAAAAACAGCCAGGGTGCAGGTAGATCTCATCCATAAGATGGTGAACATAATATTTGCAAAATATAAAAAAAAAAAAATCTTTTTTTTTCTCTAATGAAATTATAAATTTTCATTGTTGTCTGCTGCTAAACAATGCTATAAAATCCAAAGATGTCTATGAACTTTAATACAATGAGCACTGCTTATGCCATCTGTTTTGTGTCAATCATTCCATCTGTGTCTGTGTCAATCATTCTAACATCACAAATCATTTCAGGTTATTTATTTCTTCTGCTGCAACCACTGACTTGTAACTATTATTAATTGCTATTTTCATGCCATATCAACATTTCACAGTTGTGGCCAGAAGCAGGCACCATCACTCCTTCATGTAGCCTTCAAGACCCATTGCTTCTACTACTGTATTATTCTTCCTAACCAGGCATCCACTGTACCAGCCACTTTCTTTTCCCGACTTACTACACTCATCTATTCTTACACAAATTCCCCTTTTATAAAATACTAACCCAAGATATGTTGAGTAATTACTTTTAGGTCTTTTTCATTTCACCATTACTTTTGTCCACATTTACTTTTAGACGTCTTCCCTCATAAGCATCACAACTTTTTAACTATTATACTTCATATACAGTATGATGACTATAAGTAGTAACTATGCTCAAGACAATCTTTCATGCACCTTCTCCACTAGCTGTATGAGAGCAAATCCATAAACTATTCCACTATAGAACCCACCTTGTTCACCCCTAACACACAAGCCAGAGATATTTAAGGAATTGCTTTTATAGAGTGAGTGGCAGACAAGTGGAATGAGATCATCTTTGGACTAGTATGGCAAGATCACACCAGTGACTCATCCTTCCCCAAGATGGTCTCATATTATTATTGTGATTTCATGGTGTAGGTGGAATGAGTGAGTAAGATATGATGGAAATTAACCACTTTTACAGTATTAAGAGTATGACAGTATTGGATGTCAAGTGGTATAAATGAACCAGATACAATTGCTGAGTTAGGGTTCTATAGAAAGATCTCATACCCTACAGAGATACTAAGTTCTCGGTAATTTTCTATATTCTTGCAATCACTATCCTACCATACACCTTGCCCCACTACACTTTGAAGACTAGTATGTGTATACAGTACTCAATACATTCCAATACTGTATACTGAGTGTCCTGTAACAAAATTGCTATAATGCAGCTTAAGCATACCATTTAGCTACATTTTGACAATTATTGTAGTGAGATGCTTAAAAAGACATACAGTGGGGCCTCGATTTATGATAGTAATCCGTTCCCAGAGACGTATCTTAAGTAGAAATATCGTAAGTCGAAGTGATTTTTCTAATAAGAAATAAAGGGAATTGAATTAATCCGTTCCCCACCCTCCAAAATATTAACTTACAAATACATTTTATACTGAATACAATTTTTTTCTCTAACTACAATACAGTATACAGTATGTTTATTTTACCTTTATGGAGGACTCTTGATGGTGTATGGAAGATGGTGATGATGGGGGAGGAGGAGAGGTGTTACTGTTTGGAAGGGGAGTTCCCCTCCATTATAACATCAGGTAGTGGGGACTGGACTTTTGGACAACATCAGGACTTTTCTGAGATATGCTCTCTGGCATGTTTTGCCTGCATATCACTAGGACCTGCTTGTGGCTCACTGCTTGTTTGTCTTACTAAGAATCTGTCTAAAGATATTTGTTTTTCCCTAAATTTTAACACTTGTCTGTAGTAAGACATCACATTGTCATTTAAAAGTCAATGCAATGGCCTCCTACAGCTTTATCTATGAGAGTTTTTTCAACAAAACTTTGCAGTTCTTCCCATACTTCACACATTTTCTTAATGAGGAAGGGACATCCTCTACTCAACTATTTTCTTAGGTTGAACCTTACCACTGACTTTCTTGGAACTCATGGCATAATATATAATAATCAGCTTTATTCTCAAAAAGCAAAAAATCACTACAAAAATGGAATTTCTTATAGACGTCATCGTCACTAAACGGGCAGCTCTAGTAAACTGAGGCAGGTCGGCCCGCGTGGCCGGGAACTACGCACTTGGTTGACCCAAACGTGTACCAGCAAATATTATTAGTCGACGACACTATTGTAAGTCGAGTTGCATTTTTCGATCAAATTTACATCGTAACTCAAAATTATCGTAAATCGAGGTGCCACTATCATAATTGTTACAAGTGTTACTCACCTAGAATCACTCGAACATCCTTCACCAACGTCTGGTCTGCGAATAAGATTCTGGGTGATGTTAGCAAATGAGGAGGAAGCCTGGAATGAATCAAAGTCTTATTTATCATACCAACAGCATTCAGTGTTAACTGCAACCAGTCTTTTTGAATAATACATTGCATTGTGAAGTATAAATCCCCAAAGGCTAGAAGCTGATGTACTAAAAATCATAGTACATCATACATCTAAAAATCATAGTACATCATACATCTAAAAATCATAGTACATGTCAGTCATGTTATGACTGACATGATGTCCTGTTTTCTATTCGTGGGTTCCCAGTTTGGTTAGGTTCGGTTTGGTAATTCAGTACATCAAGAGAGAAGGGACTGTATCTCTTGTACACAACATGTTACAGCCTAACAAAAGTAAATACAACACCTTATTATGTAAACAAAAAAAATAATAAAAATATAAACTGTCTGCAGTTTCGAAAAAGCTTACTTGCCAGTTTTGAGCAATGCTACAATGGTTAACATTCGATCCTATTGCCAACCAATGGCAGTATTTACTGTGTCTAGGCACCCTTTCATAAGGTCAGAGGATCTAGTTGAACATTACATGATTTTTAAAGTTTTTCTAGGGATATGGATCAAAATTACATATCACATCTTCACTAAATTTTACAGCAATGACCACTATTGCTAAGCACAGCTTAAGGGTTAATATGACAGTTTACCGTTTATTTGTTTCTGGCAAATTACTGCACTACTGAACAAGTGAGGTGGTGGTGGTGGAGGCCAAAACCGTCAGTACTGTAGCTTCAAAGCGCTATATGATAAGAGGGCTGGAAAGATGGGACACCACGATCATAGATCTCATCCTATAATGTAACTACACTTAGGTAATTACTGAAATTAAACAAATACTCACTTGCAATGTAGTGATGTCCCACTCAGTCTGCAGTTTGAGGAGACACTCTACCAGCTGGGCTACTCTGTGCGTCACACCCGACAGTAAGACAACCTGACTGCCCAGATCCACTAGGGAAGTCAGGCTATACACCAGGTATATGCATATGAAGGAGTACTGGTTGAAAAAAGTAAAATTAGCAAACCATGACCTGAAATAGGAATAAATATATAGTATAACAATTAATTGTAAAATGTCAACAAAAAAGATTCAAGTTAATATCAGGATTTCATTATCTAAAGATACAGTATTTAAATACTGTGCATAAATATGAAGCCCAAGTTATTAATTTGATACACTGAAATGAAGAATTATTCTAAGAGTATATTTAAATCCTGTAACATTCTCTAGTGATTCTAAGACTATCTCTAGCTTTGAACTTACATATACTATTGGCAAAGTATGCTCCACACGCAGTTTTTGATAAAGATGGTGCAAAGAAGCATTGGCATCAGCATATTATAGTAACTGGTTATATAGATATTAAAATAATTAACTTTATTAAGTACAAAATAGTAACAAAACTCCATTCACAAGGAAAACAATTTAATTACAAAAATTGTTCAAGTTACTTACTGCACTGACAATAGATGAAATGTCCTTAGTATCACCAAACTTGCCGCCAAATATTGGTATTGCAATGGCTAAGTATGATATAATTGAGCCCAAGTAGTCAAAGACATAACGTGTCATATTCAACATAATCTGAAAACAGTAAATACAAGTTATTAATTAGCTGTAGAATATTATATGTTAGCTGTAGAATATTATATGTAGAATATCAGAATATTGTACCACTTGTACAATACTGTACAAGTGGCTGTACAAGTTGGGACAGCCTACTGGATATTTTGTTGCATTTTTGAAGAGGAACAACATGTTAAACTCTGCCATCTTCAAGAACATAATGAAACATACAACATACTGCCCCAGCCATCATTGAAACAGATTGGTAAGCTGCAGTGGGCCTATTAGCCTATAGCAAAGTGCTTCGATACTCTGCATTTGATAATGTTGACGAGGGTCAATGAAACGCATCTCTTAGCGTCAAGATATAATAAAACTGTAAAATGAACTTTGGAGAGTTAATTTTTTCAACTTGTTCTAACTGATACAGCTTGTGCTCTAATAAATCTATTTACACTTTAAAGTACTATATAGTAAGAAAAGTGTAGTCCATTAAATTAATTTTAAACTTATTATATGGAAGATTGAACTAAGTCGTACCTGTCTGTTAAAGAGCTTCTGTTGAGAGCGTATCAGTGTGTCCAATGACTGGTTAGTCTTGAAGGACTCGACCAGGCCAGAAACATGGAATGATATTGATTCAGAGTTCACACGCACCTGCATGTGTTTAAACCTGAGGAAATAATGAGTGAAAATATAGTGACCTGAGGAAGTAATTAGTGAAAATATGGTGCATTATGAAAACTGTCCTTATAATATTTTTCATACATTGTAATCAGAAGTAAACAAAACTCAGAATACGTATGGCAGTTTAACGTTCAAGCCACTGGAGGAGGTAAAACACCTGCTACTCTCGAAGCCTGGCTTGACTTTATAGTGTTTGGTCTACTAGGCTGTTGCTTGCAGCAGCCCGCAGGCCCACATACCCACCACAGCCTGATTGGTCCAGCACTCATTTGAGAAAATGATCTAGTTTTCTCTTGATGTCTACGGTTGTCCTGGCAATATTTCTTATGCTCGCTGGGAGGATGTTAGCACCGTGCATAGTACATTGTGCTATATTGAATATTATGCTGCATCAGATGGCCTCATCTCCAGGTAGCATGCGGCACTATACCGTGCTTGGATTTTACTCCACACCCATCAGAACTGCATGGTTGTTCATTATGATGCATATAAATGTAGATAGTTTATACATGATTGTGTGTGTATATAGTGCAATAACAGAAAAAATGCATATTATTGTTCAAAGAATATAACAGTATTGTGCACATATCAGTGATGCAAATTTATTGAGCATTCTGAGATTCCACATATTTTCTTATGTAAATTTCTCAAATGACATACTGTACTAGTGAATAATATTACTGAGAAAAATAGAAAAAGAAGTCAAGGCACACTAAAGTATCTAAAAATATCTTTGCAGCCACTCATGGCAGGGCTAGCTCAAGCACCCCAGAGCAAATACTGCATGAACACTCGTCAATTATTACACTTCTTGACTTCGTCATGGCCACAGTAAGTCACAATTGACTTTTCCTGTCATCAGGAAATGCAGTTTAATAATATTAGAAAGATTTGATTTCTTACATATTGGGGGGATGTCAGCAATATACAGTGGCACAGTACAAAGGTTAAAGAAACTTACTAATAGAAATGAATGTGATAAAAATTATTAATAATTACAATTTACCAACAGAAAAAATGTGATAAAAAATTATTAATAATTACCTGAAATTTCCCTCACATTTTTCTTGCTTGATGACAAATCTGACCACAGGTGACATGACCAGTTTGTTGACAACGGAACCAAGGAAGAAAAGTCCATATATACTCAGCGTTCCAAGCCATCCTGTCCTGTCAAAGAAAACAACCAAGATTACCAACAGACATGTACGGCAGATCAAATTAAAATTTGTGATCATATTTAACCCCCTTAAAGAATCTAAAATTACGAGTAGTAACATTATTATACGTTATCAAAGAAAAGAAATATAATGCCATTAAAACACAGTACATAATATGCAGACTAACTACTGTATATTCACAATGATTATTTATTTGAAGATCTGCACAGATTTCATGCCTCAACACTAATATGAAAATCATTGTCAGGATAAAATTCAACTCCCTTGCAACAACCCTGTGTATTTGTGGACATCATATTACTCTGAGTTTCTTTGGTTATTGAAGCAAGGATCATTAAACTTTGTGAAAGCCCGATGCTAATTTTCCAGAGAGGGTGTGACATCCAGATAACAGCCTTTAAGGAGTACACTACTGAGGTTCTCTTGTCCTGAGAATTCAGTGCTTGACTGTCACATCAATGTCAAGTTAACAGTAGCCCCAGTAAAGTCAGTCACCTCCCAAATAAGGTGACAGCTCAAAATACTAAAAAAAAAAAAAAACTAAGAAATACCTACTAACATAATATAACAAATTCCACTCATCCTATAAATAACTCAATATGTACTTTTGTAGGCCCAAATGGTATGGCCATTTGAGCTTAGGCTCCATCGGTTTGTCAATTCTTTTGCATGGCTGGTCATAGTGTGCTGTACTCTATATCTGTATACTTGTTCATCTGAAGCTATAGTACTGTTTTACTATTTACCTTGTGAGAGTGAATAATTGGGGGTGTCCAGTGTCACTTCATCATGCCGAGGAAGCGACCATACAAGACACACACTTACACATGCAAAATTTTCCAGGAAGCAGCGTATACCACTGAACTAATACTTATTACTCTGACTTGTGGTAAATTTTCACAAAATACTTTGAACTTGAAGGTGTAAATTCTTTTTATAGTACATGGGTTTCTGCCTTATAGAAAAGTACACCCTATTTAATTGATGACTTACCCTACAAATACTTTGTATGTATAATAACCAATTTGAAAAGGTGATATTATGACCTTTGTAGTGATTGTGGCCAAAGTTAGGCAGAGCTTGTCTACATCTTGAGTCATTCTCTGGTCACTGTAAAGTAGAAACTACAATTAATAGCCGCATGAGGATTTAACAGAGGTCATTCTAATATAACATTCTTAAAATTACAATGAAACAACTAGTGTAATTTCAAAGTTACATTAAATTCTTTTGGGTATAACTAATATGAATAAAACCAAATTCTGTCCACCAAAACAAGGCTAAAATAATTTTTAAGTGTTAATTTTTTCAATGTAAGAAATTATTAAAAGTATAAATAAAGGGATTTTATAGCTTTCCCATATACAAAATAATGTTCTTTTGGAAGTATATGTACAGTATTATCCTAAATCAAAATATTTATCTGGCTTGAGATCAATACAACATAGGGTAAATTCACTAAGTCTTTGGCCACCTACATGAACCAACTACTCAAAATGTTACTGATCATGGTGGGAGGACAGTTTACAGTTTTGTAAGCAGACTGTGTCTTTGGACCGATATAGGCCACTGGTTGTTGACAGTAACTGAGGGGCCTCAGCTCAAAAAAATAAAGGGATAAAAGGGAAAATATTGATAATCCTGAATCCTAGAAAGTTTGGATTTGGTTCTCGCTACTCAGGATTATGAATGTTCCATGATACGAGGATGCAATGACCTCACTGTCCACCACAATGTAGTTCCCTCAATGTTGCATCCTCTGCATAATAGGGACAGGAGGAGTGGGCTTGGAACCTATCGTCCTCTATAAAAATTCCCTTCACCGGCAAGAATAGCCTTTTTTTTTTTTTTTAAATACAGCACAGTACTTATGAAGTTATAACTACACTATTCCCTTTTCCAGGCTGAAGCTTCTCCACTTAATGAAAGTCAGAACTGGGATTCTAATAATGAATAAATGAAAAGTTCAACCTTAGGTGCTATTGAGCTTCATTACTTGATATCAAATGAGTACCTTTAGTTTTACAAATGATATATCATTTTAGCGAGTCAATATGATGAGGCACTCATCATATATTGATATTGCATACTAACTCCAACAGAAAACAACAGTACAGCATTCCTACTAGGAATACCTACTTATATAATTACATGTCAGCAGATATGGTGTACAACACTTACGGATTATCAACAGTTTTATCTAAAATATTGAGAGAGTAGTAATTAATGCCCGAGAAGTAGAGTCTGTGGACAGCACGACAAAGAATCTGCCGCCATGTGATGTACAGAACACTTTCAATATACTTCTTCACGCTTATCACCTGAAATAATAATATTATACAGTATTTATCAACAAGTTACATTTATTCCTATTTAATTTTGTTCAAAGAATGATTAACCTTGTTAATAAAGTCCTGCATTAGTAAAGGACAGGTAGGAGTTGAAGCAACCAGCTTTAGAGACTGTAATAATTAATGCTCTCAAGCAAAAATAGTATGGTACGAGGCCTTCATGAGGCAAACTTTCTGGTTCTAATATTCCACACTATATAAAACTTTCTGGTACAAATAACTACAGTAACTTACAGATGCAATGGAAAAAATTAATCCACAGGCCTTGAGGGTGAGGTATAGAAACTCTTGCTTGTCACGGTCATTGAACACTGTGTAGTATTTACTGGGCACAAGTCCCATGTAGTAGGCCAGGTACTGCTCTGTGAGAGAAGGCAATTTACTTTCAGAAAAACCGAGCACACACTATTCCCTGGAAGTGGGCTGCAAATACCAGCCTGTTCTCACAAGCGTTCCCAATGTTAAGAAACTGTCTACTAAAGTGCCTTATCCTAAGCTACCAGAGGACCCATGAACAGAAAACAGGACATTATGTAAATTTTGTGAGGTGCTATAATTTTCTAGTACGACAGTTTTTAGCCTTAGGAAAAGTATACATCAAAATCCGACAAGGAGGATGGGTTGCAAATACTGTACAGTGAAGCCTTACTAAATTCAGTAAATCATAATTCTATTATTAAAAGGGGTTACAATACAGTGAGCAGAAGAATAAGTACTCTACCATGGTGGGACTTAAATAATGCATTATGTGATACTGTATTGAAAATGACTCCTTATGCAACTCATTCCTTTCTCACAGCAAGGTATTGGGTTTCCAATTTCTGGAATAGGAAGCCCATTAGGTTTATTGAGGTGCACCTAAGTCCATGACTGACTTTCCCAGTATGCAACCTAAAACAGTTGCCAAACTCCTAGGTATCAATACAGTGCTAGGTGAACGAAGGCATGATGTGAAAAGAAAAATGTTCAAAATGTCTGTCCTGCACAGGTAATTCAGCCTGGAACCTCTCAGTTTGAAGCCAACTACACTTCAGTTTTACTTATGGTTATCTTTATCAGTACAACATTACAGTATATTCTAGTGATAATCATCACTGTCACATATTTAGGAAATACTATTATAATTAATTGTAGAAAGTATATTATGCAAGTAATATACTTGCTCCAAATTATCATTAGCTTATATGTAGATAATGAGATGGGACTTAATTCTACATAACCTATCTCTAAGTTATCACATTCCTTGAAGTTCTACACTGATGATCCTTGGTCCGCTAATTACAATTCCCAAGTGTACAACTAATTACAGTTAATACCTCTTTCCAACCTACTAGATGTTGGTCAGGTGAAGCCTGTAATACAAGCTCCAACAGCACATCAGTCTAAACTCGTATAGTGGTTCAGTACAGACGCTTGAGAGATACCACACATCTTCAACATTTACTAGCAGCAATGTAACACTAAGAGTCCAGTTCCTACTCTCACAAGATGCTACAGCCTTGCTACGGAACAGCCAGACTCTAGCCGCATCAAGGTTCCATGCTCTCATCCCACACCAAGCTCCTCACACTCTGAATGTGGGTGGAGTGAACGCTCTACACACACACCCCGCATCCGAGCTTTGTACCCCCGGCGTCACTGCTTTCTGCCCTGCTCCAGGCATCGTCTAAACTACTATGACACTTCACTATGTTGCTAACGAATTGACTGCTGTAACCAAGCCTGTACTGAACTAAATAAACAAAAAAGATACTAAACTGTGTCTAATCAACCAAACACGTACACATAAACATATAAATGAATCCTCATATCCAACTTTTGCAAAGCAATAAAAGCACAAAATCAAATCGAATACATATAACTTTCATTTACCTTGCCCACAAAATTAAACAAAATGAAATACCCAAATGATGTTTTGTAAAAATTCATCATCCAGTTTCTTGTCATAAAGAGCTTTTGAGTGAACTGAAAAATACTGGAACCTTTAAAAATAATAATAAAATAATTCAGCTGATCGTTAAAGATACACAAGATCCTATGTCCCTAGAACGAGATCATGCATAATCAGAAAAGATGTAGAACTGTCAATAAACTGTAATTGATCAGCAATAAGCACCCTGAACAAAGCAGTCTGGAAATAATCACAGATAATTAAAAGACTACTAAACACATGCTCATTTTAGGAACTGCTAACAAGACATGCAAGTAAACATGCAAGGCGGCGCCGCCGATTTTGTTTAGCCTCCCCCCTCCATCTTAAGTTGTTTATTACCAATAGAAAGTCCATTTCTTTAGCTACACTTTGAGCTTTATTTAACATAAATTGGACAACTTTTTAAGACCACAATATTGGAAGAGTCGTCAACTAGTAATTTTTTTGCTATTGAAACAAAATATAATTTGACTAAGTAAATAGAAGCCATTCACAAGTAAATAGAAAGTTTTATAATTATAAGGGATACTGATTAGAATTTGAGAGGCTGGACATTTGGCAGGAAAAATAAAATATAAAAACTCTAGTTCATAGCTTTAACTGCCACATGCCGGTCAGTTTTACTCTGACTTCGATGACAATTTTATAGCAATTTTTCTGATCTTTCCAATGATACCAAACAAATAACTTTTAAATACCAGATAATATTTGTTTGCATATCTGCTGCATTAAAAAGGTAAAAAAAAAAAAACATAAAATACTGTATAGGGCAATAATATTTTTTTATTTAGTTAATTTTGAATGGTTCTTACTTTAAGCACACTTATGCTAGAATAGGTAAATGAAGTACAGATATAAATCTGAAAACAAGTTTGTATGAAAGTATGAATAATGGCCCCTTAGTTTTAGGATTAGTAGAGTCAATTTTTAAGTACAGTGGTGTCAAGTTAATGACAGGGGGCACTACAATTTTTCAACTTTATGAGCTATTGTATGTTGGATGCATTCTTATGAAATCACAATGCAATAGTTATTTACAGCTGAATTTTAACAAGATTTGACTTTACTCAACTCTTATATACTGTGTACAGTATTGTATACTGCAGTGAAAAAAAATTGCAACCTGTATTAACTTACTACTTTTGTTCTGGTTAAATTTATTGTGATTAATATTGCTCATATGTAATAAAATACTGTATTTAATCATATACTGTACGTCATAAATGAATCAACCTTGCACCAATTTGATAATATTTTAAACATGGCAATAATTTTTATTAAAAAACACTACTTGTACTCAGTACTGTACAGCATTATCTTATCTTTAATGACAGATTGGACACTTATATGGGACTCGGAGACCGAACACAAGGCTTTAATCACATAAAAAGATTAAGAACTTTAAGTACAAAAGCTTTTCTTATCCAAATGTCAAAACATTTTTCAACCATACATTTTAGGAAAATTTAATAGAAAGGTAGTAAATGACAATTCTTAAACAAGCATTAAATATTTATGCTACAGGTTATTCTGAAAATGTTATAACTATGTTGGGTCAGGTTACGATTACCGAATTTAAAATTTATTTTATGTACCGGTAAATATACATGTATTTTATTTCAATTTTATTTTAATTTCTTTATAGGAGTACGTTACATTTTGCTAGCAGAGACCATTCAAATTTAACCTAATTTAACAGTTATAATTATTTTTATGCCAGGACAGCACACAACAAATTAAGAAAAATTACTTACCTAGAAAACAGAGGAGAAGCAAAAGGAAGAAAAGCCCACTTGGTACGGAATACCATCCTGGGAAGATAATTCGGATTATCTTCCACAAGCGGCGGAACATATGCAGGTCAAACCCCTCATTTTTCGAGTCTTTCTCAGGCTCCCCCATCGTTGAACTAGTCACACGTCATACCGGTCACTTATCTTAAAAACAAATGTTTAGTACAGTAGTATGAATGCAGTACTCCTCCAAAGGGTCCCATTAATTACTACAAAGTACTATACTTAAAAAAAATTACCGAAAAAATAAAAATCCAGAAAAATTACATTTTAGCCTTAGAAAATCATATCTATACATATCTCTCAAAAGAATGTGTGTATCTCTGAGGATAGAGGTCAGAAGCTTGGTGTTAGCAAAACCCAACTTTACTGTATGACACATTGGTGGCAGGGGACTATCATAGGTTGGTTGGGGTAGTCCCCATTGTCCTCAAAAAGGGGAGAACTCTAAAAAAGGAAGATGGAACTGATGCATCCAGCAATCAGGAGAATGATGACACAGTATATAGGCAGAGTGTGATAGACAGTATGGAAGGGAGAGAAGGGGAGAGAGAGAATGGGGGAGAGAGAGAATGGGGGAGAGAGAGAATGGGGGAGAGAGAGAATGGGGGAGAGAGAGAATGGGGGAGAGAGAGAATGGGGGAGAGAGAATGGGGGAGAGAGAGAATGGGGGAGAGAGAGAATGGGGGAGAGAGAGAATGGGGGAGAGAGAGAATGGGGGAGAGAGAGAGAGAGAGAGAATGGGGGAGGAGAGAGAATGGGGGAGGAGAGAGAATGGGGGAGGAGAGAGAATGGGGGAGGAGAGAGAATGGGGGAGGAGAGAGAATGGGGGAGAGAGAGAATGGGGGAGGAGAGAGAATGGGGGAGGAGAGAATGGGGGAGGAGAGAGAATGGGGGAGGAGAGAATGGGGGAGGAGAGAATGGGGGAGGAGAGAATGGGGGAGGAGAGAGAATGGGGGAGGAGAGAGAATGGGGGAGGAGAGAATGGGGGAGGAGAGAATGGGGGAGGAGAGAGAATGGGGGAGGAGAGAATGGGGGAGAGAGAGAGGAGAGAATGGGGGAGGAGAGAATGGGGGAGGAGAGAATGGGGGAGGAGAGAATGGGGGAGGAGAGAATGGGGGAGGAGAGAATGGGGGAGGAGAGAATGGGGGAGGAGAGAATGGGGGAGGAGAGAATGGGAGAGAGAGAGGAGAGAAAACAGGAACGAGGGCAAGAGACCAGGGAGGGAGGGAGATATAACGAGAGAGCACAAAAGTGGGCTGAAGGAGAGGAAATGGAGGAAGAGCAGAAAGAGGGGGGGAGAAGAGATGAGAAGATAAGATGAGCAAGGAAGATGAGGCGATAAGCAAAGAAGATGAGATGATGGGCAGAGGAGATGGAATGATGAGCAGACGAAAAGAAATGAGCAAAGATGAGATTATGAATAGAGATGAGCATAGGACATGAGATAAATGAGATGATGAACAGAGATGGAATAAGCAAAGATAGTATTAGATGATAGAAGAGATGAGATGAAGTAAGCGGAGATAAGCAGAGATAAGATGAGCAGAGATTTATTTATACACAGGAAGGTACATTTATTTATTTATTATGTATTTATATACAAGAAGGTACATTGGGGGTAAAGAGAGAACATAGAAATGAAGTTGATTTTACATTCTTGTAAAACCACTAGCACGCATAGTGTTACATTGGGTTGTAAGAGCTGACGAGCAGCTCTGAGAAGATGAGCAGAAATGAGATGAGAAGAGCAGAGATGAGATGAATAGATGAGAATACATGAGCAGAGATGATACAAGCTGAAATGAGACATGAAATTATATAAACATTAACAAAGATGAGATGAATAGAGACACGAGACGAGATAACGAGCAGAGATGAGATGAGTACAAATGACACGAGGTGATGAGGCAAGAGACACGTCGAGCCCACTGGCATAGCTGGCAATAGCACAGCAACACACACACACACACTGTTGCAGACCTCAACATTGCAACCCATCCCCACCCCCCCACACCTCTCCTAAGATGCTCAACACCTTGACAAAAGATTAATTCTGCTTCGTGGGCAGTTTGACCTGGTGACGGGGAGTATACAACTTTGAACCTTTATTGTTGTTGATTGAGCCAAAAACAAAGTTGCAAATATTGGGTAAAGTCCTGAGTTATATAATAATATATGTTATTAATAGTCAACAATATCTATACAAGATTCACCCGACTGCCACTCATGGTCCCTCACAACCTCCCCAACTCCCAACTCATCCGTCACTTACCGTTCCCTTCTCGTGTCCGTCTCACAGTGAGAGTCTTGCCACCCAGTCAGGAGTTTTATAGTTGTTTATGGTTAGTTATGGAGAAAAATAATCACTAAAGCAATCGTTTCTGATAATAAGGTTTCTATATTATTTAAATAAATTTACAAATGTCAGCCCTTAAATGTAAGTTGAATTGTAATTGAGAGAGAGTTTTAAGTACTAATATTTTATCCATATCCAATACCACATGACTTGGAAGCTGGGGATGTGTTCGAATCCTCGAAATAAGAAAAACATGAATATAAACTAACTGAACTACCAAATAATTAATGTACAGCATTTAAAACATGAATATATTTATTAATGTTACATTCAAAACATTTGTTTTTTATTTTTGTTAAATGAATTAGTAAAACGACTCTTGAATTACAAGTCACACATTCGGACCCATTAAACAGCTGATGGTCACTCGTGTGAGTTTGTTGACATAAATTTCTCACTTGGAGTCTCTCACCGGCGGGCCATTGTACAAGAAATAAATTTAGAGGGGTACTTGTTCAGTGGCAATGTAGAAGGACTGTGGCTTAGCAAGGAAGGTTAGTCAAGAATATCTTGTTACTGCTAACTTTATATACATGTCAATTCCTTCTTAAGGGTCTACTGCGATCATTGCACGCAGTAGGTTTCCGCAAAGGACATTTTTCTACATAAATTATATGCTGTTAAATCTGGATATATATATATCGGCTATTGTGACTGTTTTGGACGCCCATACTTGTGCTTCACATTGTCGTGGGTAAGGTTAAGGTCTCAAGTTTGTATGGAACCGTCTCACCTTTACAGTCTCCGTGGTGTAGTGGTAAGACACTCGCCTGGCGTTCCGCGAACGCTATGTCATGGGTTCGTATCTTGGCCGGGGAGGATTTACTAGGCGCAATTCCTTAACTGTAGCCTCTGTTTAACGCAACAGTAAAATGTGTACTTGGATGAAAAAAACGATTCTTCGCGGCAGGGGATCGTATTCCAGGGACCTGCCCGAAACGCTATGCGTACTAGTGGCTGTACAAGACTGTAACAACTCTTGTATATATCTCAAAAAACAAAAAAAAAAGTCCACTACGGGCTCCCCATAGCCCGTGCTACTTGGAACTTTTTGTTCCGAGTAGCTTTATGTAAGCTGCTACTTTTTCCAAGTAGCGACAAACAATTTCACGTTCAATGTGACGTGTGTTTATTTAACACTTTTCAGAAGAAAATTAAGAATAAATATTTCCTCTATCCCCCCCCAAATTATGAATATATAGGCCTTCTATGTGCTAGTGTGATAGAATTGAAGAATACAGCAAACACAAATATAATAGCATTTATTTTATTTCTTGGTAACAGTATATATTTACTTGAAATGGCACTGAACATTTATGTACTGAATTGGGACATGATATCATACCCAGGCTTTTCTGATTGTTAAACTGTATATACTGTATTATTAGATTTGGTTGTTTTGAGTAAGGTTAGTTTAAACAGGTTGGGTTACGTTAGGCCAAGTAGGTTTTAGTCTAAAATCCAATACTGTAGTGCTTTGTTTTATGTATAAATGTGAGAGCTGAAAATGGGAACCAAATAAATATTCCTACAGGAAATAAAATTTGAATCTTACCCTTTCTACCTCATGTATTGCTTCAGATTTTGTAAGTATTATTTCACAAAGTAATTAAATGTTCAACTTTATCAACAGATTAGTAATTTGTTACTAAATAAAGTGGTGTTCAGTGCAGGCGACTCACAAGCAAATGGTCTTGTGTTTGATATGTATGTAGGTGTATGTTGTATCTAATAGGCCAATTTGCCTAATAAGCCAAATTTTTTTGAAATATAATAATTTTTCACAATTTTTTTTTTATGAAACGATAAAGCTTTCTATAACATATGTGATTTGTTATGCTATGATCATTTTCTGAAGGCAGTCCCTATGATGCAGTGGTAAGACACTCGTCTGGCACTTCTCGAGCGCTTTGGCCTGGGTTCGTATCCTGGCCAGGGAGGATTGACTGGGCGCCAATCCTTAACTGTAGCCTCTGTTCACCCAACAGTGAATGGGTACCTGGTTGTTAAACGATTTATTCCGGGGAAACTTAGGAGTAAAGACCTGCCCGAAACGCTATGCGTGTTAGTGGGTTTACAACAATGCAAGAGCTTTTATATATATATATATATATATATATATATATATATATATATATATATATATATATATATATATATATATATATATATATATATAATAAATAGTAAAAATAAATAATAACATTAACCAGACTAGAATCTTTTTGCCATGATCGTCTACTTACCCAGTCTCTCTCTCTCTCCAGATTATCAAAACACCATTCATATAAAGTAGAGAACTTAACCAGACCATGTCCTGTATAGTGCATTGAACTCTGATTTATCTAGCTTTTCAGGGTTATCTGACCTTCAGTCTGATAACCTTGAAACTTTATCTGAACCAGACATTAGTAAGTTTATCCAGAGATGCAGGTAATGAAGGGTAGATAAATTGAGAGTATGGTACATGTATACTGTACTCTGTTTCTTTTAAGAGTACATAACTCATTAAATTATTGCACTCTTAAACAGTCGGTACACTGTACATAATAACTATAAAAGCTTTAATATAGTTCATGTGGTAGGTATATGTACAAAGTAATACAATTAAATTCTGTATTGTCAGTTAATCAACTTTATTTGTAAATGGTGGCACGTTTTTAAATTTACTTGTTTTTCTAACATTTCAAGTATACCCTATATGTATATTATTAATTTATACAAAAGAAAAGTAATTATAATAGTCTAAAGCATGTTATTATAATTACTGTATACTTTAGGGATCAGCTAATTTCTCTTTTTGGAAAGGTGTTTTTCGTGTAACTGAAAACCTGATTTTTCCTGCAGATGTTGGTGTTATCAAGAGTGAATAAAGTTGGCCAAATCAAGTTAAACTTTTATTCAAAACTTGTGCAGCAAGAACGCGTGTTTGGGAGTTCTGTTAGACACCTCTTTCTTCACAGGAGTTGGTAAGTGATACACTTATTTTAATCACTTTCTGTTTACCAATAATACTCTTTAAATTGGATCTAAAAAATATAAATATCTTCCTTGAATTTGAAACATTTCCTGTTAATGATGTCTCACTCAAACAGAACATGGCTCAATTGATGTCTATATAACTACAGTCTTAAAACTTGCCCAAAAAAGTTTTGACATATAGTTGTGCTTTGTAAATGTGCTTGCAAATGTGTGCTCTTCCAAATATATACTTACTGTATTCATCAACTTTATTAAACTTTCAGTTGAGTATTATATCTGGTAATCTGAGAGAGAATGAGAGAGGGAGATTGAGAGAAAGAGAGAATGAGAGAGAGAGAGAATGAGAGAGAGAGAGAGAATGAGAGAGAGAGAGAGAATGAGAGAGAGAATGAGAGAGAGAGAGAGAGAGAGAGAATGACAGGGAATGAGAATGAGAGAGAAAAGATGAGAGAGACAGACAGAGACCCATGTACCACCAGTTACCCCATCTACTGTATCCATAAATGAGTGATCTTCCTATTTGTGAGAAGAGAAAATACTTTGTGGGTGAAAAGTGATGCATAGCAGTTACTGATTTACTATTCATATTGGGTAGTATATTCTACCAGAAATAACAAGCATTTTCTGCATTGTTTATAAACATGTATTGTTTATAATAATAGAAACACATTACTGTAATTGTAATACAAAAACAGTGAAAACTGAGACTGTCTTGATGTATGATAAATTATGTATTGCTGCAACTGCAAGCCTAAGTCTCAAATGATCCACTCAAGTGAGACATCATTGCACAATATTGGGAGGATGTCTGGCCTCGGGCCTGGCTACAAGTCAAGTCTGGCCTCGGGCCGGGCTTGGAGAGTAGAAGAACTCCCAGAACCCCATCAAGCAGGTATACTCTCATTTGGAAATACAGTTTTGATATATATTTAGTGTTTTCTTGAGAAATGCAGTACATAAGAGCATTCTTGAGCAATTTGTGTGTACATACTTTTGGAACTATTAGTGGTTAAAGACCTGTTCTTTCTCTGTGATGTTTCTTATGCAGTATTTGCCTAAATTCAAAGTTTAGTTTCCGTAATGATCTTAAGACATATTGTTGTCTCAAATTCCAATTCACCCAGAAAGATGTAATTTTGAGAATCTTGATATACGTATATGTATATATCATTTTCCCATCAAGGTCTAATTCATGCAGGATTTGTATTTTAGAATTTTTGTGAACTATGTATTAAATTTCAAATCTTATAAAAATCAGGTATCATTCTGAGACCATTTTAAAATGTTTAAAAATTCAAATTTCAGTACTGTTTTGTTATAAGTAAATACATTAACTAAAAACAAAGTAAATTTGTTGTATAATCTTCAGTGACTGCACTGCTCAGCCGGAGGGTGGAGGCCATGTACTCCCCACTACAACCGATGACCACAAACACCTTGACAAAATTCGTAATATTGGTATCATGGCTCACATTGATGCAGGTAAGAGAAACACTCTGGCCAATGGGAAGGATTTCTATGGAAGTCTGATTGTTTCCACTGAATGGTTGTTGTTACTATGAACAGCTAAACAGTTCATATATTTTTCACGAGGAAGGTTAATAATTCCTTTTCAGTTTGAAAGACAAGAAATAAAACCAATTCTCTTTGAAAGTACAATAGAGATACTGTTTGTAAATTTTTAATTAGCCAGTTGTTGATGTGGCTACACAAAGTACAGTGTAGTATTACTGTACTTTATTTTCCATCCTACACAAATAGATTAAGAATATATGGTAAATAGAGGAATGAATCTCACTTGATCAACAGCAAGAAATAATTGTGAAGGTTTAACCTCCAATGTGCAGTTGTCATCATTTGTTAATCTTTTTGGGCCACTGCAGTCATCTTTTGCTGATTTTCATTATTATTGTTTGGTTTTCATACCAGTGTTGTAAATATGGCTATAGTATCTCTTATATGGATGTTATGGGGGGGGTTAATCAATGCCCATGAAAAAAATTCTTAAATCACTTTGAAAATGCTTAATATGTGATGAGGTTATTATGTACTAGGGTTCAGTGGTCTTAATATTCAAATCACTTGTGTTTTCCCATCCTGAGTACTACATGGTACTCAGTTTCACTTTCAAAGCAAAATTGTGAGGGTTAAAGAGCGATCAAGTTGACTGCTCAGAAAACTGCTTTTCATGTACTGTACTGTACATATAAAGCGTGATCTATTCTGCATTACTTTTTTCATGTATCCACCATTACAATATTTTAATTTATATCTTTGAAAGGTAAGACAACCACCACAGAGCGTATGCTGTTCTACAGCGGTGTGACGAAAACTGTTGGCGAAGTTCATGATGGGGACACCGTTATGGATTACATGGAGCAGGAAAGAGAGAGGGGTGAGCAACTGTGTACACTGTATGGAATACATACATGCATTACAAATATACATACATACTGTACCTGCATACATATATTTAGTTAAAACAGACTACATTGCTAGTGTTAAGGCATTTTGTTGTGAAGGCATTTGATGCCTCTGACAATCTTTTTTCCATCAGCATTTAATTGGGGGATTAGGTTACCAAAATTCATGGTTACTCTGGGTTTTAGGAGAATAAAAAGCAACAAGACTGATTATATGATGTATTATGTGCCAGCCCATCCTCTTGTTTTGGTAGTACTTATAGTAATGATGAAGACTGTAGTATATATATACCGATGCACAAAGAAATTAGAATGTAGAAATCTGAACTATTGAGTTAGACAAACTGGGAAAATAATTTTTTACTTGTGTTGCTTTGATAAACTAAACTAACCTATCCTAACCTCCCTAGGCCTAATAAATGATATCTGAGGCCTAATATAGTACATATGTGTGCTATACTAGGCCAAGGAATATTTAAGTTTGTGTTTTAGCTTCATTTATTTTAAAAGAATTCCTTACTAGTCAGTATACTACATCTAAAAGCTAAGAACATGCAAATTCTGACTATTGACAATTGTTACAATAAGTACTATCTAAACAGGAGAATTTTAATGTATATATAAATACATTAAAATAAATATATTTGTAATTATTACAAATATATTACATGGAAATTATTATTATGTAAATATATTACATTGTAATATATACGTACTGTACAATATAATAAGTATTATAAAATACAATGTTCCAGATTTATAATTACTGTATTGTACTTTGTTAAAATGATTAGAATATTAATATTGGTGTTCTTTCAGGTATCACCATTACATCAGCGGCTATTACATTTTCGTGGCATGGCCATAGGATTAACCTGGTGGATACTCCTGGGCACGTGGATTTCACTATGGAGGTGGAGCGCTCTCTCAGGGTTTTAGACGGGGCCATTGCCATTTTTGACGCCTCAGCAGGTACACACATTGGTGATAAGTCAAGATTACACTCAGTGTTGGGGTGTGACTGCCTTTCTGTATATATATATATATATATATATGTCGTACCTAGTAGCCAGAACGCACTTCTCAGCCTACTATGCAAGGCCCAATTTGCCTAATAAGCCAAGTTTTCATGAATTAATGGTTTTTCGTCTACCTAACCTACCTAACCTAACCTAACCTAACGTTTTCTTCTACCTAACCAAACCTAACCTATAAAGATAGGTTAGGTTAGGTAGGGTTGGTTAGGTTCGATCATATATCTACGCTAATTTTAACTCCAATAAAAAAAAATTGACCTCATACATAATGAAATGGGTAGCTTTATCATGTCATAAGGAAAAAATTAGAGAAAATATATTAATTCAGGAAAACTTGGCTTATTAGGCAAATCGGGCCTTGCATAGTAGGCTGAGAAGTGCGTTCTGGCTACTAGGTACGACATATATATATATATATATATATATATATATATATATATATATTTTATGCCTAACCTACACTTGATTGTTTCAAGCATAGGTTAAACACACTATACTATACTGTGTGTGTGTGTGTGTGTGACCTTCCTTTCAGCAGTTCCAGAGACAGGTTAATAATAATAATAATTGTAATTTATATAAAGTACATTTGAAACATGATACAGTAGAGGTAGGATACAGGTAGAGGTGTACAGATACATAAGTACACATAGTAATTTATATATAACCCACTAATATGCAATTTCATGCACATAAATTTAGTTATTTAACACAATACATAATATGAACTAATAAGTAAATCCATGAACATAAAATCCTTCCAACTTGACCAGTCAAGCCCTCTGCCCTTACACCATGAGTTGGCAAACTGTGGATCTAATGCTGGCTGTGGATCTAATGAGGGATCATTGATCCCTCCACACCTCACATAATCAGAAAAGAAGCACCATTTTCTGTAGCACAGGCAGGGTGGCACTTTGATACTATTCACTCTTTTGAGGGTTAGTACTGTGTACAGCATTTTGGATGTAATGGCGAATGTCCAAAATAATGCTGGTTTTGAGTGACAAGTTATGGTCTATCTTTTATCACGTATAGGTATAATAGTGCCAAGTTAATTCTCTCTCATCAGGTGTTGAGGCTCAGTCCCTTACTGTGTGGCGTCAAGCGGATCACTACCAGGTGCCACGAGTCTGTTATCTCAACAAAATGGACAAACCAGCAGCTAGTGTTCCCATGTGCCTCACGTCAATAAAAGAAAAACTTCACGCTACTCCATTAGTTTTACAGTACCCAGTGGGACACGGAAAGGAATTTACTGGATTGGTTGATCTTGTTCACATGTGCAAGATGATCTGGAATCGGCAGAGTAGGTCAGAGATGATTCATATAATTTTGCATTAACAGATTAGTATGAATGTAATATCTCGGAAAATTTTTTTCCTAAAATTTGTTAATGCAGGAATTGACACATTATATAATAATAGATGTATAGTATTGTATGGGCTCTATATCTAAAAGCAATCATAATGTGTGTTCATATGCAGAGACTATGGCAGCAAATATGAGGCTCATATTTTGACACAAGATGGTGATGACAGCTTGTGGGATCCAGCCTTCTTAGCAAGATGTGAACTGACAGACCAGCTGGCTGATCTGGACAACAAGTTAGCAGAATATGTGTTGGAGACAGAGTCAATAGAGAATGTACCTCCTCAATTGCTTAAAGCAGCAATAAGAAGAGTCACACTGAACCAGGTACTGTGTATCAATTGTTACCAAACTGGAAATTTGTTATGGAGAGTTTGTGATTTGCCATCTTATTTTGTAATGGAGTTTTAAATGAGGATGTAAGAAAGAGAGTGGAATTGTTGACAAAAAAAAGTTACTGATTGCAGATTTTTAGGATTAAAGTGTAATTTCATATTGTACTTGTTCATGTCATGGTTTCTCAGTGTCAGGGACAGGAAGCCAATTATGCTTATCAAGGTACCCCTAGCCTATGGTTAACTCTCCCAAGTATGGAACCTACAACATTAGACTAACTCCCAGACATCCATTTATTTCTAGATGAACAGAGCAATTTGGTATAAGTAAACTTATGAAACGTCTCACCATTTTTGGAAGTTGATCCCAAAACCAATCAGATATGAGCCAATTTCACTAACCATGTCACTACAGGTATTCAGTAATGAAATTTATAATATGTTATTAATATATCATTAGGAAAAATATTAAAACACTGTATGACCTATATTAGCCCTTATGCTGTGGGGTGTGCCAGTTTGCATATAGAAAACAAGAACAACTATGTATAGAATATGCCTGCATGCATTTTCTTATGTGGCTGGCAAATTGCAGAAGTAAAGTGAGGAAGGGTTACCTCTGCTAGCAGGTGATGGCTGTGGAGCTCAAATGACCTATTGAAAATGTAATTTTTGTTAATATAAATATTACCATAATGGCTAACTCATTTAACATAAAAATAAGTGGCAGTGAACACAGTGAGCTGACCTTTAATGAGTACTAAACCCATATTATCTCTTAGATTTGATAAAGCCCTAACACAAGAAACTGTTTTTTATTAAAGATTAGTACATAGAGGCAAAAGGGAGCCTGGGCATCAGAGATCACCACAGAACTGAGGAAAAAGTTCACCAGAAAGCCAAAACATTCCAAAGCTAACAACCACTTGGACAGATTTGTAAACATAACAAAACTGCAAATAATCATTAAAGCAGATATTCCCACCATAATAGGCTCGCCCCCTTGCCAAAGTGTGAGCAATGCAACCCATTGTCTTGGCCAGTCAGCTAATGAATTCACAAGCCTAGTGTCTGACCCCTGGAGCATGATGCTCTGTTCAACTCCCTGTTCTCTTTAGGCTCTTACGGTAAGTAGGGTTGGTCATCCTTGGAACAATTCTTCCTTGTGGAGCCACTGTTTGGCCCCACAAGTTCCATATTTTGTTTCATGTATCTGTTCTGTGTCAACCACCTTGTGTGTCATGTGTTTACATTTTTAATATTAATATACTGTATTTTTCCTCCATTTTCCAGCCCTAAATTGAGGACATATAGTAGTGAAGTCCAAAATACTTTGGTTGTGTAATGATGCATAAATTTACTCCCCAAAAGTTTGTGTGAAAATTAAGAATGTATTGTCAGCAAGAGCCTGACTTACTACCGGGGATGTGGTAGATCGCAAGAACTAATATGACTTATTTACCAATAATTGTTAACCATTGTAACTCCAAAATTCACCAATGCATTTCCAAACTTGGTATGAAGGGACTTGCCCACATATATATATCTGTATAATGCCACTCAAATTGTAGACTATAATTCCAGTATAATAATGAGTTTAAATAGTGCCACATGATACATAAATACATTGTTTCAGCCATAGGTGGTAGGTAATGTCAAACTTGGCTCCTGAACACAAATTAGTGAATGTGCCAGACTATGAAAAAAGAAAGAATTTGTTTACGTTTGCTCCCGTATTTCGTATGCGCCAGTACCTCCCCATCCTTTGGGAGTGGAAACTGGGCTAGTGATGATGATGTAAACAGTCAAGATTTAAAATATCTGTGGTGAATTAGAAAGTAATTGGTGTATTTGACAAAATAATTAGAGAGGCTATTTGATTTAGATAAATTAAGAGCATTCATGTTTATTGCAGTAACACTATTTAATTTTCTCTCTTCTCTCCCAAGACAGCAGTTCCTCTCCTCATGGGCAGCTCATACAAAAATACTGGTGTTCAACTACTAATGAATGCAGTACTTAGTTATTTACCGTCACCTGAGGAACGCAAGCTCGAGACTGTTGCATTATATGCCCCCCACCTCTGTGCTTTGGCTTTTAAGATTGTCCACGACAAGCAGCTTGGTGGTGTACTAACCTTTGTTCGAATATATTCTGGGCATTTGGAGAAGGTATGGAATAGGTTGTTTCATACTCATTTTTATTTACATCTTAAGCTAACATATCACAGATTTGCATAACTAATTCCTAACATACCAGTATTGTCTTTTGATATACTTTATCTGCATTCAGTAGTTAATCAGGAGCTGTACAGGTATTTCCTTGTAAACATCCACAGCTGTACAGCTATCTACCTCATTTAAATTTGAGCTCCACATGCTGAAATTGCAGATTAAATAGCATTCTTGTACATTTGTATAATTTAAGACATGAAAGCATTTTCATTTGTAAATGGTAAGGTGAAAATTGGTGAATTTAACAATTTAAACTTGAACTTATATCAGTCACTTTGCTATAATATTGTTTTATCCCTGGTGGACCCTAAATGATAATCTTATAACTCCTACATCAGGAATAACTCTATCCGGTTTCTCGTGTAGCATTTTCATGGTTAAACAAGGTTGAACGGTCTACGTCATATTCTGTAAGAAAAAGTAGCCTTGACTTCAAATGTTTTTAACATATTTTATTTTCTGTGCATTGATGATGCCTATGCTGTATTGATATATTCATGCTCATGCTAATAAATGATTATATTCAGTGGCTATGAATATATTATTAGGTACTTTCAGGGTCAGAGACTGTTCAATATCAATGCAGAAGAGACAGAAAGAGTGGGAAGAGTCATGATTGCTTTTGCTGATGAATTCAAGGAAGTGTCGTCGGTCAAGGCAGGAAATATCGTGGTTGTTACCGGGCTAAAGGTATAGTATCCCAGTCATATTCCTCTGCTGCACAACTAATCCATAAAATGAGTATTGTTATAGTTTTTGTGTAAGAATAATATACCAATTAACATATTTCCAATGGTGTGCTCCACCGGTGGTACAATGCAGGTTTCTCATGCAGCCGGTTGTGCCCACATCTGAAACAACTGTGTATTATTGGGGTTCAGTATATCTACTTATGCACTACAAATTAATAAAACAAACTCTAAATCAATATTGTTATTTTATTTTTTAAGTAATTGTACTTCAGTTATAATTGTTCAGAAGAATTTTTTAAGTAATATTTTGTGTAATTGTAAATCTACACTGACAGAAATGAACTAAATACTGTAACAACAAAACGTTAAGACATAAGGATTGATTTTACACATAAGTGTAAAAACAAAAATGGAGCATGATTATTGAGAGAGTAGACATGTTGGTGGCCATCCAACACAATCTTTGCGTAACGTACGACCTGCATCTCTTTCTCTTTTGCCATTTTCATCATCCTGAACATCAGATGAACTACTACTGCTATCAACGGCAGAATCAGAAGCCATTTTTTATTTCCCAGATTCCAAAACTGGACCATATTCTGAAGACGACATGATATGGATTAGGTGTACTGAAGGTTCAAATAAAGATGTAATGGATTCTTATAATGATGGATTCATAACAGTTGCAGTTGATGTTCATGGCTGACACTGAAGGACAGGTCTTGCCAATTTAGAAGCTGCAGTATTTCTGATATTTGGATGTTATCGGACATTTGTTTTTAGAGTGAAGCCAAACAAAAATGTTTTTGTTATCTTTAATTATGTGAAATAATTTTAGTCATTTTGTTATTTATCATAATACGGTACAGTATTTTTAAATGACCACTTAAATTGGTGTTGTGGTAGCACACACTCCACACATCTTACAAACAATTATGCCTGGGCTTGAGTCCTGGCCATGGAGGGTAGATTAGGCACCAGTCCTTAACTGTTTGCCCCTGTTCTCACAGCAGTATTCAGATTATTCTACCTTTGTCTTTAGGAATGACAAGTAAAGATGATGTGACTAGGATGAAATGCTGATAAGTTGAAGAATCAATTTTTGGGTGTTCATTGGTAAATGGCCAAAAATTGACAAATGGAGCACAGTCTCCTATTTTTTTGGATGTACAATACAGTAAATTACAGTACTGTACTGTAATTTGAAATTAGTCATGAATATATTTTAAAGAATTTGTTTAAATTTAGCATGAGCTATATTAAACTCTTTAACTGACAGATCACTAGCACTGGAGACACTCTGGTTGGAAGCTATTCATTAGCCAATAATGTTCAGAGGAAGTTACTGGACGAGACGAAAGATCCCCAAGCAGCCATGTTGCTCGGTGTTCAAGTGCCCGAGCCAGTCTTCTTCTGCTCTGTAGGTTGGTAACAGTATTTCCAGACCATCAGTCATCTGGTAATGCTACTCAGAATCAATCAGATTTGTTCCCAAATATTTTTGTCATGATTAGCCTTATAATCTATATATTATATTATTTAAATTTTCATGTCAGCATCATCATCATCAGTTTTCTCATAAACACTTTAGTTATTCACTTGAAAATAAATGCTTGCTCCTCAGAGGCTCCATCACCATCACAACAGAAGGCCTTAGAATCAGCTCTTAACCAATTACAAAGGGAAGACCCAAGCCTTCATGTGACACTTGACCAAGACACTGGCCAAACTGTTCTGTCTGGTGAGCTTAAAATGTAACTCCATGTGAAAGCTTGAATATCTTGTTATAGACAATTTGTGTTTAGAATTATCCTCTGAAAATCTATATGAACATTAAGGGTTATGGATTTTAGGTTTGTTTACTAATTTTCCTTTATACTGGCCAGGGATGGGAGAACTGCATCTTGACATCATCCGAGATCGTATCCATAAAGAGTATAAAGTGGAAGCAGAGTTGGGCCCACTACAGGTGGCTTACAGAGAGACGTGCAAGGTGTGCTACACTCACACCCTTGACATCAACAAAATGATTGGTAAACCTAGCAAGAGCCTTTTCTTATATTGAAATTTGACTAAAGTGTATTTGTGAATGTGCCAGCATTAAATTTGTTCCTTCCTGAGCTATGTTATTTGGTTGCTCTGTAAGGTTGATCCACTGTGTCCTCTGGACAGAATCTTGCACAGTCAGGACAGCATACTTTCATGACACAACAAAATTCATAAAATTTGTGCTTCAGAACCATCTCTTGGCATCAGTGTTTACCTCCAAAGGAGCCCTGGCATACCTCATGTTGGCCTGCATAGATACCTTAGTGAGCCACTACATGCTGGTCACTGTCACCACTAGACCATCTCATATACTCTAACAGTATGCTGTACCAGTATACTGGTATACATGTTCAGTTGACTGACAAAGATTGAATTTTCCTGATAAATCTGACCTTGTTTCATTTTATCTGGATTTTTCACTGATGTGCTTAAAACTCATCTTGTAAATTGTCTTTTTGATTCTATTCATGTAATATTAGCAAAGGGTATAGGAACATCTATGATATACTCAGGGCTAGTACTGTATACTGTATATGGCGTAACTTAAATAAAATAATAAATACATAACTTACACGAGGCAGCAATTTTCATAGGTCACCATTACATCCCCAACACACATCACCAATAACTGCCACTCACCACCACCATCACCACGAAGATTGTTTCAAATAGTTAAGTTAAAATTATTTAACAATTATGGCTACAAACAAGCTTTTTATGAAACACAATAAGTGTTAAATATCCAAGCAACATCAACTGTCAATTATGTTCTGCAGTTGTCCACATTACCTGTCCCAATCTTCCAAATAATTTAAGAACATGAGGATTGCCAAAACACCCACTTTACTAGATTTGTGACAAAGACAAATCCACTTTCCCGATGATAGCATAAATTCTAAAAGACACTCCTGCAGATGGTAGAGAAACTCACATGACTACCTGCTCAGAACTTAGTCAGTTGCAAACAAAAGGTAATTTACACCCAGGTATGTAAGCACACAGACAAACAGGCGAACAAAAATGTATTGGTAGAAAGTTTAGATGAAAAATTGCACAAACATGGATCCAAGCAAAATCATCCCTTTTACCCCTAAAAAAATAAATGAACAACAAAAGGAATCAATTGAAACCTTGAGCCTGGTTACCAGTACAGATAGTAAAGAAATAAAAATGAATTTGGAACTGTCTATTAGTACTATGCTTGTGGTAAATATATGTATTCAGGAAGGAATAATGGAACATGCTCTCTGTTTGCTGTGTGCTAAGGAGTGCCTACAATGCCTGTTTCTTCTTTGTTGGGTGTGGGTTTGTCCTGTGGCCTATAATGTCTTCCTACCTTATGTTTTTGTTTTTTATAATTTTTTTAATTTTGGAAGTTTTTCTTAGGGAGGAGTTAAATGATATATTGGATTGGATCGTTAAAGGACAATGCCTTTGTAAGTAAACCATTTAACTGCTCCTGACCATTTTTCACCTCATCCTTCATATACTCAGTTTGGTTATTGCTATCTGGAGGTACCATGTGAGGTGGTCTGGTGGTTGGACTGGCAGGTGTGTAAGGTTCCATCACTTGATGGTGACTATCAAAAGCTTGCAAGCAAGGAATCTGGTAGTTTACCTGGATGTATCCTTGGCCCCTTAGGGAATCTGTGATGTCATGAAAAGGTTTTAACTTTCTAACATTATATCCTTGTAGGGATAGTGTGAAACGTTGCTTGTGGCACCATGCTAGTATGTCATCCTGCCTGACTTTGCAGGGTTCTGCCATGAGAACACAGTGGAGTTTACCTTAGGGAACACCTGAACGATCCACTTAGAAATGGAGTTTTCATATATGTAATTCAAAGCCTGGTATTTCTAAGATGACACTAGAAACATGTATGATGTTGTGAATAATGATTTTGGTTTTAAGTTTGAGACCACACTTTTTTTCCAAAATGTTTTATTTAAAAAGAATGTTTTCCCATGGCACTGTAACAATTAATTCTTATGCCTGTACTACTGCTTGCTAACGTTTACAATATATTTTGGAATTACAGAGAGTTTGTCATAATAACGCCATTGAAATCTCAATATTGAAGTTTTGTGTTGTAATCTGAAAAGATAATATGCAGTAATGACTCGGCATCAAATGCTTATACATAAAGACTACAAATAATATTGGGCTCTCTTTACCTTTACACTACAATTGCATTACATTCAAAATTGCATTACTCAAAAAATAATTGTATTATGTTTATAGTTTTTATAAATCAAAAAGTACACATGAATACATTGACAAGCTTGTAGTGCTCGGCAGTACACTACATGTACAGTATTTACAATACAAATGTTCCTGATGGTTTTCTCTCTTAATTTACCAGGTGAGACCAGACAACAAGTGAAAGTTACACTTTCCATTGAGCCTAAACTGAACTACAAATTCAAGTCACTAGAGTTTGCTTTCTCTAAAGACAATCTTGAAGTAAGTTGATTTTTTTTTTTAACTTTATTGGCGTATTTTAATGCTTCTGAAATTTTGTATTAACTGTAATTTGAGTTACTGATTTTGTTTTTAATGTGGGATAATTAATGTTTTCCTTTATTCCTTTTGACTATTTTTATCATCCATTACTTGTCAGTTAAAGTTATAATATAACCATAATCAATCAGATTACTGTATACTGTACTGTATATTGAGTTTTATGTTGTATTTTGTATTCATACCGAACACCATTCTAAACTCTGAATCAGAATCTGCACGCCATCAACCGACACCATGTATCAGCCTTAAACCGTGGTGTGGGCTCTGCTTTGACCAGTGGACCTATTTTGGGTTTCCCAGTCGTTGACGTCAAAGTTGCCTTACACTGGCTGGAAGTTGGCCGTGGAACATCAGAGACCATAGTGGCTGCTGCTGCAGCTCAGTGTGTTCACCAGGTAGGAACACTTGAATAGTTTTGCATGAATGTTTAAACTACTTTATATGATTTTAGAGACAGTATGACCAGCTTGCAATTGTTGTACAAAATTTAAAATTGATATAGAATTGATGTGTAGTGTGGATCCTAGGAACGAGGCAGGGGCATCAGTAGCAGACATGAGCCCCAGGGGGAGATAATCTTTCCACATATTCTCTCCCTTTTTATATCTTTTAAGGCTTCTATAAAATAGCATAATGAATTGGGAAAGCAAGGTGTTCATGAAAGAAAAAAAAATTACAGATGCTTTTAGTTCACACTATAAGTGTAAAATACTGTAGTATATAAATTAGAGTATCAGCAAATGTGTAATAAATCTATAAGTAACAAATTCTGATTTGGTGGCTTTATGACTAACAAATTGTTCAATGACGGTAGAGTATCAGGGTATTATTTTACTTGTGCAATGTGCAAATCTGAGTGAACATTTTTGCCCGAGTGACAGCAATATGGTAGGGTGTGGAAGAACTAAAGCACAGTGGAGGTATATTCAGGAATAAGGTGTAAAGCTATAAATCGGGGCACTTTACAACATTGCACGTCTTTCACAAGGTCCTCGGACACTTCATGATTGCACTTCTCACAAAGTTATGCAACAAGTTCCCACACATCTTGGTTCAAGTTTGGCTATTCCCACGTGATGCCAAATGTTTCTATCACTTCTTGCTGCATTGTAACATTTGGTAATGTTTCTGATAAAATGATCCAGAAAAGTTTCTGAAAAACTAGGGGCTTAAAACAGTCTTCCAGATTTTAGTACAGTGTATCACCTCTTTGCTTGATGTCTTGTAAGTAAACCTCATCCTTTCTCTGTGCCTTTACTCTGGCAACATCACTAAGGTTGTCATACCAAGGCTCAATCAGTTGTAATTTTTTTTCATAAATATTAATTTTGTACATTTATAGTTGGGTTAGTTTCCACAAATTTATAGTAAATTAGTTACCTAAGAGAAAGTTATAATAACAACATAACATGAAATATCTGTAGTTATAAACTGTGTATTCAAGAATTAAATTTAGATTTAGATGCTACATTTATCAATGATTTTAAAATGATTACAGTTGTCAAATTCAGAATAAGAAACTATTTCCATAAACAACTTATGCAAATCATTACAATGATGACTGAGCTAAACAAGTGTACGTCAGTTTAAATCAAACTTTATATTTTGGCTTAAAGTGGGTAACATTTACCTTCCAAAATATGAAAATGATATGTACAGGTATTGGAAAAAGTGCAGTTTACCATCAGAGCAGCGAAAAATATTTCGGCAACAAACACTATATTTCTTAATTTTAGCATTTAAGTGAACATAGCACAGAATATAATTTCTTCCCACATATTCACTCGGGAATTGCATTGACAGTTAGAAAACCGTACAGTACTTAGAGGTTTTGTATTTATTTATGATAGCATTTGTCACATTTTGCAATTAGTGCTGAGCTGTTTATGATTTCTTTACTAGGTGTTCTTCAAGGATTCGATCATAATGGCTGAACAACTATAACATTAAAGAAAATTAATATTTCTTAGATCCCAGCAAGATGACTTTTTCATTAAACATCAAGCTGCTTTTTCTCAGAAGTATCATGTCTAGAATCATGCATACTATTTGTTTTTAATACACTGTGTGTGTGCTGCAAGAGTAACTGGTGTATGGTAAAATCACACTAGAGGTGTTTCTTCAAGTTAAGCAGTTCAATAGAGCACATTTTATTGGCTACTGTTTTGGTATTCAGGAATCCTATCATTCAGCTTTTTCATGTCTGTCAAAGGGAGTTTCCCTGTAGTTTACATGCAGTCCATTTCAGCTATTACAAAAGGCTCATTGCCAGTTGCTTGAACCGATTATGGAAATGGAAATAGTCACAGATGAAGAGCATACCTCCGCTGTCCTTGCTGATATCGCTCGTAGAAGAGGAAACATTCTCCAGATCACACAACGCCAGGACTTGAGGGTGAGACTTGCATAAAATTCATTTTCAAAGTGTTTTTTTTATTTTGTGATTGGAAAATGTCCTATATAAATATTATATAGAAATATAATAAAAATTATATTATATTATAATACCTATATATTATATTTCTATAATAATAATAATATATAGTATTTTATATATAATAATTTTATGTATCTATATAATATAAAAAATTCAACATGTCTATTTTTCTCTGCTAGGATCTAAGGTTAAACTATGGTCTTCATGATCTTGAATCTCGTTTAATATTTAAAATGTATTTATGCTCATCTTTGAATATAGTGTGTTTGTGTCATGTCCTCCAGGGTTGGTTAGTTATTTTTTTCCACCAGGTGATTACTGTAGAATGTCCGTTAGCCGAACTGATGGGTTACTCAACAACTCTGCGTTCACTTACCTCAGGCATAGCATCATTCACTATGGAACTCTCAGACTACAGGCTAATGAGTTTGTCTGATCAGGCAGCCGCAATTGAAGCTGTTACGGGATTTGCTCCTCTGTAGAAGATACTGATGGATGTTCAGCAAAAATTATCAACCTTTTAAGACCTCTGGAGTGTGAAAATTTTAATAGAAACTTAAGTCTTATTACAGACATCTTGTAGGCATTTCAGGAATTGTTGCAAATTTAAATAAAGTAGGTAGCTACTGTTTAAATATTAACAGTAATATAGAGATTCCAATTACTGTATCTTTATACCCTGAAGTTGATGATCATGTAATTATGTACAGTACATTAATTTTCATTGTTAAATAAAGCTTTTTATAGATTTTATAATTTTATTTTAGTTACAGGTATTACATAATGAAGCATTAAATTTTATTGAGAATATTCATAGATAAAACCTTTAGAATATGAACAAATTTGCCATGATTGTTGAAACCTTTGTAAGTTATGTAACACATGTCCAAAATTAAAAATTATTTAGATTGATATATAGTTACCTGTACAATAGACAGACTTCCTTAATAAAATATGGGACTGAATTCTTGCGTATCCAAAAAATTATGAAAATCAAAAATGGATATAATTTTTATAATTAAGTGTTAGATCTTGATCAAATAATGTAGCTTCTATAATTAATATATTGGGTCTCAGTTCAGCATGAACCCCATTCATTATTTTTCAGAAACAACTGTTTTTCTAAATATGTTAAGAGACAGAAAATAAGCGGGAAGGGGTGGGGGGGGGGGGAACAGACTTAAAGTGTATACTGTACGGATAACCTGCCGTAGCCCTGCGGCAGGTTATCTGTAACTATCATAGACTCATACAAATGGCTGCTGAATTCAGCTTAGTCAAAAATATAAGTTGCAGATAGGAAATGATCAGTAAAGTATATAACAAAATGAGTATGGAGATTCACAACTCGGGATGCTGTCAAGGGAAGAGCTGATGAAAAGCCTGAAAGCTGCAAGGTTTATAAATTGATGTAAAAGATATTCAGACTTATGATGTAGATGTAAATATTTATTGTCAGGGAATGAAACAAAATTGTCCTCCATAAAATTATAACTATTTATGCAATATTTAGATACAAAAATATGCTACATACATACATGACAAAATATTTAAAAATTAATCTTATAAAATTTGTAGCAAATATAGACCATATCCTACACAAGTTATTATAATTTTCCCATTAGCCACTTTCATGAGGGGTAAGAAAGGACATATCATATAGCTGTCCCAAATTAAGTATATTGTAATATTTACATTGCTTTTGGAAGTGATATACTGTACCTGTATATACTTCAGCGTGCAAATCCATAAGGTGCATGGAAAATAATGCAGTATAAGCGAAGTACCGGTTTAATTTAGAACATAGCCTGCAAATACACAAGAAAAATCGTGTTTCAAAGTGACACCTTAAATCTAAATACGTAGACGAGTCTCAAACTCTGCTCATGCACTCATATAGTGCTTATATGTTTGAATCTCCAGCACCTGCTTCTTAATTTCCATGTGATCCAGAATAAAATAAAGAACAATATAAGGAAAGAAGGTAGAAGGTAGAGTATTATAACTTATGGAAAAAAATATTTAAATGACTTTCACATTAGCCTGCATAAAGTAAAATTAGCACCATTACACACAACCAAAACAACAAACAGTACAATACCTCCACAGCTTCATATAATTAGGTGTTGGGTTCTGTCCATGGTTTACATTCAGAATTATTTTTAATAACTCTTAACCAACTGATTCCACCCAGACATTTTTACCCACCACTTATGTACAGTTCACACTCAGTCCGTGCTTCCTTTATATGCGTCTCCTAACAATAAAGAACATTGATAACGGGAACCAAAACTGTCACGGTACCTCATTTGACAAACTGCTTGTACAGTGACCAAACCACACATCAGAAAATGAAGAAACTATGTTTAAGTCCACTCATTCTGAACCATTAACAAGTTGGGTAATGAAAAGAGTAGAAGAGACAAATACTGTACCATTTATAAGACAAGAACATGGTCTGAGAAGAGATGCAAGATGAGGAGCAAATGAGAAAGAATTTGTCTCTAACACATTTTCCATTGCTTGACTTGATAATGGTACAGGACAGACCGAAGCGTTGTTATTTCTTCTTTTTCTGATATATGGTTTAGTTATAATGTCTTCAGCCATGTTATTGTGACTCGTCATTTGCAAATGCTTGTAAAGCCATACAGAAATACTATTTTAATATTCACCAGTTATAGAAAACCAATAATAGCCTTATAAAACATAGTGCATGCACTGAGTGCACTTTTGTTGGTGGCAAATCATGTTCGAGTGACTGAAAACGAACAGGCAGACAATGAGGTAAAATAAAGCAGGCACAGACCTAAATATTTCAACCAAACAACTACCATACACAGTGTGTCCTATTATAGACAAAATACATGAAGAGCAGAGGCAAACTACAGTGGCTAACAAACTCGGAGAGGAAGTCAACCATCTTCGCTTGGCCTTTCTCTTTGCAGAGTAGGTGGTGAGGACAATGTGCTGCTGGCCAGGAGAAGACTTCCTTACACACAACCACTTAATGGCGGGAAGAGCAAGTATTGTGAAATATGCAATAAACTAAATTATTACAGCATATAAAAGTACTAGTAAAAGATAAACAAGTATGATGTGCAATGAATAATCTGCTTCTGCCATATTAATTGAATTAATTTGCCAAACATATGCAAGAAAAATTATCGGATTTTTGATATATGAACTTGATAAAATATAACTACCAAAGCAACAGTGCTAAAGAGTCAACGTATTGTTTTAATGATATATTTAAAACTCCATGCTTTTTGGCTTTACACTAGTACCCTCAAATTAATTTAAATACTGTGCAATATCACAGTCATCATCCATTTATTACAAATGACCAAACAATTTCTATAGACAATTCTGTCTTATAATTGCTGACTTCTGCTATACATCTAAATGACATTTTCATTCATTATTCTCTCTCCTCATAAAACCACAAAAGCATCTCGGATTAATATTTTCCCCCACTTCAACTCTTGATGCTTTCATTCTTATTCACTTGCATCATACACAAAATTAACACACTTTTTCTGATACTGTATTCTAATCATGACCTCCCCCATTGTTCCATCTATATTGAAATATCAATATCTACAGCATATTGAAAAACCACGAGGAAGATTCGCAGTCTTGAATACAATACAATACTGTTAATTTTCATAGTCATCGGTCTATTGAACAATCATTTCTCATATGTAAAGGTTGGATGTAGTACGAAGCAACTTGAAAAAATTCTGTGATATTTAACTTGTGGGAAATTCATATATTTAGGTCATTTGAGGCATGGAGTTAAATTAATTATGAAATACAGTAAATAGGGTAAAGTGTATACATTATATAATTTCATAATGTAATCACATTTAACTTGCATGTTCTACATCTTTAACACTATTGCACATTTAACTCTGCATGGTCTAGCAAGATCAGTGGATATATAATGGTGTCAATATTAAGTTTTAGGTTTATTTTAAAGTTAGAAATTTAAAAGTCATACCTTAGTAGAATCCAGTATAGTTCTGTACAGCCTTGTACAGTATCAATAAAACATTTCTTCTTTAAACATCCTGTAAATTTACCAGTTTAGCTTCCCTGGACAATACTTGTCTATTAGCGACTGGTAATAAGGTTTCAACTCTTCAACATTAGGAATTTCTTCCTTTTTGGTGTACAAATCGAATTTGCTGGAAAGATAATTAGTGTACCATGTATACTTCATATCAAAAAGAGAAATTAATTAAAGTTTTCATAAAATATATTATGAGGGTATGTTCCTCAAATCACAATTATCATATAATATCATATAATAATTAAAATTTGAAAATGTAGTTTGATTGAACTTACTTGAACTCTTTAATCCAAGGAAGCATTTCAAGGTCACGATTGTCACACAGGTGCATGTAGTCCCCACCAGTGTGCCAAGGGTAGAATGAGTGGAACCTGTATTTGACAGCCATACATAAGTGGAATTTCATTACAGGCATTTTATTTCAAATAAAACAAGTTGAACATCATACAAGTAAATATGGGTTAAATAAATTGAAACTGTAATATCTGCCTGTTTTAGTCATAGAAATGAATGTATATATTGCAATGTTGGTTTCCTATTATTAAAGACAAAGCTTGTTAGGCTGATTGAAATTTCCCTAGTTAACAACTGACCATCCCTAGGATGCAACCTAAAACATTCAACGAACTTCCAGGTACCTATTTAATGCTATTTAGGTACAATGTCTAATGTGATAATTTTGATCAATAAGAGGAATCAGAAACAATGAGGAACTCTGTTCAACACACACACACACACATTAATATAGTAATGCTGTAGATCTACAATATTCTTACCTGATAATGTAAAAGGCTTCATCAGGAAGTGTACACTTGTTATGTTTCAGGACTCGGTACATGTACTCATCATGACCCCAAGAGATGTATATATTTTGGAGGCCACAGTTGGGTTCATACATGCCATACTTCGTGCTGTTGGTGTAAAACGTGTGTGCATCAAGGTAGAGCACTATACATCTTGATACTTTCATCTGTAAACTAATGCCATGAATGGTTGGTTCAACTTGTTATGAACTGTGAATTGATAAGACAATTTGCATGTTTTCATGCACGTATACAATATGGGTGGAAAGTACAAAAGTAGAATAAAAGCGTGGGACTGGATGCTTCATGTTTACATATCTGTTGTATGGATAATGTTTACATAATACAAAATCGTACAGGTGAAATAAGTGTTAGGAAATAATACATAAATAGGGCTCTTGAATACAGATACTGTTCAAGGACTGTGTGTAAATGTACTTAAAATAGTGAGCAGTTATAAGAGTGAAGCTGCCATTTGTTTCTCACATCAGTGTTAAGACTGATACGACCTTATCATTAGTAGCTTTGATAATATGACAGAAACAGAATTTTCAAGGGCACAGATTTTTACTAAATTTATATTACAGTGGAATAATGTTTCATAATTGCCAATTGTACTGAACTCGTGTGATTTTTGTATGTCAGTAATGCATTTGTGCATTTTGATATTATTGTCTGGTAATATAATTGTTATAGATATGCATGGTTGGATGCCTCTGTTTGACTGGACTCCTTTGTTATGAAATCTCTTAGTGGACTGAATACAAGCTGATTTGTTTGAGAACAACTGGTACAATGACAGAAAATTTACATTTTTCAAATGAGAAGGGTTCCCTCCAGCTGAATAGAATCATGTTAGGAATGCAGTACAAAAAATGTAGAAATATTCAACAAAAATAGTTTAACAATTTGGTAGCAAAATGCATCATAATTGTGGCAAAAAAAAAAAGTAGCAAACATTATAATTATTGCTGATCTGATGTAACAATATATTTTCTGCAAATAGAGATGGAGTCTATAACTAACTGGTTAGTTTGAACTAAGTTACACTGTATTATGTACTATCATTACTGCTGTATGTCTGAGGACTGATATCTCAGTTTTGCTGTTAAATATATATACTGTTGTATCTATTCTAAATGCAGCAAGTGGAGTGTTTCCAACTGCACTATTGTACTCGCACCTACTTGAATTTTGGGTTATTGAGATCTGGATTCTTATGGAAAGTGGTGTGTCTGTAGACAATGGACTCTGGAAACTTGCATCCCACTGCGAACGTGTCCCCAACTGTTGACCATTGTGGCTCTCCATAGAAGGTCATTATCTGAGAGAGAAAAAGTGGATGTTAATGACAGGTGAGATAGTGATAACTGGTGGGTTAGTATTTGTTAAGAGTGTAAACACATTCTAACATTGTTTAATGCTTCACAGCCCAGCAGAGTACAGGAGAACACTGGGCTTTCTGTACTGGTTACGTGAGCAGTTAGGCGAGAACAAGTTAGGTGAGAAGGTGGTGGAGGCCAAGACCGTCAGTAGTTTCAAAGCGTTATACGACAAAGAGTACTGGGAAGACGGGACACCACGAGCGTAGCTCTCATCCTGTAACTACACTTAGGTAATTACTGGTTGTCTGTCTTCACTCTTCTGTTACTTGTCTTCATTCACTTACTTCATCCCCTTTCCCATTTGATTTTACAGTATTGCAATCAATCATCTGGTGCTCTGCTTTCCTCTCCCTCTCTACTTTCTGTCCCACCTGTTTCACTTGCCTTTCCTACTCTTCTACATACCTTGTGTAGACTATGTTTGTTCCCAGTTATAATGGAAACGGCCATTAGAAGCTTAAAATTAATTGATCCACTGGATGGTTTATATCTCTCCTCCTCCCTTTCCCACTCACCTTGCCTAGATCATGGATGAGGCCAGTAAGATGGAGCCAATCATCATTTGGGTAAGCCTCTCGAAGGCGTTCAGCCGTCTGGTATGCGTGAACAATGTTGGGGATTGTAACATCTGGATCACTCTCATCTATCAGATCATTGAGCTTCTCCAGCGCCTCAAAAACTGTTGCTTCAAACTTGTTAAATAATCCCCACTGGATGTGCTGGTGGTGGTAGAGGAAAAATTTGGGCACATTAATAGTCATGCTACATTAGTAGTAGTAGTTGAACTGATGAAAGGCATACAGAAGATGCTTGAAAGAGTTTAAGTGTTGAAGTGTTATCCAACTATTTTCTTCACTAATGTTTATAAATACATAATTTCAATTGCATATAAATTTTCATAAAAGTAATTTAACAAATAAATTTAGAGATTGGAATTTCCTAGAAATGTTGGCACTTTTTATTATGAGAACTCTGCTGAATTTTGTTAAGAGGAAAATTGTGCTTGACTTGGTTTTGTTCTGGTATGATTTGTGTCTTCTTTTTTCCTCTGGTGAAGCAGGTTAAACTAGTAATTTTGGAAAATAAATTAATATATAGTAGTTTCAGAGCAATATTTATAGTTCTGCCTGTGCTTGACCTATTTAAGAATATCATCTGTGAGGATCAGTAGGTCACTCATGGTTAGTTTCACTCTTCCTTTATACCTTGGGGAAAACTACCTTTTTGTGAAAGGGGTACTGTGGATTCCAATAACTTTGGGGGGTAGGGAATTGTGGCTTGTAAAGCCCCTCTTCTGGTAAAATGATAGGACACAGACCGAGATTGTTCTGCCTCTAGCAATACACTCTTGTATTTATGTTGACTGACAGAACCCTATTGTTGTGTTCAACTCTTTCTAATGTGTAGTTAAGCCAAGACTGTAAACCTAAACCAAAGATTTATGGATTTATGGATAACACTACGATGGATGAATATCGTGGTGTTATATGGAGCAAGATAAATTATAAGCCAGTCAATGCTCTTGCTTCGTCTTTCCCTGTGTTTTTCGCACATTGTCTCTGTCTCTCTCTCTCCTACACTCACTGCTCACTATTCCTGTCCTTTTATCATTTAAACATTGTCCAGTCATGCACTGTATCTCTGGTGACAACCTTTGTCTTCTCTCATTAACTTTACCTTGCTCTGAACATAGTCGACACACTGGTGGGTGTGCATGCTAAGGTAGGTCTGTTTCACTTGCTGCATGTGAGGGTGGCCAGAGTCCTCAGGAAATCTGCGAAATTCCCAGCCAGACTTGGTGATGGCATCTTCTGGGCGAAACACCAATGACGGGTCTATCAGCAGGACCTTCCCTTTCTCCTTGCACGAGTCCTGGGGTAGCAAGAGGTTAAATACAGAGTTTAAAGTGATGCCAAAGGGAAGAGGAGGGAGGTGAGGAAAGGGAGAGGCAGAATACCACCAAAGGAAGAGGAGATTGGGAATAGAGCCAGATGAAAGGGACAGGAGGAATATAAGGGAAGGAAGGGGGAGGGTGAGAGGGAAGTGGATTAGAGCTTGAAGGAAGGGGATCGTACAGATACTGAAGAGGAGTGGAGCTGGAAGAGATTTATGTCGAACTTGGAGAGAAGGAAAAAGGGTTGAACTGTGGGAGGAAGAATAGAGCTTTAGAGGGAGTGGAAGGTACATAAAGCTGGGATAGAGGAGTCTTGGAGCTGTGAGAGAATTATGGAAGCAAAGTGAAGAGAGGAGCTGGAAGAAAGGAAGCAGAGTGAATCTACCTGGAATGGAGTGGAACCTGGAAGGGAGGGGAGAGGAATGAAGCTGTGAGGGAACGGAACAGGAGTGGAGATGGCAAAATAGAAAAGGAGTAGACACTGGCTAGAGCCACGTGTCCAACACAAATTCAGTCCCAGTGGCGCTGTGGTAAGACACTTGCCCCGCTCTTCGCTAGCGGTTTGGCCTGGGTTCGTTTCCTGGCTGGGGAGGATTGACTAGGCATCAATCCTTGACTGTATGCCTCTGTTCACCCAGCAGTAAATGGGTACCTGGTTGTTAAACGATTTAGGGGGATCCTATTTGTTACCTGCCCGAAACGCTGTGCGTGCACGTGGCTTTACAAGAATGTAAGAGCTCTTGTTCAATAAAAAATGACGGAACCCCAAATGTACAGTCTGTACAGTAGTTAGAAGCGACCAGACGGGATCAACCCGATCAACCCTATGGTTGCAGGATCGGGATCCTGCAACAATAGACAGATGGTAAACAGGTTGTCAGGGTCTACACATGTGCATCAACATTGGCTGATAATTATCTACATAACAGTGTCTTGAAGGTGGTGGAGCCGCCACTTTCAGGGAGACCCAGAAGATCAGTAAGTAGAGGCAGCTTGGCTGCTGAGGTAAGTAAAAACGTACTTCCTTCAGAAGGAAGTACGTTTTTAACGATTTTTTTAACGATTCCTTCAGAAACGTACACGTACGTTTCTGAAGGAATCGGAGAAAAAGCAAATTAGGAAAACCAGACACCAAAGAAAGCTAGTGTCTTGTTCCAGCGCCTCGGTCGCAATCCAAAAAGGAAATGCCTATTGTATCTTGATAACGCTTCCGACCTCAGATGACCTTGTAGACGTGTGTATGTATGTATAAATGTGTGTGTATGTATGTATGTATGTATGTATGTATATATATATATATATATATATATATATATATATATATATATATATATATATTATATATATATATATATATATATATATATATTTATATTTTATATATATATATATATATAAATTAATATATATATATATATATATATATATATATATATATATATATATATATATATATATATATACATACATACATACATACATACACATATATACATACATACATACATACACACGTCTATCGAACCCGGACTCGAACCCGGACCGCCAGGAGCACATTGTAACTGGTGTACACGGTGCTTTAAACCACTCGACCATCAGTGACTGTAGAACCATCACCCCGACGGATCAAAGTGCCGTCGGGGTGGTGGTTCAAATAGCCTTGGCTATCACTGCCTTTTGTACGGTCACTGATGGTCGAGTTGTTTAAGGCACCGTGTACACCAGTTGCAATGTGCTCCTGGCAGTCCGGGTTCGAGTCACTTCTGGGGTGTGAAGCTTTCAGTTGCATATATGCTTGGGGACCATTCATGGTGTATGAACTAGTGGTGTATGGTTCCATTTCTGTCACACCCGGGAATCGAATCCCGGGATCTCACGATTGGGAGTGGAGAACGAAGCCAACTGTCCCGCCGCCGTGCTTTGCTTGTTTTGTTATTCTTGTACCATCAGTCTATCCCGATGTGTGAGCTGAGAGAGTGCGTGTGAATAACTAGTTGAATGAAGGAACTCACGGCCATGGTGGTGGAGTGGCAGTCTGGCTGGCTGGATGGTTCTAGCTGGCTGGGCGGCGAGTATAGCGAACCATCCACTTTTATATATGACGGGTGGGCGCCCCTGCCCTCCCCTCCAGGCTTATCAACATTGTGCACTTGTACTGCCTGTGTGTGTGCCGCGGCCTCCACCACGCTTCTCTTGGCCTCCCCACCACCACCACCACCATCGAACGTCAGGAAGGTTGAAATCAAGAACAATAGGTACAATAAGGCCAGTAGATACTACATAAAGTGCTATTAGAACACCACAACCACAGCCATCAACACCATTATCATGAGGTCTTTACAAAAGAATCAATGTGGGGACCAAGGTTGGCAGATGAAAGGTAGCTCCATGACACAATAGCTGACGTAGTAGTCAATATAGACTTTCATTGACTAATCAGTGAGACGAGGACAATGAAGGTCCTCTTCATCAATTTAATGCAGAATAGTATTGTTGATGGGATAATTGTAGATTGTTATGGCTTTATAATTAGCCATATCCTTGTGATTTTTTTTTATTTCCTGGATTTCTTTTCATAAAATCTACTGCCATAACTTTTCATAAAATCTATGCCATAACTGGCATAGTTCATACAGTCGTTTCATGGTGTATTCATCCATATCGGAGAGTATATTGTCTTCCAGTATTTTGTTAACTCCCCCGTGCCTGACAAGTCTGGGACGTGGCTTGTACTCCTAAATGAAGGTCCGGGTTCCACTATTTCTACATCATCACGAATACCAATGTCTTTATTCTTCATTACATTCACTTCCGTTAACTCCATCTTAACTATCCCGTCCGTTCCCGTCCCTGTCACTATCATAAGCCCCGTCATTCTGACTCTCACCTGCTGCATTTGCCTTGTTATTTATTTTTTTAGTGTTTCCCAATCACCGTGACGGGCTGCAACTTGTCCTCTTACAAAGAACGTCTAATTTCGCTCGTATGCGTTACATAAGGTAAAAAATTGTCGTACTAGAACATGGAAGCGGCTCGCGAAAGTGACATACTTTCTGTTTTGGGTCCTCTGGAAGGTTAGTTAGTTTAGTTCATTTATTATGCACCTCATACCCATCTTGTGGGCGGTAGTGGAAAGGGTTACAGAGGCACATAATGGGCTCAGGGACTGAATCCCACAATTCATTTAGCTAAGCAAGTTACAATCTTGATGAGCTAGTTACAAAATTCAGTATAAGTCGTCATATCAACAATGGGTTCGAGATCGACCAAGAGTACAGTTTCTAAATTAAGCAACTGACATATGTGGAGAGCTAGTGTCACAATTGATATGTTTGTCCTGCACACCGCCCCCTATCCAGTGGGCAGCGGTGGATAGGTTGGAGAGGACACTTTACATTGACCATTTTCTTATCGGTAGGAAACCTTATGAGGACGGGCTGGACGATGAGGCTTCCGGCTGGGGTGCACGGAGTACTGAACTATCCTCTTGGAGTGATAGGCGCTCGTTTGACATTTTCAAGGTTTATTAGAGATTGATTATATCATTATTTTCCTGCGTTGACTTTAGTCCTGAAGTAAACTGTAATCCAAGCCTAACGTAAACTTGTTGGGTGGTAAGTTATTATGATGGCCTGAATAACTCCAGAGTCGTTTTGCAGGACTTCAGCACAAATTTTTTTGTGTCTACACGAGTTTTTTTTTTCGCTAGCAGGACCAACATATATGTGCACACGTGCATTATAAGCCACAGGACCAACATATGTACACACGTGTTGTGATTTCCACATTATCAATCATTCGTTTTCTCTTCTTTTATTGACCTCCAGGGGTTTTACTATATTATTTGTTTTGTTAGTTTCATTATTTGGTGAAGCCGTTCATTAGATTTTAGACTTTAGCGTGTAATTGATCAATATATTTTTAATTTATCTGTTTCATTAATCTCTGGTACCCGAATGGTTGATGAAGTTAGAAACTCGTCTGAAGAAGAAATACAGATTCAGAAACATGTAGAAAAGACATCTATAGAGAAAATAACAAAGCAAGAGCAAACCAATTAATTCACACATGATTGAAAACTATTAATCTGCAAAAAGCATGTTCCAAACGCCAGCACATCTTCCCAAAATGAAAGAATTTATAATAACGATGTGCGATGTGGTCAATCGTCCCTCATCGTTAGTATAAGTACTTCCGGAAACGCCCCCTACTACGACTCATACTTGTTTAGAAGAATTTCCTACCACGTGGGAAGTTGTAGTCACTACTCAAAATACAATACCGAATTTAGATTGTAGCATTCTTTCGGACAATAGCATTTACATTGTTTTTATTGCCTTGCCTAATGCTTCACATAAGGTGACCAAGAACAACAGGTTACTCAGTTGATACAATGTGTGGCATTATGCAATCTCGAGCACACGTCTCACAAACATGTGAGCGGCATCTTGGTTGCGTCTCACCGTGCATTATCAGCTGGGAACGGGGCGGAGGTGAAGCAGAGGTATTCAGGACTAAAGTATACTTGCTGATTGGGCAGTAGGCAATTAGTAGGCCATATATACCCTCTATAGAGGTTAATAGACCAAAAGCCAAACCCCATCAACCCCCTGTCACTCGCCACCTTCATGACCGCCACTACCTCACAGGCAAGTGCCTGCCTTACAGTTTCATTTCTCACATCACCCGCTGATACAAGGATCTTTTCCCTCGCAGTTTATGAAATATTCAGGTTTCCTCCACTTGCAGTACTTCCCTTGCACGATGCCATTCCCGATGATCCGGAGGGCAGTTCATTGTGGCGTGTGAAGCCTCTTGTTGCCAAAGGATAGTAAACAGTGTTCCATTCTCAGGGTTGATTTTTTGTTGGGCCACAGAGCCATATCCCATCCGGTTTGGATCTTAATTTCGAATGCCGTGTAGAGATTTAAATAAATTGTAAAGGTTATAATAATATTATTTGACCATTGTCGGGACAAGAAATTTGTGGAGCTTTTTGAGGTCCCGCCCTAGACCAGATGCTGATGGTCCTCCAGGATGTAACCCACAACAGATGATGAACAGAGGTATCAGGTGTAAGAAAACGTGCTCAAACGTCACTTACTGTCGCGGGAATCAAACTCGGGACCAATCTAACGTGAACTGACATCCCCAATCTTTGCATCATCGTGCGAGATGGGATGCAAGATGAACCACTCTTCCTCTTGACCTACACTGTAACCTTTCATATGGATTAGGACAGCAGCACACTCGCATACACTTAAAGTGTCTCAACCAAAAGAAATTATTTTTTTTTGAATAGGAACGATACATCTGAAAATTATACCGGTAATTATTCAACACAAAACGATTATTAATTATACATCTTTTAAGTTTCCCTTCCTCTAATTACAAAAAATATTTATCGTCATAAAGACAGCCATAAACAGTACTTATTTTGCACTACAAGGGGTGCTTGGCCCGGGTCTCTCCCTAATCTCCCCTTCCCCCAATCTCTCCACTTTTCGCGAGAACGGGTTGCGGGGAAGGCACTTGTGTGCCTAAGTGTGGCACTGGAGCCGACCCCGACTGGGCTATAATACTCCCATACTCCACATGCTCCATGTGCGAAAGTTGGGTGAGACTAGCCCCAAGCGTCGGACCTCAACCTTGGAAAGGCACAGACATTCTATCTTATAGATATAGATTAAATACATCAATACATAAAAGATTGGTAACGGTGCTGATGCCGCCACAGAGCCTGCTGGCAAACAAGACCCACCCATTGTCTGCTTCACACACCTTCCACCGGGTATTATCTCGCTGCTTTCCCCATTGATAACATAATTATCATAAACTCTTTAACAAGTGCGACGTCTGTGTTGCGGGGGAGAAGCAGTTCTGGCTGGATTCTATGACTGCGGCACAAGCGGTGCAGATAACGTGCCACCACCTGCAGCTGTTGGCAGTGTGGCAACATACCCTCACAACACGGCTCACCGCTTCAAAAATATGCTGAGAAATCTAGAAATTCTGAACGGTAGAGATTGCAGTACAGCCTAGTCTTTAATATAGCTCACATGTTTTCGTGAAGCTTAGTCCAACATGATTAGTATAGAAACTTGTGTGTGTTGGTGACATTTAAATATACAAGATATAAGTTATTCTTTTAGTACTTGGAAATCTGTTACAATGATTCGTAATATAGAATAATTTATACATAACTTACCTGGCGCCGTAATTAACTGATCATGGCAGTTGGCACTAGTTTTGTTTTTGTTGGCGAGTGGCGGAATAGCTACATTGACGTAATGGGTACCAATGATCTTTAAGCTAAACAATTTACATTAGTGATTATTTATATAATTTAAATTTGTATATCATGCAGCCTCTCACCCATACAGGTGGCAGCGCAGTGAGGCTACCCTCACCTGCAGCGCTTCACACAGAAAGCAGCAGGCTTGGTAGATCTTCCTATTTTTGGTTGAACATCATTTTGAATGTAAGAAGAATTTCTTGGCATGTGTGATAAGAATTAATTCTAATTTTTTGAATTTGCGTTCCCTCATAGTGAGGCAGGTTGTTGTGCTGACGTAGTGTACATTTGGTCAGGTCTATACATCAGCCGCTGGTGCAAACTCCCCAGAAATGGTGCTGCAAACTTCCAAGGATACTTATAACCTAGTCCAAGAACAGGTAAAATCTGAGAGTCTGCGGATTTTATAGGATGATGCTTATAGATGTATGGCTTTTTTTTTTGCATGGTAGTATGATGATAGATGGAATAGCTGGTGTCGATTTTACTTTGTCTCAGATCTACAAAGTTTTGTTGAAGTTCTTGGTATACTATTTTCTCAGACAATCCAAGGTTATATTGTTACCTCATATTAAGGTAGATTCTTTTGCTAACTCATCAGTTTTATTGTGCATTTGAAGGAAAACATGAAATGGAATCTACATGATATAGGTTCTGTTACCACCTTGTATCTGCATCTAGCTTCAGACAAGGATGTTACTACTGTGTCGGAAAGAGTTGAGCGAAATTAAGGACAATAAAGGATCACTTAAATTAATGTGTCATGTTTGGAGCTCTGTACACATTTGAGTGCAAGGAATAATACCAGTTGTCCGGTATGAAGGGTTGAAGTTCAGTTGTTTATACGGACGCCCCACTCAAAATATGAGCCATCACTCATTGTCAGGACAATTGTCATTCCAACTGCACTCGTAGGGTGGTGTGGGCAACCATCACCGTATATGGCTTGAGAGACAGTGGTTACTAATATGGCTTAAGACATTGTACTTTGCCACGAGACGAAGCTTGGACTGATCTTTAATTTGTTTCTTGGGAGGGATTATAATTTTTAGGGAGGTAATCTCTGACAGTGTAGGGAAGTACCATTGGTTCTCTTGGTAGATGTTGTGAATCTGATACATTCTGAGTTCAATTACAGTTTCAGTGGCCCATTTCGAGCATTGTTGACGTGAGTGAAGAAGGTCTGGAGGGCTTCTGTGCAAGTGTTGGTCTAGACTAGCCGAGGATCTAATACCTGTGAACTGCATCATTTTAAAAATTCTGACATTTGCGCCATAATCTGACTGATACCTGTCACAGCCATGAGAACTCTGAGCCTTTCTTTATACTGATTACAGAATCTGATTACAACATAACCATACAATTGGACCTCAAGACCAAAGTACTGCATATGAATCTGTTCACACAGTCAAGCTGGCATCCATCACGTGGCTGCATCTTTACCACCTGCTCCTTCCTCTCCCGGTGAGCGCCTCTTTACTATCTTTATTTTCTCATATGTAAAAGCTAAGCCAATAATGATAATAATAATAATAATAATAATAAACCTAGAGAATTCTTCGTTGCAATTGCGTACCATTTATACATCTTAACTTCAAAACAATTGATCAATTGTTAACTACATAATTATGTTTTCGGACAATTACTGTACATTTTAAGCTCTGTGATATCTCATCCTAAAAACAAGTATGTAGTACAAACATGTAGCAGTACAGTTGGCTTCGTTCTCGACTCACAATCTGGGATCTCGAGCGGGACAGAAAAAGTTGGGCACGTTTCTTTCCACTTAATGCCTCTGTTCACCTAACAGTATACGGGAGTGAGGCCAAATGTTGTTTGGTTACATCCTTGGCAGGGTCAGCAATTCCATCTTAATAGGGTAAAGAGGGGGGGGGGGGGACCTAGATACAAGCCTAAATAATATGTATACAAGCTACCTGTCCCCGGCAAAACAAATTATTAGGTATTTTATTTCCCAACAAACGTGTTTGTCCAAGGCCCCGAAATGCTGTTTATTTATAACAATTATACGATGGTTATGTAATATTGTTTTCAAGAATAGTGTTAAAATATTATGTATAAGACTGCTAATTTCGCCCTGCGGTTGTGGCAAACCTTAATGTCCTGACCTGTGTCCTGATCTGTAGATAAACACAGAATTAACATTTAATCACCGATGTCTAGAATTGGAGCCATTAAGATGAACAAAACCAAATCAAATCACATGTATGTGTTCCCGAGTCTGGCAACCACTTGTGCGTCATTATATTGCAGTGCAATTTGCCTGAAGTCAGATGAAACGTTGCAGAGGTCTATGGGAAGGGTGGCAGTAGGGATGACTGTGGCTTACGGCTCCTTACATAACCAATCCTCGTTGATCTTCGTCGTAAGAGTGAGTCTTCAGAGTGGCAGTATAGTGGTGGAGGCTACTTGAGCAAGAGGCTATCAGGTGTGTAGTAACTGTTTATGGACACGCAGAGTTGTCTGCTGTTGTCTGCTATTACAGTATCTTATACGGTGTGTAGCAGCACAGCTCAGCACCGCAGCTCACTCGTATATAAATTGAAAAGGATGTAACATGAGGATTTGAACAGATCAGCATTCACAGCCACTAGTGTGGCTGTGAATGCTGATCACCCAGCATTCACCCCCGGCAGAATTCGGCTCAAAAATCACGCTCAGGAGTCAAATTTCCTACATTTCAGATATTTTGAAAACTGCAGGGGGGTTTGGGCAACATATGACCCATCGCCGTTTTCAGTAATTGGCATATTTTCGGTGTAAAAAGTAGTAATTTAAAAATGAAAATAGGTGCAGAGAGTCAGAATTCGGCTCAAAAATCACGCTCAGGAGTCAAATTTCGGACATTTACGATATTTTGAAAACTGCAGAGGGATTTGGGCAAAATATGACCCCTCGCCGTTTTCAGTAATTGGCATATTTTCGGTATAAAAATTCGCAATTTGAAAATGAAAATAGGTGCAGAGAGTCAGAATTCGGCTCAAAAATCACGATCAGGAGTCAAATTTCCGACATTTCAGGTATTTTGAAAACTGCAGGGGGGTTTGAGCAAAATATGACCCATCGCCGTTTTCAGTAATTGGCATATTTTCGATGTAAAAAGTAGTAATTTGAAAATGAAAATAGGTGCAGAGAGTCAGAATTCGGCTCAAAAATCACGCTCAGGAGTCAAATTTCGGACATTTCAGATATTTTGAAAACTGCAGGGGGGTTTGGGCAAAATATGACCCATCGCCGTTTTCAGTAATTGGCATATTTTCGGTATAAAAAGCGTAATTTGAAAATGAAAATAGGTGCAGAGAGTCAGAATTCGGCTCAAAAATCACGCTCAGGAGTCAAATTTCGGACATTTCAGATATTTTGAAAACTGCAGGGGGGTTTGGGCAAAATATGACCCATCACCGTTTTCAGTAATTGGCATATTTTCGGTATAAAAAGTCGTAATTTAAAAATGAAAATAGGCACAGAGAGTCAGAATTCGGCTCAAAAATCACGCTCAGGAGTCAAATTTCCTACATTTCAGATATTTTGAAAACTGCAGGGGGGTTTGGGCAAAATATGACCCATCGCCGTTTTCAGTAATTGGCATATTTTCGGTATAAAAAGTCGTAATTTGAAAATGAGAATAGGTGCAGAGAGTCAGAATTCGGCTCAAAAATCACGCTCAGGAGTCAAATTTCCGACATTTCAGATATTTTGAAAACTGCAGGGGGGTTTGGGCAAAATATGACCCATCGCCGTTTTCAGTAATTGGCATATTTTCGGTATAAAAAGTAGTAATTTAAAAATGAAAATAGGTGCAGAGAGTCAGAATTCGGCTCAAAAATCACGCTCAGGAGTCAAATTTCGGACATTTCAGATATTTTGAAAACTGCAGGGGGGTTTGGGCAAAATATGACCCTTCGCCGTTTTCAGTAATTGGCATATTTTCGGTATAAAAAGTCGTAATTTGAAAATGAAAATAGGTGCAGAGAGTCAGAATTCGGCTCAAAAATCACGCTCAGGAGTCAAATTTCCGACATTTCAGATATTTTGAAAACTGCAGGGGGGTTTGGGCAAAATATGACCCATCGCCGTTTTCAGTAATTGGCATATTTTCGGTATAAAAAGTCGTAATTTGAAAATGAAAATAGGTGCAGAGAGTCAGAATTCGGCTCAAAAATCACGCTCAGGAGTCAAATTTCGGACATTTCAGATATTTTGAAAACTGCAGGGGGGTTTGGGCAAAATATGACCCCTCGCCGTTTTCAGTAATTGGCATATTTTCGGTATAAAAAGTCGTAATTTGAAAATGAAAATAGGTGCAGAGAGTCAGAATTCGGCTCAAAAATCACGCTCAGGAGTCAAATTTCCGACATTTCAGATATTTTGAAAACTGCAGGGGGGTTTGGGCAAAATATGACCCATCGCCGTTTTCAGTAATTGGCATATTTTCGGTGTAAAAAGTCGTAATTTGAAAATGAAAATAGGTGCAGAGAGTCAGAATTCGGCTCAAAAATCACGCTCAGGAGTCAAATTTCGGACATTTCAGATATTTTGAAAACTGCAGGGGGGTTTGGGCAAAATATGACCCATCGCCGTTTTCAGTAATTGGCATATTTTCGGTATAAAAAGTAGTAATTTGAAAATGAAAATAGGTGCAGAGAGTCAGAATTCGGCTCAAAAATCACGCTCAGGAGTCAAATTTCGGACATTTCAGATATTTTGAAAACTGCAGGGGGGTTTGGGCAAAATATGACCCATCGCCGTTTTCAGTAATTGGCATATTTTCGGTATAAAAAGTCGTAATTTGAAAATGAAAATAGGTGCAGAGAGTCAGAATTCGGCTCAAAAATCACGCTCAGGAGTCAAATTTCGGACATTTCAGATATTTTGAAAACTGCAGGGGGAGGTTTGGGCAATACATGACCCACTGCAGTTTTCAGTAATTGCCATATTTTCGATATAAAAAATCTTAATTTGAAAAGGAAAATAGGTGCAGAGAGTCTGAATTCGGCTCAAAAATCACGCTCACGTGTCAAATTTCCGACATTTCAGATATTTTGAAAACTGCAGGGGGGTTTTGGCAAAATTTGACCCATCGCCGTTTTCAGTAATTGGCATATTTTCGGTATAAAAAGTCGTAATTTGAAAATGAAAATAGGTGCAGAGAGTCAGAATTCAGCTCAAAAATCACGCTCAGGAGTCAAATTTCGGACATTTAAGATATTTTGAAAACTGCAGGGGGGTTTGGGCAAAATATGACCCATCGCCGTTTTCAGTAATTGGCATATTTTCGGTGTAAAAAGTCGTAATTTGAAAATGAAAATAGGTGCAGAGAGTCAGAATTCGGCTCAAAAATCACGCTCAGGAGTCAAATTTCGGACATTTCAGATATTTTGAAAACTGCAGGGGGGTTTGGGCAAAATATGACCCATCGCCGTTTTCAGTAATTGGCATATTTTCGGTATAAAAAGTCGTAATTTGAAAATGAAAATAGGTGCAGAGAGTCAGAATTCGGCTCAAAAATCACGCTCAGGAGTCAAATTTCCGACATTTCAGATATTTTGAAAACTGCAGGGGGGTTTGGGCAAAATATGACCCATCGCCGTTTTCAGTAATTGGCATATTTTCGGTATAAAAAGTCGTAATTTGAAAATGAAAATAGGTGCAGAGAGTCAGAATTCGGCTCAAAAATCACACTCAGGAGTCAAATTTCCGACATTTCAGATATTTTGAAAACTGCAGGGGGGTTTGGGCAAAATATGACCCTTCGCCGTTTTCAGTAATTGGCATATTTTCGGTATAAAAAGTCGTAATTTGAAAATGAAAATAGGTGCAGAGAGTCAGAACAGGGTTGCCAGATTGGGCTACAAGTAGCGAATTGGGCTACTTTTGAGAGCCCCACGCTCCCAAATTTTTAATTTCGCTACTTGCGACTTTTTGGGCTAGTTTAAACGCAAGTTGGGCTACTTTGGGCTATTAATATTAAGAAACTCAATGATGATTATTTATGCTTTAATAATATAATCTGTACAAATCACAGCCGAGTCCAACAGCCTGATTGACTAGACCACTTACCGCAGGAGAGCCCTGGTCAGAGACCGGCCCCTGGGGACGTTGATCCTAGGAACCTTTGAAAGAAAAAGTAACCGCAAGGCAAGGTAATCCTCCCCAGGGGCAATAGATTTCCCAACCTTAATTGTTAATAATACTTCATCCCAAAAGCTACACCTGGTTCCACAGATCTTCATTAAGGGGAGAAAGTTATCTAGAAATTTACAGATTGATAAATGATGGGAAAGATCCCTTACAGTTAATACCTTTGTCAGGAAGACGATGGTTGGCAAGGAGCGGTAGTGTAAAGCGGCCGTTTGATCAGTGGGGTTCTCTAACAACTCATTACCAAATAGCTTTTTCCTCTTGTGATAAATATGTTGCAAGGCAACTATTTTCAATGTACGCTGATCCCTCCAATAAGCTATATTTCACATGTCTCAAACCAATCCTAAATGATTTTGAAAGGATGAATTTACTTTATCAAAAGATGAAGCAGATCAGTATAGCCTTCACACTGTCTTAGAAAACTTCACTCTTGGAATACTCAGAAGAATCTTTCGTCCTCATCATGCAAAGCTTCATGTTAATTTGGACTACAATTCTATGTATCTGCCCCTGGAGAAAGTTGACTTTGGTTACGAATTTTCAACACTTCTGGCCACTAACAGACAAAACAATTTTACAACCCAGGAAAAGTTTCAAAATGTTCAAGAAAGATGCGATAATTTTTTAATGAAAGCTTGCAAATAGCTTCTTTCTCGTATTCTAAGTAATGTTGAAACTATAAAAAAAGGTGAAAAATCTGTTACCTATCATATGCCTTAGCTTACATGGCCACCATTTTCGGAACTTCCGTTAGTATTAGCTGACCAATCTAAGCTTAGTGAAATTGAAAGTCAGTGGCGCCTACTGTTAACCATTGACTAGTCCAACATTTGTAAGGGACAAATTCCGACATCTGAATCGTCATTTTAGACCAAGACAATAACTGTCAAGAACACTGCTGGCGATCCCATACTGATTGACCTCGCTGAGTTTGTGTTGAAAATATACAGCTTGCCAATCAGTAATGCCCTGGTTGAACGGATATTTTCGAGAGTAACGTCTGTGAAAACTAAACTGAGAAATCTTGAATGGGAATGGGACTTGAGCTTTTGACATCAGTCTTGAGAATCAAAACATATCTTGAAGAAAATGTAACTTGTTGCTCGTCATTTGAACCACTCATGTCAATGCTTAAATATGAGTCTGCAATATACAAGAACGAGGTTGTGGATGCAGATCAAGATCTTGGTAATCTTCAACTGTAAAGACGTGGAAGGACTCCACACCCATTAGGCTTCAAACAGTAAATATTGGTAAGTTATCCTATTATCATATTGGTTAAATATATATATGCAGAGATAATGTTAATAAAACAATTAAAATCGTTTAATGTACTCTATATATCATAATAGATTACTTTGAAACCCGTATCAGTCACTAAACAAAAAATTGGGATACTCTTATTACAAATTCGCTACTTTTAGACCGTCAGCTCGCTACTTGTAGCAATTTAAATCTGGCACCCCTGTGCACTGTGGCTTGTTGAACCTAAAGCTGTTGCCCCTTGTATGTATTACATTTTGACATTTTAAAGAAGTGGTCTGGATTAATACACTTCATCTTGTTCAGTATTTTAAATGTTTCGATGAAATCAGTCGTGTCATGTCGTTTGTTAGTCCGGTGGCCCGCAACCATTCTGGTATGAGTCGACTTAGTTCTCAGAATTTTTGTCGTTCTGTGTTGAAGTTTCTACAAAACAGATGTGCCCCTTTGAAGGTGATGTCTCCATGCTTGGATACAGTAGTCCAGATGGAAGCGCACAAGAGACTTGTACAGAGGATTAAAAACTTTCTTTTCCTTGAAGTCAAAGGTTCGTCTGTCTATTCGTAAAATATGGTTAGCTTTTTCTTTTTAGTGCAGCTCCCAGTTCTTGTGCAACTGTCAATGGCTGGTGGATCCTAACTTGTAGGTACACTGTACGCTTCTTCATCAATTTGATGCATAGTATTGTTGATATAATATTTGATGTGCATTGTAATGCACAACATGCAAGCTGTGCATTTTTTTCAATATTGAAAAGCATTTGCCAGTTTTCTTACCATTTGTTAAGTTAATGTAGATCTCTTAGTAAGGCCTCAATATCGTTTTCGCTTTCTGCTCTACCATCGCTCTTAATGCCATCTGCAAATTTTGTCATTGATGTAGAAGACAAAATAGGTTGGCCCGAAAATGAAACCTTGCGGTACACCACTCTTCATATTTTTCCAGTCAGATCCATTTCTATTTAAGACAACCGTATGCTTTTCTTTGTTTCAGCCATTGTTTTATCCACTGTAGCATTTGAATGTTTATTCAATGTTTTTTAATTTCTTTGCCAGCCTCTCACGTGGTACCTTATGAAAAGCTTCAGAGAAGTTCATGAGTACTACGACCATTGGAAGTCTTTTGTCTGAATAGCAGAATATGATTTAATTTTTAAGAAAAACATTGTGTTGATTTTATTAGATTGTGCACTGTGAGATAGGGAAGCGAGTCCCCTCCTTCATGATTCTCTCGCGAGCTGGTAGATATGAGCGGCTAGGCTGAATGGTCAGTAGATTTCTGCTGAGCACTTTCTACCTTTTCTTTTTTTTAGAGATGTGGGTGACATTTCCATACTTCCAATCTAGGGGAAGGGGGGGGGGCCTTGCCCAGTTCATAAATAACATTAATTATACATGGTGAGCGAGTCTTGAACGAGAGAGAAAATATTACACATTTTCACGTCCGTGGAAGCCTGATGGTTCTTTCCCTGCATGGAGAACAGGCGCTGCTTCATGATGGTTTGTTAGAATAAGTTAGATAAAACAATGATTTAAGTTTTACCCGAAACGCTTTGCGTAGTAGTTGCTTAATTTTTATGCGTAACTCCTGTACCTAGAGTTGTTCCCTCATCTTGTTCTCTGTACGCACATTCTTATGGCTAAAATTATTATTATTATAGGGGAAAACTCTCTTTGCTGCCATGTCTGTGAATACAGAGCCCTTTGTTGGCAACAATTTAACATATTAAAGTCTTTGATGATAATTTAAATTTGGGGACAAATTACACTGGTTATATTGTAATAAATACAACATACAGTATGAAATTTGCTTAATCTCTGTTATAACTCCATCTTACTGTCTAGGTAGACTACTAACTCGTGACACGGAAGGTCATCTGCAGCAGCATGTCCACGGTTAAGTTTGCAGCTCCCTCACCCTACAGTCAGGGGAAGCAGACTGCTCACATCACTGACTTTAAGCACCACGGGTGAGCCTCTCGCCACATACAGTTCTACAGTAATATGGAATAACTGCAGTTGTGTAAACAAGACTCAAGTGTGGTGATGGCGATACTACGCTTATCTGTATATATTTATAACAACACTAGCAAAGCAGGAATTTATTTTAGTAAAGATGTGTTGACCAAACCACACACTAGAAAGTGAAGGGACGACGACGTCTCGGTCCGTCCTGGACCATTCTCAAGTCGATTTTTTAGAATGAGAATGGTCCAGGACGGACCGAAACGTCGTCGTCCCTTCACTTTCTAGTGTGTAGTTTGGTCAACATATTTCAGCCACGTTATTGTGACTCCTCGTCTAATGAAGATGTGTTTGACTGAGATATGAGTGATGAGGTATGAGCATCATCATCATCATCTTCCCTCTTACAGGTACGTGGTGGGTGCTGGCCTCGACACTGTCAAGAACAGGTACACTGTGACTGTACCAGAGGACCTCAAAGTTATCAATGTGGCACTGTTTGCTTTAGGCCGAGCAGGTAATTGTTTATTATGCACCCCATACCCATCTTGTGGGCGGTAGTGGAAAGGGGTTACAAAGGCACATAATAGTACCAAGTACAACAGCAAGTGATGAAGGGCCTCACGGGAGTGAGACCCGACCGACCCAGGGAAGGTAACCCTGAATCACAAGGGAAGTACTTACCGGAGACCTAGGGAAGGAAACCCAGGGCACATGCAGCCCAGCAGACTTATAGGAACACCTGACCACACACACACAGCCGGCAAAGCCAGACAAAAGCTTGAGGCCAGAGAGGACTTCCGACACTTGGCACATCAGTCGATGAACTGTGGGTGATGCGGCCCGCTGGCCTGAGCGAGGTCTCCTCTCCTCCCTGTTGGGGGAGGGTGAGGGGACTTGTTTCACTGTTTTCTATTGGAGGAAAGGGGGGGGGGAGCTCTGGGCTTCTGTTCGGACGTAGGTTGCAATTTTAACCAGTAAGAGGATTGTAATGGTTCATCTACTCGGTGCCTTCCTTGGTCGATGGCAAAAATGACAAATTCTAAATGTTGAGAGCTCATATATGGCTATTGCTCCCCGCGCCTCGCTGAGAGGGCCAGGTTCTGGCTCGTGGCCCCCAATAGGCACTCGAACTCCCAGGACTGATGGCACCAAACTAATATAGTACATGTCAGTTTGATAGCTTCAGGAGCTCAGAGAGGGAGCTTCCAGGGCTCCCCTTAAAAAAAATCCAAATTTGCCAACAAAAAAAATCCATATCCACCTACAAAAATTATAATCTGCCAACAAAAAAAAAATCCAGATCCGCCGACAAAAAAATCCCAGTCAGTAAAAAAAAATTAAATCCATCAACAAAAATCAAAATTTAACAAGAAAAAAATTCCAAATCCTTTAACAAAAAATTAAAAATCCGCTAACAAAAAATCCAAATCGGCCAATAAAACATCTAAATCCACCTACACAAAAAATCAAAACCTGTCAAAAAATCCCAAAACATAAAAAAAATCGCCAACAAACAAAATCTAAATCTGTCAAAAAAATCGAAATCCGCCAGCAAAAAAAAATTCCAAATCCCCCCCCCCCCCCCAAAAAAAAAAAACATAAGCGAGAAGGGAATTAAGGGAAAAGTCAGCAGAAAGCGCCAAGCCATTGACTATATAGCTCTTGGAAGGGATCAGGATAATGATTTGGGATGGGATGGGACGGGGGGAAAGAATGGTGCCCAACCATTTGGACGGTCGGGGATTGAACGCAGACCTGCATGTAGCGCTGTTCCTGTTGTAGTAACCGCGCAAGGTAGCAAAGGCAGTAACGATCATGACATTCCTGTAAACTCACTGTTCACATTAATTATTACTGAAATTTTCATCCAATAGCAATAGGCTAAACCCGCGACGACAATGTAAATGAAGATTGGAAAATTTCATCAGTAACCAAAAGTCAGTTTATATTAATTTACTTCATTGGTTATTTTCAGGTTCTATTCACCTGACAAACCTTATGAGAAACTCTCGTTTTTACCTTAAGTACGTTGTGGAAGCCGACCGCAGGAAGCTACTCCGTGTGCAGGCTGAGTGGAGACTGCCTAACACCGCTCTTCTTTCACCTGATGAAGCAGAAAAAGTTTTTCAAGATCCAAGGTCAGTCTGTTTCACAGTTTCTAATTTGATTTAGATTTTTTCTGGTACTATATAACTATATGACCACCAACCTGCTATAAAAACCCTGGCTGGTTTACAAGTACGTATATGTAACCAAATGAAGGCGCTGTACCTTCCTATTTCTTGGATCTGTAACAGTGACACCAAGGCTTGTGGGAATAGAAAGATCTTCTAGACTCATTACAATGAGCTGCCAACTTGACCTGCTCATAGAAATGAATATACAGCACTACAATTTACCAGACATACCTGTACAATAAAAGTTCAAACTGAATTCACCTGAGGGTCACTAACTCTCTAGTGGCCCAGACGAAGACAGCAAGCTGGCGGTTTTCAAAGGTTCTCCCCATTTGTCCTGATGATTTTATCGAGCTAAATTTTAAAATTCAGCAACGTTTTTAGCATTTACGGCTTTGGCGGGTAGGAAATTCCATGGGTTTATAACCCTATGGGTAAAAAAATAATCTGTTGTCTGTTCTGCATTGTGGCTTGAAACCATCACTCCTTTTTTTTTTACATCTGACCTTTTGAAGTGATCTGGATCAACATCCTCCAAATTGTTCAACATTTTAAGTTTTTATGAGATCAGCCCTGTCATGTATTGTTTGCTGTATTGTTAGCCCTGTGGCCCTCAACTGTTCTTGGTACGGGTAGCTTAGTTCTGGAATTATTTTTTGTTGCCCGGTGTTGAACTTTCTCCAAGGCAGCTATGTCTTTCTGAAGATCAAATCTCCACCTTGGATACAATAATCCAAGTGGGGATGCACCTGAGATTTATACAGTTGAATAACTACCTTCTTTTTCTCGAAATCAAAGTTTACTTGACTATTCCTAGGGTTTGGTTAGACTTCTTTTTAAAAAACTGCAACTCCCACTTGTTGTGCAAATTTCAGTGAATGATGGATTTTGACTGTAACTGTACTGACTATAACTGTACAGTGCATCATTTGATTCCAGCACATTGCCTTGCTTTCATCTTCCAACATATTGTCCTTTCATCTTCCAGCATATTGTCCTTCCATCTTCCAGCATATTGTCCTTCCATCTTCCAGCATATTGTCCTTCCATCTTCCAGCATGTTGTCCTTCCATCTTCCAGCATATTGTCCTTCCATCTTCCAGCATGTTGTCCTTCCATCTTCCAGCATGTTGTCCTTCCATCTTCCAGCATATTGTCCTTCCATCTTCCAGCATATTGTCCTCCCATCTTCCAGCATATTGTCCTCCCATCTTCTAGCAGATTGCCTTCCATCTTCCAGCAAATTGCCATTCAGTTTTCCAGCTTCCCACATTTCAGAACATTATCCTTTCAAATTTTGGTACATTATCCTTCCATCTTCCATCATATTGCCATTCCATTTTTTAGCACATTACATTTTCATATTCCATTCCACACTTTACTACAATATTCTATATATTGTATATTAAATTTACAAAAAACTAATAACACTAATAATATTTCGGCAAACAGGTCAAATTTATATGATGTATATATACACACGGTAATTTTGAAGATCGCTAATGGATAGTGGTATGGGACAACAAATAACTATCCTTATTGCAGTTCATGGTGTGTGAAATTCAGTTTAAAGAGTAAAGGTGACAATTGTTGTTGTATATGTACCATGTGATAACAAAAGTGAGAATAAAAAAATGGGGGAGGAGAAAGAGATCAGTGTACTGTACTACCAAGGACTTGTAGATTAATTGTAATGCATGATATCAATGGTAAAGTGGATCTGATCTTGAAAATAGTACAATGGAAGTAATGGTGTTTCAGGAATATGTGACAATGTCTGTACAGTACTGTATATTGAAAGATGCAATGAGAGTTATGTCTTAATAATATATACTGTGTTTGAAACAAGGTTTATTCATAAATATATGGTAAATGGTACAGAGTGAATTGTGAAAATGTACTAAAAGTTTAACTGACCAGCAGGTTCTTGTTGACAGAAGTATGCTCAAGTGTGTATAGTCAGCGAGAGGAATAAATGAAGGTCTGCAAGATTCCTGTTGATGCTGTGAAAGACATGAATGGCAAAAAGTGTGATCATACCTCATAAAGATCCAAGAGGTAAAAGAATAATTGCCGAGTAGTATTGAGAGAGAACTAGTACACGAATACAAAAAAAAAAGAAGTTTATAATGAACTTGGAGATGGAGACTATGCGATCCTAAATTATCACAGGGCAACTTTTCAATTATGGGAGTGCAGTGATGGTTTATTCACCACAGACGTTGATACCGCTTTAACTTTCTGTAAACAAAATTAGTAAGTGCATTGATGTAATTGATATAGTGTTATTTCCAAACAGATACCTAGGACTGTGTTAAGGAGTATTAATATAAGTTCCATAAATGTACTTTTCTCATACAGTAGTTAACACAAATTTAAATGTATGTTCCTTCTTGAATTTTAACATAATTATTGTTTTACAAAGTGTCCATGGCATCATTATTGCCACACCAACCTTCTTGCACAAGGATCTGGTTATTCGAGGTCTGAGTACTGGAAAAGCCATCTTCTGTGAAAAGCCCATTGCTGAAGACACTGAAGGAATCAAACATTGCTATGAGATGGCTCATAAAGTATGTATAAAACTGTTCATTCTTTATGTGATGATACTTTCTCAACATAACTAATTTATTTTTTTTGTTTTCTTCATATTAGTCAGATCACATAACTGCATAATTAATATAGTGCAGTACTGCACTATATTGTACACAGTACTGTACTATAGTTACAAATTAATTTAACCAAAATTTTATATTCTCACCAATCATATTTCCACATAGGTAGGGAAGCCCATCCTATGTGGATTTAACCGTCGATTTGACCCCAGCTTCTGCTATCTGAGGGATCAAGTACAAGCGGGCACAGTTGGGCAGGTGCACATGATCAAAACTGTTGCCAGAGACTCTCCTCTACCCTCTGTAGAATATCTTAAAATATCAGGTGAATTTATATTCAGAATAATCCAGGCATAAATGTAATCAGGATAATAATGTTTTGGTAAGCATTAGATGAGCCTAACAGTCTCCAAAGATGATTCTAACTCAGATGAGTGATCCTAGTGACTCAGATGAATAATTCTAGATTCAGACGAGTCTAACCAGAGAGCCAAAGTTCAACCCCCCCACAAACACAACTAGATGAGTACAGTATCTCCACAGAACACTTTCATAATGAGAGGTAATAGAATATTTCATAGAAGAAATATTGCCAGTACTCAAAGTCTCTCCTTATGAGAATTTTGAATATCAGTAAAAAGTTTATGCAGAACATGTAGTGAAGAAGTCACAATATCAGGGCTGGAACAAACCAGAGCTTTAACCAAACACATCTGTCCATCCTGGTCCATTATCAAATCCAGGATGGACAGAAACATCCTCATCATTTTACAACTATTAATGTGTAGGTTTAGTGGTTTATTATATACGAAACATTTATAAATTTATATGGGCACACAGATTTAAGGATCTACATAATTTATATGAGAATTGTTTTTATATTGCATGTCAATTTTTATGCCACATAAGTTTAGGGAAATAATAAACTTTTGGATTTTCAACTAGAGTACCAAGCCAAGAAAAATAAAGTAAAAAATAAACAAAGAAATAAGGCTTTGACTAAATATGAAAATCCCCTTTTGGAGCATAACTTGTTTTTTATTTATTTATACAGTATACACAAGAGTTCTTACATTCTTGTACAACTATTTCCTAGCTTCCTAAATAAAGTAACGATATGCTGTGTCATATGACGAGAATCATGTAATCAGACACGATGACATTCTGGCACTGGCACTATAGGCATATTTTTAATATGCCCCAGCAGGGTCACTAACAGACCCTGGACACCATATACTGTAGGGTCAGGGACCACACCATATACTGTAGGGTCAGGGACTACACCATATACCGTAAAGTCAGGGACCACACCATATACAATAGGGTCAGGGACTACACCATATACCGTAAGATCAGGGACTACACCATATACTGTAGGGTCAGGGACAACACCATATACTGTAGGGTCAGGGACTACACCATATACTGTAGGGTCAGGGACTACACCATATACTGTAGGGTCAGGGACTACACCATATACAGTACTGTAGGGTTAGGGACCACAACATATACTGTAGGGTCAGGATCACACCATGTATTGTATAATAATTTAAAGGACTTTCATTAATTTCTCCAAAATTATACGAAATAGAACAAATTTGTTAATTGCAAAATCACTAACTATTGACAACTTTAAATATAAGCTTATGTAGATACCTGCAATATATAGCGAAATATGTTAAAAGGCAAAAGCCTCGCAGCTACATCTTACCGTTTATGAATTCATATGCTTTACATAAGTGACACCTAATTAACAATTACCCTAACAAATTAAATCGAATCTGTTTTTATTATGAAATCATTAAACTAGAAAGTTTTTTAAACTTTTTTTCAGGTGGAATCTTTCATGACTGTGCTGTCCATGACGTTGATTTAATATGCTGGGTGATTGGCGAGTATCCAACCCACGTGTTTGCCTCAGCCACGGCTTTTATCCCAGAGGTGGCCAAGATGAATGATTATGATACTGTTGCCTTCACCATGAAGTTCCCTTCAGGAGCCATCTCGATGACAGACCTGAGCCGCTTTGCTGCCTACGGATACGATCAACGGCTGGAGGTAAAGTGATTACTTTTGCCTTTAACTGTAAGTTAATAACATGGTTATTATTACTGCATTACCCAATTTTGCACCTTCATACAGTGAACAAGTATTCACCTTAAAGAATGGAAAAGTATTGTATGACATTTAGATTTAAGATAATAGAAACAGCCCAACAAATATCTAGCCTATGAGGAAATGACTACATTAAATAGAAATAAAGAAATTACTAAAAAGTCATGTCCTTCAAAATATGTTATCATATTTATAATACAGTTAACTAATGCATTGTATAAAATAATTAGCTCCTCTGCAATAAAGGTGGATATGTAGTTAAGGAGCCATCTTCCCTATTCTTCACCCTATTGAAGGTAAAATACGGCCATAAGTTTGGGATTTACAAATCCACCCAGATCCCAAAAAGTGTTAAGCTGACAGTATTAGCTGTGATATGGAGTAGTGGGGAATGAAGGTTAGAAGTGGTGAAAATGTTCAGGCATGGTAAGTTTGATGTACTTGGGTTTTACAGAAGTAATCATCAAAAGAAAGTGACAGGTCAGTATGTCTAGAAGATGAAGTTGAAAGAAAAGAAGTGGGAACTAAATTGTGTAAGTAGTGCAATATAAAGCAGGAAGCAAAAACTAATTATTTTATTGTATTATACACAACAAAAATTGTAGTGGTGTGAATTGTAATACTGAAGATATTGAGCTTTGTTATTGCATCAGAGCAGCAGTTTTCTAAAAGCTACACAGCACAGTGAATATACTGTACAGTTTTTACATTACAGTACAGGTATACAATACAGTACCTGAAAATTAAAATGAATGCTTTAATTTAGATATTTAGAATTAGCCAAGATATTAGACATTACTTAGGTAAAGAATATGGGCTATATCTTCACTACACACAATCTTTGTCATTGTAAGGTTTTCAGGGCTCAGGAACTGAAGTCCCATATAACCTATGACCATCTTCAGGTCAAATGGGAAAGTTGTACAGAGTTTGTGTGAATGCTGTCAAATGGTGTTGGAATGCATAACAGCCAGACATTGGGATTTATATAGATAACAAAGTATAAAAATATGATTGAGTTATCTTCTTTGGAAAATATATCTGTATACAGTAGATTAATAACGATTGAAAGGAAGTATCGATCACTGAAAATTGTCATATACTGTACTCTATGATGAAAATACTGAACCATAAAATCTACCTTAAATCTTAACTGCCTCTTTATAGATTATATTACCAATGTATTACTGAATATATTATTTTCCAGCCTTTTGCAAAAACACATTTTAGCTTATGAGACTGTACATAGGTACACCACATGTTCAGTTCAGCTGGGAAACTTTTTTAGGATACAAAACGCAAGTAACATTGTACAGTTATTATCAACATGTTCTGAATGTCCGCAGGTGTTTGGACCCAAGGGAATGGTGGCATCAGGTAATGAACGACCCTACCTCATGACGACCTCCACTGCACAAGGAGAGAGCCAGCCACCTCTCCTCTACTCCTTCCCATCACGTTACTATGATGGGTACATTAATGAGCTCAATCATTTCTGTGATGTCATCCAAGGTACTGTATACTCAAGAAAGTAGTGTTCACTTAATGACCAAATCATTGCATAAACAAAATTTATTTGAAAAGTTGGACACTGCTGCACAATGTAAATAAAACATTTTAAAACTTCCCCTGATAACTGGATGAGCATTTTCTGCTGCGAGGGTGGACTCTTTCAGTTGTTGGGGGGTTATATATCAATGCAATTATTACAGCATAAAAAGGTTACAGGTTATAGTAACCATTACAGTGTTACCATAGTTGTAGAATAACAGCAGTACTTAGTGATTGTTACAATAATGATTCAGGCGTGTTACACTTGATGCTAAAGTGATATCTGATCACGTTACACTGTAGGTGGTGTAACAGTCCCTCATATAATTTTGGACTGTATATGTAGCTAAGGAAAACCAAAAGCATGTTCACCATCTTTTCACCTCACACCAGTTTTCAAGAATTACTCAACCCAAATTGTTCCAAAACTGTATTTACATTGACACAAAATTATAAAATAAAAGACACTAGGATTAATATTAAGGCAGTACTAATTCTAGTATTTTGTATTCTCATCAGGACTAGATGATCTTCAGCTACCAGGAGAGAATACGCTGAAAGTGTCCACCATTACTACTGCCCTTGAGAAATCGGCTGCTACAGGACAAATGATTGAAGTTAAATATTGATGCTCTCTATCCAGCTTCTGAGAAGATTTAAGAGGATTTCTGACTTAATGACTATAATCTGTCTATTGTGAAGTTTAACATGCATTTTCAGTGGGGTGAAAAGCATCATGCAAGCATCATGCCAATGAATGATTTAGGGACCCAGGCCAAATTTCTTGCCACAAGAAACAAAACTGCATACAATGAAGTTTATTTCAAGTAGCAATAAGTCAATTTACTGATCCTTTCATACTGTGAATAATACAGAATAATTTATATAGGCTTCCCATATTTAACATACATTAATTTTTCCCATTACTGTCAGTAATGCTTTAGTATTAACGAATATATCCTTACCATCTGTAATAAATATCAGACAATATACAGTATTGTACTTGAAACAAATATTATACACTACACATTAATTAGGAAATTTTGTAACCATTTCTTGGCATGATAGAATAACCATCTGTTCACATGTTACAAAGACTGTTCACAGCACGATATCTCAGTTTTTTATCTTTTAAAGTTACAATTCAGTCTCTTGTCAACTAACCCAGGAATCATATAGCACACTGTTTAAACTCATCTGTCACATAATGGGAAACACTATTATGAAAATTGGTTAAATGCATTCCCAGAGAAGATATTTTGTCTATGAATTTAGGTTTCTTATGAAAAAATGGTTACACAATTTCTTGTATACATTACCCCCTCTCCCTCTGCTCATCCCATCAAAGTTGCAAATATTTGTATGAGTAAAATCACTAATCCTAAATACAAAAATGTTCTCTTCTGCCTACACGCACAATCCCCTCTTATCTTGCACAAGTACAGGATCTTTCGGGTGGTTGGTTGACCAAACACACAGTGGTATCACTCCCAAATGTGCATTAGGATAAAAATATGCATTATACTGTTTCCAGTATTTATTATACTACAATTTGATTTACTATGTACAATACTGCATCTGCTGTTTATGTATCTTTTAGGAAACACAATGAACCAGGCTATAATCTTTCATAATGTGGGTTGGCATGTATATTTGACAATAAAAAGTTTCCTAAAATACATTTTTGTTTTTCTTTTAAGTATATTTCTGAGCATAAACCACTCTGTCATTTCCTTTAGGCAATATTCAGCTCTCTCCATGATTTCCCTAACTTCCAGCTTGTCTGTCAAATCATGGACAAAGAGAGGCAGTGGAGTATTCTCAATTAGACTCAGAATGACTATCAAATAGTCCATTTGACTACACTCAAAATACTTCTTTAATTTGGATTCAACGAAACAGCCATGCCAGAGTTTAGCTCTGCTAAACTGCCAGTTACTATCTGGCAGCTACTCTAATCCTGCACTGTCAAAAGGGGATGAGGGACTCCACTTCATTTTCCAACCAGGATCTCCTACTGAATTCACCAATCAGCAAGGAACCAATGACCAGGCTGTTTAGAGTTCATCCTGAGACTTTGGTCTCATATACAGTGGGTCTGTGGTTTGCAATGGATGCTTATATATGAATGTTTACACTATCTCTTGCGTGTCCCTCAAGCATTTACTGGCTGGTGTTACAGTCAACTACTCTGTGGGGGCTATAGAAAGGATCTGTTGTGTTTTTGCCTCCAAGATTCTGACACTTGCAACCATACATCAGCTGCAGAATTTGCTCTGAAGTATCTTTTCTGGGACCTGTTCTAGGTTTTTAAATGAAGGGTTTCATGTTCTAGGTTTTTAAATGAAAAGTTTCATGTTCTTTGTAACTTTATCTCCCAGGTGTCATATAGTTTGGAGGTACTTATGTTTTGCCTCTGCACCCTCTTCTGGGGTATATCTGCTTTTGCACATCACCCTGAGAATGAGCCTTAAATTACTTTAGTGCTGTTCCTGTGATGGCATTCTTCCTGGTTTGTGCCTCTTCTTCATAGTCCTGTCATGCCCTCCTGGGGTTTTAGTTTTTGTGATTCTCTTAGGAAGCACTTCCACCTGTTTTGATGCTGTCACAATGCTGTGTGTTTTGACGTGGCTGTGCTTATGCTTTAAGTTTCTTTAATATATGGTCTGGATAGCATTGTTGAGGACGGTCTGCCTGTTAGGTTTCTTTAAGGTTCCCTTTACACCAGGGGCAAGGGTGTTCATGCCCCTGATGTAAAGGAGGCATGGACAACCTTTTTTGTATTCCTAGGCCTTATCAGGAACACAAAAAATTCCTGGCAAGGCTTAATGCCACTTCACTAATCCCCAAGTACCACTATGTATCTGCACCTGCATCACACCTTTGGCAACTTGCCCCGAGATCGAGCGTCCCTTCTTTTGGAAGCAGTTTTGGGCCAGTAGGGGTCTAGTGGCAGTAGTGAGTTTACTCTGCACTTGTGCCTCTTCTTTTTGGAAAGGAGGATATTGTATTGCAGCCATTGCCTTTGGGAGTGAGCTTTTGATTTTCTCGGTTACTCTGCTTCTTCAGGCCGTAACTTTGTGAATGCTACAGGTGGTCCCTATGATGCCAAGCAGAGCTAGGACATGCTTGGTGTACTGTATATATGAATTAACCTAGATGTCATTCAAGGCTGGACTGGGCATTCTACCCCTAGCACCAGTATGACCATAGTTAAATTATAAATTCTAGCTAAATTATTCTCTGCTCATTAATTGATATACCAAGGATGTTCATCTCAAAATACTGCCCAATTTTAATGTTACAAACCTTACCTTTTGTGCTAAAAACAGAAAAGAAAAAAGTCTTATGAGTCATCTGACAAAGACTACCAACTTAATGTCTTTAAATTAAAATGTACAACTAATACCTCATGTATATATTGTGGTTGTTTTTGTAAGATATTAATAGATTTTTATGAAAAATAATATTCTTAACCTAAATAACAAGAAATTAATTATAAATAGTGTACTATATATATATCCTACTATATCATACTTAAATTATAAGTAATTCATATATTCTAAACTAGCTTTGGCTTTCTCTAGCTGATGTAAGAAGTCATAAAATTTCTGAACGGACATCTCAACGTGCCTGGGAGTGAGACGACCATCAGGGGCACGAGAAACAAGCTTCACTTGCACAAATGTTCGCCCAGCTTCCCCCTCTGAGCTGCTGCCTGCCACAACTGTCCAAATTAATAATGAGAATGAATTCTTCCTCAACTTTATAATTTATTATACTGTATATGAATATGAGAATGTATGAATGCTGCAAGTTACATCTGATGAAAGGGAAAGTAAAGTGATGAGTAGAAAATGACAATTTGATCATTTAAAATCTTTAACAATATTCATGTGAATAGATGGAGTGAGAATTAAAAATATTACGGGAAAATGTAAAGGCCAAGTCAGTAAATTACAAGATTGATGAGGCTATAATGAGATGGTCTGGACATGTTGAACCAATGGAAGATGATAAACTGGTGAAGAGTTTGTATTTGAAGCATTATTAACTACTCAAAGAGTGCTATTAATACGCCTAAGAACAAACACTATTAACTACTCCCAGAGCAAGAATATGAGAGGTATTTAGTTAAATTATTTTTCTACCCACCTCCAAATTTCCACTGAAGATCGACAAGTTGCCCTCTAGGGTTATTCAGCAATTTTCGCGAGGACACCAATTCTTGAAGTTGATCACGCTACAAAGGATTTAGAGCTTAACAAAAGTAAAGAGAAATTCAACTTTTCCAAAAGCCAAAAACATATCCAGGACACCTGGGGCTCCAGGCTGTCTAATGGGAGAGGGAATGTAAAAGGGATTATAGAACAATTTAAAAGCATTATAAAGGAATTTAAAAGGGAATTTAAAAGGGATTATAAGAGGTATGTAAAAAGGTGCTCTTTTCCAAAATTGTGAGTGATCTATTGATGCTAAAAATGTTGAGCATAACAGTCATTTATAAAAAATATATCTACTATACTATAAGTAGTTGACTAAAATCTCACATTTACATGAAAATAATGTATATATAGTAAATTGTAGGTGTACAGCACTTTCTTATGAATAACTACCTTAATATCTAAAATATATAAGAAATGTCACTACTGCCTGTCATTACATCTATCATCACTGCTTTTGATGAACACACCTGTGACACAAAAAGATTGATTCTGTCTTCCCGGAGGCCTGAAGATGTTAGGAGGGATCTCAGATCCTCATCTGAGACAGGTCTTTGCACTAGTGACTCAAGGACTTGACACAGCTTCTCAGCATGTAGCTCCTGTCAAAAGTTGAATTTTTATATATGGAATCTAATCACAGTCTTATGTAAAGATTCAGGCAACCCTAGGAAAACAAGGCAAATAAAATATTTAAAATTTCATGTCAATACAATGAGATGTTCTTAAGATACTGAATAGAAACCCATCAAAAGGAAGGGGGGAAATAAATACGAAAACTAAAATAAAATAAATATCAAAGATATAAGATATTCTTATGAGGAATATCAAATTACTCCACAAATGACTTTGCATAATTAGAATATGAGGTATGTTCAATTTATAATATCAAATTACTATTAAATAATCATTTACTTCTATATGCACAGTACAAACAATATTAACCATTTCCTATTACATGTGAATAAATATATATGTATTGTATTTGAACACCACACTGGAGACACCAATATTATTGCTCCTAGTTAGGAACATTTTATAACTCGCACATCTTGAAGTGCACCAACACTTATATTGTTATAGAACATGTATATAACAAAAAATTTCAGTTTGAAATTACAGTAATATTAGTTGTGTTCCAGGTTATACAAGATAGGCAAGGTCTTTCATCACATCCTTGAACAGATGCAATGAAGCCAAGTATGTACTCCCAAAGTTAAAGCACAGAGTAAATAATCAAATACTGCCAAAGTTAAAGCATATGGTAGGCAAATGAAATACTCCACGAGTTGAATTATCACTCAAAGTCTGATGTCAGAATTGATCTAGTGTAAGAATAAGGTGGTTCACCAATTTGCATCAACTGTTTTTTGTCTTTAAACTTGAAGCAAAATATGGCTTCAAAAGTAATAGCATTGCATCAGGCTTATCTGTTAATAAGTATGCTATTTTGTTTTAAGAAGTCATTCCATAAAGCATGCAAACTCTTTTTAAAAGTATGCGCATGCCAACAAGAAAGGCAGCAGCTAAAGTTATTAAATCAGTTTGGGTTAATTTTGTTACTAGTAATCATAAACAAAACCTTAAAAATGCACACTTACTACTTCATCCTTGGTCTTATTCACAATATAATATGGTTGATATTTTCTTTCTTGCTTTCTCTTTTCTCCAAGAAGCTTCAGACTGGAGTCCCAAGCAGCTAGGAAATCCTGGAATATATATTGTAATCATGGACTATAATCTAGGTTAATAGACTAAATTACAGCACATTGCTTAGTATTACTACTCGCATGGATTCCTTGATTTTACACCAAAATACATTAAGTACAAAGCTTGTGTAGTAATGTATAAAGTAAAATGTATGTATGAATATACATAAATACTCACTTAGTTGTGCTTGTAGGGGTTGAGCTTCGGCTCTTTGGTCCCGCCTATCAACTGTCAACCAACTGGTGTTTAGATTCCTGAGCCTATTAGGCTCCATGATATCTACATTTGAAACTGTGTATGGAGTCTGCCGCCACCGCATCACGTCCTAATGCATTCCATTTGTTAGCTACTCTGACACAGAAAAGGGTTTTTCTAACGTCCCTGTGATGTATGCATACTGTTTTAACAAATAGCAAACAAACTTTGACAATAGGAAATATAGATGTTTATCTCTCAGAATGTTTGGTAATATGTTTATTGTTTGTGATGTGTGTATATGTATGTATAAACACGATGTACTGAACGGGGTGAGAATAACTTGAGCTACCTCATCCCTTTGTGTGTATTTTACCTCAATAAACCTATTTCAATTTCAACTTTGACAAAATGCCTATGCACGATTTAACTTTATCCCTTTGACTTACATCATTCGACAGCCGGGACAGCGTGAGAAGCTCGTTTCTCCACGTGTGAGACAACTCTCCAGAGCCCACAGAGACCATGTTATCTAACGTCAATGGACTTGAAAAACTTACAAAGAAGTTTTCCAACTTTCTGTTTTCAAGTGGGTCTTTAATCTCTTTATATTGGACACTAGTTTAACAAGAACTCATCCTTAAGGAACTTCTACTACTGGAGGTAAACATCAGGACAGACTACGCCCCCCCAGCCACTAACTCCGGGTCGTGATCCCTCAATACGCATTCCATTTCAGAGAAATTATACTATAATATTTACTATTTTTGTGTCTGCAGAATCGACCTCACCTTTCTAACCAATCTATATTTAACTCTAATATATCTAATACATATATTTAACTCTAACACATGCTGCACACACAGATTAAGGACCTACTCGAAACGCTATGCGTGTTAGTGGCTTTGCATGAATGTAAAAATACAGTACCAATCTTATGTAATCTCACCAATTAGGGGGGTAGAAATAGCCTAAGTTACTCTATCCCTTTGAGATGTATTTCTTTCTTGTCTCAATAAACTTACTTGAACTTGAACTTGATCTCACCAACCCAATGTACCTTCTTGCAAATAAATTATTATTATTATTATAAGGAGTCGGCAGCCTTCAAGTACTTTCAAAACATGTTCCCTAACCGTCTGAAACATACTAGATCAAAGCAAAATTTGAGAAGATACATTGTCACAGCGCTAGATAAGCAATCCGCAGCCTTAAAATATGTCCCTGTGGCGTAGTGGTAAGACGCTTGCCTGGCGTTTCGCGAGCGCTTTGTCCTGGGTTCGTATCCTCTGGCCGCAAATCTTTAACTGTAGCCTCTGTTTAACTCAACAGTAAAATGGATACCGTTGTTAAACGATTTGGTGGGTCATATTCCGGGGAACATAGGATTAAGGACCTGCCCGAAACGATACGCATACTAGTGTCTGTAGAAGAATGTTAGAACTCTTGTATATATAAACAAATAAAAAAATAACTTTCAAGACAACTTACATAAGATGTCTAAAGCTAAGGTCAAATCAAAGTTTGAGGAGAGGGGCATTAGGTAGGCAAGCGAGAGGTGAGGGGTTGGGGGGAGGGTTCTATCAATTAAATTTGTCCTAATTTTGGATTAAGGTTAAAAGAGAATTTCCACTTTCAAGTAAGACTTCAAGTACCTTTCAAGCTATCTTGATACTACATTGCCTTTAACTGCTGTTTATTTGTGTTAAGTAGGATTTTCCACATTAACTATATTAAAAACGAAAGATATAAACCAACTCAACACCACCAGATATGCATGTATCATCATTGTCTTCCTGTGTTCCAAATTGGAATCAACTGCTTACGAATTGCGAACAAACAAGCATATCTTTCTCATTAAATTAAAAATGTAAAAATATATTGTAGACTGTCTTTTTTGCTAGAATTTTATGCACAATGTTGCTTTTTATTTGTTTATATTCTTCCTAAAAGAGAAATATGTAACTTAATGTAATAGGTTCCAATAAATAGGTTGACATGATAAATAGGTAATAGGTTGACATGATAAATAGGTAATAGGTTGACATGATAAATATGCATTTATCATGTCAACAGTAAATAAAGGAACATAATTAACAGTGTCTGATTGATTACACATAGGTTTCCTGGGTCGCAGTACAAAATGCAGTTTTACTGAGGGTTGCAATAAAGAAAGTTTGACAAACGCAGCTCTGTGTAGGTCACGGTAAGTATTGTTTATTTGATTCATGTCCACTATTCCTGACAGAATAATATAGAGAAGCTCGAACAGTGTTCAATAATTCAATACCTGCAACTACTCAACCAAGTTCACACGAGGAACTTTCAAACTTCTTACATTTTTCAGCTTCTCTCTGTGGCCGAACCCAACATGAAAATTGATATTTCATATAATCTACTGCTACATACTTCCATGTCGGACCTTTCAGTGTTTCATTGTTACTTGTGTCAACAGTTGTTTTAATGTTTTGTCCAATGCTAAATGTTCGAACTTTATAATCTTTGATTTTGTTTCCTGGCAAAAGATGCAGCTAGACATCTTTATTGTAAGGTACAAGTTCAGAGCGGCTACATTTTTCAGCTGGAACTGTAGTAGACGAACCTACTTTTCCAGTGGCTGATGGCCAACCACGCTTCTTCACCTAACTGTTCCAGCATGTTGTGTTTGCAAAGCTTTATTTGTTACATATGATTAACAGAATCTTGCTTGGTTTTGTTAATCCCTGTAACAGACAATAGCATGACAATCACCATTAAATCACATCATGCTAAAGGTATATTACACACAGTTAGTGGAAAGAGAATGGCATGAGGGAAGTACGAAAGATTTGTAATGAGTGAACTAGAACTACGCATCCAACAACTCCAGTACTGTGTCCCACAGTGATGTATACAATGTAACAAGGAATGCACATCCGGGAATGTTCCACTCAATGATACAATGGTTCAAGTAAGTAAAAAAATGCAAGCAAGCAAGTAACACTGTTCAATAATTATATAAACTAAGTTTTTGTACGTAAAATCTTCTGCTCAATGGAAATCTTTAAGCAAATCACGATTGCAACCCATCCTCCTGTTTAGATAGTAGTTTTTGTAACTTTGTGCACCATAGTACAAATACTGACGTACTAAGCAATTAGTATAATTTGGTATTATTCCATTTTATAGCGTCCGAGAAAATGAAACTAAAAACAGTTAAATATTCCTAGGCCTAGTATAGCACAAATATGTCTTATATTAGGCCTCAGATAGCCATATATTAGGCCTAGGAAGGTTATGATAGTTTAGGTTGTCTTTGGAACATAAACACAAAACCTTTTCCGGTTTGTCCATATTCAATAGTACAGATTTCTACTTTCCAATTGCGAACTAAAAGTGTACTTATGCTATACATCTGTACTCTAAACACGTGCTTTTGGTGGACACCAGCCTACTCACTTAGAATATATTAATTAAAGTAATAGAATATCTTGGAAGTTGGCTTAAAACGTAATTAGTCACTTGCACTCTATATAATTTCGCCTGTTTACACGTATATTAGCTAAAATAAATAATACAGTTTGCTGTTGTGTAGCATACAAACATATCAGAAGAACATTTTGTGGACGTAAATAAGCAGCTAATTTCATTGTTGCTATTGATTGCTTGAAGTGATACCACAAACACAGCAACTTGCAAAATCAGGCGTTTCCTCTAAAACAGGGCACCTCTCATTTTTTGCCTATAAAACCTTTATAAAGTCAATACAAAAAATGTCAAACCAATAGATTTTCATCTCAACATATCAGACAAAAAAGTCCTGCAATCAGAAAAATGTTAACATTTCGTGAGCACAAGCCCTAAAATTTGGAGATAATAGCTCCCATTATACCATAATTGTGTGATGCGTTAGGAGGACGGGCTGGACGAAGTGTGGCGAGAAAATTTAATGGAATTAGGTTCTTATATCTTTTTGATGTTGGCCAACTCTAACTTGCTTTGTTTAAAGTACTTTGAGATTCAGTTCTCGATATGACATGTAATACAGCAAAACTTGCCACCGCCCACAGAATGGGTATGGGGGTCCATAATATACTAATTCAACTAAACTTTAGTTTTTTTTAGTTTAGTTAGACGCAGACTAAGTTTTTACAACTTAGTCTGCGTCTAACTAAAATTAAGTGACAACAGTGGTAGTATACTAAGTTATTGATGCACATAAAATATGAAAGTGGAGCGTTGCTCGAGTCATATTCTGATGTCAGCTGCTGCAGCCTCGCCCACCTCTAGAATTAAAGACATGCCAGCACACTCCGCCCATTTGTTTTTCCGCACTTCGTAACTACAGCAGCGTTTATATAACACAGTTCTTTATTCATTGGTTTATTAACATCTTCGTCTTTTATATCATGGGAATTAGTGATATTAAATTTGAAAAATCTTTACGAACCAATGCCTTGGCTGCATCTGTCAGTGATAATAGCATTGTGTGGAAGGCTGCTAGGCTGCCCCAGATGAGAGCGTCTTGGACATGTGTCATATGAAACACCTGTTTTTCATTTGGGCCTCCGGTGTTGACTATTTTGCTTATATAGATATTATTCAATGTGAAACTAACCATTTACTTCCTACAGATATAATTTTTTTTTAGTTATATTTCATTTGATGTAACATGTCCCAAATCTTACTGGTGTCCAAATAATTTAGACAAACTGCTCTGTGGAGTACCTCATAGTTCTGCTGACAATGGTGTTTTGATGGAGTTTCTAGATATTTTAATTCTCAACTCGGAATGAATAGTTCAATACAGGTAATGCGTCTAAAAATATTATATTTGACAAGAATAGACCATCGTTGCTGGTGGACACACCCCATGTGTTAGCCCGTGTGTTGAGCACCCGCCCACAACCTACATGCTAGCACGGAGCAGCTCGGACACGCGTAAACATCCTAAGGATTGATTAGAACCTTTACCGCAAATGGTCTCCGATCAATGGCCAGATTTGTAAATATATTTAGTGTTTACCTATTACTATGTCTCTATGTGCTGTACGTCCATGATTTGTGAAGGGTTCCTCCCCCGTGCTGTTTGAGGAGTTTATTGCTGCTTCTAGACTGCATGCAGCAAAGTTATTATAATATATGATCGACCAGACCGTAGCTTGCGGCGCGGACCACTTAACACTGCATATTTATATAATTTATTTGCTTCCATTCCTTTTGTGGCGATATAGAAACCTCTCCATGTAATTATATTTATTGCTAGGTTGAGCGTAAATAAACAGAGGTCTGTAATTGACTTGTGGTTCTTGAGTTTGTATTCGTCACATTACCGAAAAAATACTAATCTGCTGTGTGGAGGGAAGCAGTGTGGGGTGGGCATAAATTATTAGGCTTCCGTCCTCAAAGCATGATTATTTATTAAAAACTTGTATTCAGAGGTGTCGATAGGAGCACGTCCAAATTTATACCCAGGTGTTCACAAAAGCACACCCAATCTTAACTCTGTAAATGATGTTCTCTGTCATCCCTAACTAGTCTTAATTCTCACAGACACGATTGCAATAAGCGTTTGTCCATAACAGACAAAAGTATGTCAAGGCTCGTATTTATTATAATAACATTATACGGAGTATTTAATTGTTAGATACCCCATAGATATCAACCCTAAAAGGTTGCATCATTTAAGTATTGGGAATCTCCAGAATGCAAATCTGCTATCAGAACCCCCGTTTTGCACAGCAATCAAAATGTCATCATCATATTACTGAGTAAGAAGGGCCACATTTTTATGGGATAGCTTATATTTCCGCCGCCCTTGTTGTTACTACTGCTGGTCTGCGGCAAGACTATAAATAACATTTTTGGGAGTTTGCAGCACTCGCTGACACACAGCTAACTGTCCCAGGATAAACTCACCAAAATTATTCTCACACCTTGTATCGCCATGTGTATATGAACGCGGAGCAAAATACAAATATTTTTTTTACAAATAGTTAAGAAATTTCTTAAAATACTCACCTATAATTGACGCGTTGCCTATATATAGATCGTAGCTAAATATCTTATCCTTGCGAAATGTATGTAGCTCATTATCAGTGTAAACTGTCTAGCGCCAGGAACATCAGGGTGTAGTCTCTGAACCCATTATGTGTAGGGTGTAGCCACTCTAACCTTATCACGTTCGCCTACACGATAGGTATGGCGTGCATAATAATATAAACACAAACATATAATTTAATGGGACCATTTTGGACAATGCTTATCTGATCCTTAGTTCCAAAATCAAGACATAGATTCAAGATTTTTTCAATGGCGGAACTGTATAGAAAAGAAGGAAATCTAAACCACGATAAAGCATTGCACATGAGCAAGCAAAGCACGCAAGTCTTGTAGACGGACCTGCGATAGCCATCAAGACTGTAAACAAACGTAGAGGGCAAGACTCAAGCCTTCGTGAATTAAGCTTGAGAGTGTGTGCGATATAGTAAACCACTAAACGATATTCACAAGATGTCAAGAAGCACAGCAGGCATAAAGTAACGAGTGGGGAGCGGAAGCAGTGCGTGAAGCAAGCAGGGAAAGAACGGACAGGAGGATGGAGCAGGCAGTGTGCGAGGCCGAGGACGTCAGTGTGTGCGTGAAGCACTTGCTGAGTGGAGGGTGTGCCGCTCCGGGTCCTCCCTGGTCGTAAGAGACCCGCTCCTGTCCTTGCTCTCTGGCCTCGGCATGAGGAGACGAAGAGTGTTCCGGATCACCATGGTCACGGCAGCCATCATTTCCGTCATATACTTAGTGCTGGTCACCACCACCTCCTCCACCAAGTTCAGGAGAAAAAAGGTAATGTTAAACAAATCGCCCACAAGCACGTGTGTGTGTTTGCGACCCGCCCACTCTCCTGAACTTACATAATCATTTTTACCGAATATTCCCAACGCGTCATACTGTACCTTTCGTCATCATCTCCCTGTATTTCTTTTATTAATAATATTCTTGCATATGCACCGAGTGTCTGCAATGTTCGTATCTTTCACGTTGTGTTATGATTGCTTAATCTTATCGTATTTATCTCGGTAAAGCGAAGGAAAGAATACAAATGCTCAGAAGTTTTTGTTTACAAGATTGAGGTTATTTTTGTTATTAACACGCTTAGGTAAGACAGGCACATAAGTGTCGTCCAGCACCCTTGTGATGTGAGGAATTGTGTGGCACCCTAGACAGTGAGGTGAGAGAGATGGACGTCTTCTTGGCATCCTAAGAAATGAGGGAGGAAGTATGACCTCTAGTGTAACCCAACCTCCAAAAAATATTATACTTTGAGGGCATCTATTGGTAGAACGAACACAAATGAACAGTTGTACCCTAAAAATTTCGTTTTGTATTATTGGAATATTCCAACTGGCACGCTGGTTGGAATATTAGACTGGTAACTATAGACTACCTAATCTAACCTGTCCTATGATTAAAATAAGCAATCCTAAGCCTAACATACGCCAGTTTTGGTCTGATTTAGTATGGTAATCCTTGAAAATTTTAGGTATGGTTATTGCCTTCGTTCTTGGTACCTTTACAAATTTTATAATAAACAAAAGACTTTTTTTGTACAATCCTTTTTCCGTTTGATTAATAATAGCTGCAATTAATATTAAATTTTTAATGATAGGTTGCTCTAGTCTAAGGCTAGTGACACCCTAAGGAATTGTGAAGGGAGTTGATAGAATGACTCCCAATGACACGTCCTTGAGAGGGGGGGAGGGAGTGGTAGTATGACGACCCCAGTGATACGCAATTGGGAGGGGATGATAGTATGACGTCCTCAGTGACATGCCCTTGGGAGGAGGTGGTTATATGACGACCCCAGTGACACCCATGAGAGTTTGGGGTTGGGGGTATTCCATTACACAAGATCTCAAATAATAATAGCTTATAATATGTAAACATACGTTGATTTATACAATGTCTACAGCCAATATGCATTTATAATTATGACGTTTTAAACTAAATTATTTAACTAAATTAAATATTCTCAAACAAGCAGGAAATAAACTGTCATATTTTCCAACCATTCTTGGGTCTGGACATACACACATACACACACTACGGGCTCACCATAGCCCGTGCTACTTGGAACTTTTTATTCCAAGTAGCGATCTTTAACAACAACAACAATTCTTGGGTGCTCCACCGCAAGTATGTCTTGTGTATTGCGTTGTAAGAGAGTATGAGTTCTTTCTCTCCCCTCCTATATGATGGAGTGTGTAGCTCTCACTCCTGTTGCTGGTAGTATGAGGTCTCTCGCCGTTGTTTGAATTGTGATGTTTCCTCGTTGTTTGAAGTATGAGGATATGCAGCGTTACTTTCTCAATCACAGTGAAATTTCTCATTGTAAAATGCGGCATCTCTCTCCTTATTTCCTAAATTATGAGGCTCATTTCCTTATTCCTTATATTATGACTACGGGCTCGCCATAGCCCGTGCTATTTGGAACTTTTTTTTCCAAGTAGCTGAATCTAAAACAACAACAACATTGTATTAAGAGGCGTATCTTTCCATTTCGCTATAGTGTGAGGAAGTATCAGGCCTTTTCCTTATTCCTTGCGGTGAGGGATTTTCTTACTGGTCTTTACAATATGAGGATATATATGAATCTTTAAAATTGATCCTTGCAGGATGAGGAAGCACAAGACACCCCTCTCTCCCTAATCCTTGGAGTATGAGGCGGCATAAGTCATACAGAGTGAGATATCACTTCTCATAATGTTGACCTCTGTAGTCGTGACACGAGTTGCGTGTCTGTAGGGGTATTAGTCACCCTTTCGCGGTGACAGAGTACTCAAGTCAAATTAATAATTTTGTCTCTAAGTAACACGACACAAAGACAATTTGCAAAATGAATTGTAGACACGAGTGAAAATAAACTTAAGAAATTTGTGAGAAATAAGTGTAAATGTATATAACCAGACGAAATATATTGCTATATCTCCTCTGGTCAGTCTTTAACAAGTCTTTGGGGAAAGGATCAATACTAAAAGTGGCATTATTACTAATAGTAAAAAAAAATGCAAAAGATAAAACCCAGAGAATTACAGACCGGTTCATTAATTAAGTATAGTGTCCTGTGCCGTGGTCCGCTCACAGTTACAAGGACCCCGGCCAGTTCGATTCCCTGACTGGACAAAACGTTTGGGCATGTTTTCGTACACCTGATACCTCTGCTTACCCACCTATAAAAAGGTGCCTGTGAGTTAGGCAACTGTTGTGTGTTACATATTATGGAAGCGCAATCGTTAGCCTAGTCTTAATAAGCCTAACAGGCTTCCTATCCCCAAGTAGTATGGGACCATTCCTTCCCCCCATCCCACCCCAAATCCTTATCCTGACCCTCCTTCCCAGTGCTATATAGTCGTATTGGCTTGGTGCTTTCCCCCTGATAGTTCCTTTCCTTCCTTTCCTATCCCCCAACAAAGGATACAAGACTTTGATCTAAATAATTTAAATGAATGTCTTAAGTGCCACCCCGGCACTGTATGCCAGGTGTCAGCAAAATTTGCTCGCGTGCCTATGATTTGCCTCGCCTGTTATATGGTCTTAATTCATTTCATTCCTCCCACCTCGCAACGGAATATATATATGCATGCAGTTTGTTAATAATATCTTTTGTTAGATACGAAGAATCTCGTCCCCCGAGCTAAACTTGGCGTTTCATAAAGGCTTGTCCTTGTATGGTGTTGCATCATTAGTTTACCAAGTTTACAACTGCTCCTGAACGTCTGTTAGTTAGTCATTTGTTATGCACCCCATACCCATCCCGTGGGCGGTGGTGAAAGGGTTACAGAGGTACATGATGGGTTCAGGAACTGAACGCCATAATTCATTTAGCTAAGCTACCACGAGAATTCCATATACATGAACATCATCAGAATGAGATATATACACCACAGTAAAATATCAATAAAATCAACGCTGGAAAAACAGAAACTTAAAATTAAACTCTATTTCTGTGTCGTTATTGATACCGATATTTAACAAATTTTGTATTATAAATTACATTTAGCAGTCTAGATTTTATTGAAATGAACATCCATATCACAAGAATACATAATATATGATATTACACTGAGGAAATATACAATGCTGGTCAACTTATGGTTGGTGCTCAGTTATAAAGATGAAAATTTTGTAAAAACTTCGCAATATTCACCAGATAATAGCTTAGATGTGCAGTGATCGATGGAGTGACGGCCGCGCCGCAGGGCCAAAAAAGAATGCACTGCAGGACGATTTGGGGTTTTGCGGAAAGTACAGAGAGCTTGAAAGAGTAAATACGATAAATATGCAACTGAAGATTGCAAATCACAAGCTGCAGCTGTACCAAGTAAATCATACATAAATAACCACACACACACACTTTATTGGACTGTTTTGAGGTGTTAATCGCGTGACTGTACTGTACCAGCCAGACCTTCAACCCGGCATTATATTAAAAGTTCAAAAATTGTTTATCGGCTTAAGTGTGTTAGACCTTGTCTCCAAGAGGAATTATGCAGAAATCGTTAGTAATTTAGAAATAGCTGTTGTTTCTTTTAGACACCTGTTTAGACACTCCCAGTGGGCACAATATTCAGAGTGGCATTGGTTCGTCGTTGAAGCTACGTTAATTCAAATTCGATTTGGCGTTGCTCTTCGATATTGTGTTCACTGGACTGTTGCTTGCTTAAACACCAGTCACTCACCACAGTCCACTCTCAACTGTAGCCACATACCTATTAATTCTTCATCTTTTATGAATGTCGGGGACTGGGAAGAAGAGGTGCGAGAAAGAAATCGAGAATCATAATATGACAAGCCTACTAACCAGTACCTTCCAGACAGCATAGAGCGTGCGATTGTTACGTAAAGTATGGTGACAAATCACAGACACTAAGATACTATATATATATTTGGTCGACAGAAGTACACAGGTATACGTAGTTGAGCGCACTGAGCGTTGGTACAGTATCTCGCAAGTGTCCTCTAGACCACACTTGAAAGTAGACTATAATGTTCGCTACACCGCTGCTTATATAGCTCGGGCATCTCACCGTGTTGCCCGGGCAACGCCTCACCTCATTCATCTCCAAAGGTTGACAGGAACATTAACACTATATTTGGAGCGAGTATATTATTGGGATAATCTACTCGCTACAGAACTCCCCCTCCCAGGGGATGAAAGGAAAAATACTTGATCAAGGAACTTAGCTGGTCGGTGAATTGTACGCCCTGCTCGCGTTACATAACCATCAAAGTTAACTTCCTCCTCTTCGCTGATGTCATCTAACTGGGGTCGTAGGGTGGGAGGTCGTACAGGATCGTCCGTTGTCGTAGGATCAGGTTGTGGTGCGGCTGGTAACTGGGGTCGAAAAGTGAACTGCGTAGTCGGCGGATGTGTCTCTGGATTTAGCAGTGTCGCAGACGTTGAGACGAAGCCTGGAGCAGAGCAGAGAGCTGAGTGAGGCCGGAGTCGTGGAGCTCTATGTGGGAGAGCGTGGCGGCTCGATTGAGATTTGTGAGTGTCTAAACTCGGGGAGCGAGAGCGTGGCGGCTCGATGCGGTCGTAGTCTGCTGTCTGCTCTGTGTCGAAGCTGTAGCGTCTTGGGTTGATTAGGACTGTACACGCCGAGTACTACATTGTTGACTGGAAATTGCAGTCTGGTACTAAAATATGTAGGCAGTGTGTGGACAAGCTCGGTGTAGCAGGAGAGAAGAATGTGCATAATTGTTGCGTCCTTGGGTCGCTGGTGGAGCATTTAGATCCGGGGCGGATGGGCTCGGGCACCAGGACATTAGGAGGTAATGTAGGC